CAACAACACAAATACAACCTTTAGAACAAAGAAGCACCATAAATACAAGTAACGCAACTTGCACTACAAAGACAGGTCCACCCAATAAAGTTACACGTCCTAGCACAGTTAAAAAAACACAAAACTCCTTCTTCACATAAACACACCACGTTATCACAACCCACTCGTATACAACCCAAACGCAAAGCCAAAGAAACACTTACACAATAAACTCTATTTAATAAAATTACATAGGAATTATTATAATGATATTTTTGTTTTGTTTTCTTTTTTCCTGATAGCGTTGACTATTGTGGCCATTAATAGCTATGTTGGTAAGTATGAATTACATACTATCCCTAGATTTCCAATGTGAGTGTGTGAATATTTATTTTATTTTTTATTTTTTATTTTTCTTTAGAACCCTACATAACTTCACCAGACACAGACACAGACACTAATCGTTACTTGATTTTAATCCGTGCGATTAGTTAACCAGGCTAGACCTGAGTTCTCACAAGAAACACCGACCATAATAATTGCCTTTATTTATAATGCTAGGAACTAGGCTAGGAAGAATAGAGGCAGCAAAGATACGTTGGAATAGGGCGAGGTTCAGTTGGCGGATATCCGCGCCCTGCTCTTCCACCTAACCCTATGAATGATCGATGTGTAGGTACCGGTGACTGGGGATATGTTGATCTACAAAACGCAAGGATGATAGATGAGATGAATACAAGCATAGTTACATATTTCATGATTTGGTTCTGAATTCAAGAACTTGCTCCTCCCAAAGACGATTTTCTACGAACGCTTTAATTTTTCGGGCCGGGTATTTTAAAACCTCTTCAGGCAGAGAGTTATGAAATTTTGCTATATTGTAAATAAAGGATCTTTCAAACAGGGAAGAACAGTGCAAAGGTGGCGTTAATTTTCCATTATAGCGAACGTTATTATGTACGTCGTTACGATCTGTGATTTTACGATGAAGATATTGCGGCGTCTTTGTTGTTAAAATTTTGAGGTAGAGGTTTGCTGAATGTAAAGTCCTTCTTCGACTCATATTTAACCAACCAAGATCTATGCACTTTGTACTAATTTTTTCATATTTCCTTGTGCCTGTTATTAGTCTCATGCATGAGTTTTGCAGTACCTGAATTCTATGCGAATCAAAATCAAGTAAATAGGGTCCATAAACTACATCCGCGTAGTCAAGAATAGGTAGTACAAGAAATTTACATAAGAAAGCTTTAAGTAAGTAATGTTTGTGTTGGTATATTGTTTTTGATGCTCCGTACGCTTTTCTCAAGTTGTTGGAAACGTGTGTCGTGAATCTTAAATCATCATCAATGCTCATTCCTAGGTGAAATGAAAAAAACTCACCCTGTACATATATACTGAAGTTTTTATTATGATTAATTAATATCACATATTTAAACACTTAAATCTGAGTAAATATACCGTAAAGAAATGTAGAACTTGACCCATGTAGTGCCATATATTAAGGGATAAGTTGTAAAATGTCATTCTTATTCTTACGTGCCGATTGAATTGAATAAGGACCTTTGTGTTTACTGACTAGATAATAAATGAATTATTGGTAATAAGTATTAGCAATAAACACAAACAAAAGTAAGAAAAAGCGTGCGAAGACGTTAAACGGTGAAGAGCGCTTTTTGGTCTGAGGTGAGCTATTAGGAAGCGTTTCTGTCAAGAATTAGACCCATTTTTTTAAATCTTAGAGAAACGGGAGCTGAAGCTATTTAAATTTAATTCAGAAAACGTTAAACCCTTAGAAAATTGAGCAATTGTGGTTTTACGACTTCAATGTAAAATCTAATGTGTAGGTAAAGTTCGCCCTTTGCAATTTTTAAGAAATTGACCTTCTAGGTTGACGACGCATGCAGAACGTTGTAAGAATGCATAGGAAAAAGGCGTTTTCTAAAACCGAGTGTATAGTAAGCCTTGTACCAAATGCAATAGTGAAGATATATAGAAGAGATATTTTCCCAATAGGCATTGATTCACAAATACAGCGCTTGGTTTTAGAACCTTAAATGGTTCTTATCGAAATTGCATCAAATTGGAATCTTGAACAGCAACTTAATGGCATTTGAGCGGCTTCAATACCAACTCTACTGCATAAGATGGTTTTAATATCTTTTGGCATATTGCCTATTGCGTTTCAAAGTTATTCTTACAAAAATACTAATTTCAAACTGATTTGGTCAATTTCTATGAACAGAACTGAACCGTCAATTGTGAAAATCAAAATTAAAAATTTCTGCCTGTTGTCGAGTTATCCTGTTAAGAGTTCTTAATAATAAACGCCTCTACAGCAAACAGGTATTGAATATAATAACACCGGTTTGTTTATATCACGCATTATAAGAATTCAATCCAGATATTTGAAAAGTTGATGAATAGTGTCCTAGTATACAAGAGCAACTTACTAATATTGCGATACCAACATCTCTTCTCATGTAAACCAAATGGACTAAATTTAATTTAAAAATATTAGTCCCCATTCACAATGAATTCGTAATTTGTTTGCATATAATCGAGAAAAATAATCCGTTTAACTGTAATATGTACCAAAGGAATTCGATCACTTACTTGAAAGGAAAGTAATTACAGCTTTAGTATATATTAATAATAAATACACTCTTTAAAAACCTTTTTCCGCGGTTGTCGTGGATTTCATTAAAAAAAAGACTTCTCTTCCTTTCCCAGCATGTCGTTTCTCTTTTAACTGGGCCCTTGAAATGCGAAACCCCATAATAGCCCCTATACTATGGAAATACACCTGTCGTTTCTCAACAAATGTTCCCGTTCTCAACAGTACTTCAGATTGTCTTTAGGAATCTGATTAGTCTGCCTGATGACGTTCGCTCGAAATTTATTGTATACGTAGGCAGGAGGGCCAATTTCGGGCTGAGATGGGAAACTTACGTGAGCTGACTGCTGTGATAACTTTACATCTGGTGATTGTAATAACATATTGGTATAATCCAAATGCTAATCCACGTCAAATTCTCATTGCAACGGATGAGATTAAATCGGAGGCCCGCAATAAATCGCTTTTTCGTTGAGTCAAATTAATTATATGCGACCTGATGTGTTTTAGCATTGAATAAAATAATGTTTTTATTCAATGGTTTTAATAATAAGTTCTGGTTGAGCCGCACTTCTGTATTAATTCCGGTGCATGTTAAAATTAGGAATCAAATCAAGCACCTTGATCACCAATGGAAGTGCAACACTTTAAGAAATAATAATTGGTAGGTAAACTGATGAATGCCACATTCGTCAAACAGTGATAGTGGCGAAGGAGGCTAGTCTGCACAGGGTGGCGGTGGGCAACGTAAAAGTGATGTACCAAATTCCAATAGCAAGGTGATATTGGAATTGCAATTCAATTCCCTTTATGATGAAATATATTTCTAATTTAAGCGATTGTTCAAAAAAACTAACTATCGCTTTCAGACCGCAATAAATAACTTCTTATTGTGATAATTCAGTCAACTTCTCGCTTATATTTCATTTCATTCCATTTATTTTTCCATAAAATACATACTCAATGCGGTCCTACTAAGTCGAACTGCCGATCATTTTTTTTTGTACAATACCTACTCACTTAATTGCTCTTGGCATTTTTAAATAAGGTTTAGAAGACAGTAGTATAGAGGATCTAGTAAAATTGACAGTTGATGCATAGGTACACATTTTATGGAACTTATTTAAGTGGCAATACAATCAAATAAAAAATTTAAATCATTAATTTGTTTCATCGAAATCGAATTTTTCTTCCATGTATTGTCATATTTTTGGAAGTCAGAATATTTCATTTACTATTAAAGAATTCTGATAGCTGCTGAAATGAGTTATGGCTGCAAAAGCTTTCTAAACTATACGAGTTTCCATACATTTAGTAATGATCCTAAGAATTATTTTTATACAGACAATGTCTACATTGGGGGAAGGAAGGGATAATTAGGTTGATGTTTTCAAATGGTATTTGCGATAAATGTACAATATCGAGAATATCATCTCAATATTATTGAATGTCATCTAGGTGCAAAGCGGCCTCACTTCGCAAATTGTTTATGGCCTGGCACCCCAGTGACAAAGACTACCGACTGTTACGTCAATAGTGATTTATTTTAAACTAGCTGTCCGACCCGGCTTCACACGGGTGGTTATAATTTTCGTAGTCGTGGTTACATGTTGGAATGGATGTGCATGATGTTGGCTACAGAAAAAGTAATACCTTAAAATTTGGATTGAAACCCCTTTCCCGAATTATATTTGCACCAAAAATGATGTCATTTAGAATACACATCAGTTATAATGTTGAATATTCTGCAAGAAATGCTTCGATAGAGGGTTGTGTCTTGAAAGAACTAATGAATTCAGTGGTTCAGGTTGACCTTTCTACTGGCACAATATAATTCTGCTGGTTCTATAGTCGAAACCCCAAAGCGGAAGGAATTTTGTGGAGTATTGGACCTTTACTCCAAGCGAGAGAAAGCCCGCACCAATGAATACCTCGTCGTACCTACTGTAGTTTATAGTAAATTTTAAATTACTTCTTAAAAATGTGGTAAATTTAGTCCCTTTATGGCTTAATTGTATGTTGGGTTCCAGAGGCACAGGTTGGAATGAATTTTGTGACATGTGACTGTATTGTTAAAGTCACGGCAAACCTTGCCCTTTTTATAAATCGAATTTGCGGAGATGTTTTTAAAGCAGCGCGCAGTGCTTTCATTTTTAAGAAAAGAGTTTCCAATTTGCTTGCCTTAGAGCATCACATGTTTCGATAACGCAAGCACATCAAAAAAAGAACTATCTAATTTGATGCAGTCGTTCTGAAATGACGCGCGTAAATAAATTTCAGCGATTAATTTATATATATATATAGATTCTAAACAGTTTATATACAAAATATTTACAACAAATAAGATTTTGTCGCAAAAAGCAGCAGAAAAAATTAATTGAACTAAATTTTATTTTCGTTTCAGGGCGACATGTGGCGTATCATCCTAATGGCATCACTACTGTCAGCCAGTATAGAAAAAATTCAAACGGCGGACCAAGTTAAAAGAAGGGCACCTTCTGGTTTTACCGGCGTTAGAGGAAAAAAATCAATTCCCGACTCCACATACTCCGATACGACTCAAATTTTGAATGATCCCGCGTTTTCGAGCGGCGAAGATGGATTAGATAAGCGAGCTCCCGCCGGCTTTATGGGAATGCGCGGTAAGAAACCGTTTCCTGAGTCGAACAGTCTACCGGAAGACATCGAGAAAAGAGCTCCTTCAGGATTCATGGGAATGCGCGGCAAAAAAGAGAACCGTAAGGGTGTTGAGCATTGAGTAGGTACCATAAGATGTTACTAACTCGTGTTATTTCCAGTGGACGACTATGACAAGAGGGCTCCATCGGGATTCATGGGCATGCGAGGAAAGAAGGAGTATGACGCCGACTACTACGGTAACGATTTCGTTGACAAACGTGCACGTGGCTTCATGGGAATGAGAGGCAAGAAGTCAATCGATGAAATTAACGAAGAAGTGAAAAGAGCGGTTCTATCCGGATTCTTCGGAATGCGTGGTAAGAAGCAACCCGCAAGATCTAGCTTCTTCGGAATGCGAGGCAAAAAATACCCATACGAGTTTAGAGGAAAATTTGTGGGTGTACGTGGTAAGAAATCGTCGAATGAAATTGGAGATTACGGTTACTTAAATGGTCACCTAGACAATGAAGAGCAACTGGCAAAGTTCGCAGAAGATCTCGACCTAAATCAACTTATGCTACTTTTGACTGATAACAACGGAAACCAGTGGGACAGTAGTTATCTGGAGCAAGATCGCGTATGAATTTGGTTACATTACACCCTACCTCCTATAAATCTACTTTAATTAATATTCCTACTTAGCTTATACCATGGTAGGCTGTTACGTTTCTCTATAATCTAATTCGCATATACCTACCTTATCAAATAAGTTCCAAAGGGATTTTCTTAATGGCTGGACAGGAAAATTCGTTTCGAGCGAATATTATTAAATGTGATTTACTTTGCCTTTGGATGGATGGTTTGCTAATAATTTACTATGCAATAAATTTTTGTTAGAATATTACCTAAAAGAAAATGTAACATCTACTAAACCTCTAACATATCATGTCAGCACTTTTCTGTCATCTGACGAATTAAAAATCATAGGAAAAATTAGAACATGCTGTATTGTAGTAGTTAAACGACCATGTCAAAGTATATTTAGTTGTTTATTTATCAGTAAATAAATGAATTTATTCTGTTACGAGGTTGCATGTTGCAAAAGCGTACTCTACAGTTTGCCTAGGTACTCTACGTGTCAACTTTTTTGTAACACCTGCCTTCACACACATGAGTGGATAGGTATATTTTAAAATCTTGTAAGGGTCGATGGATAATGCCAAGGGCGTCACTATGCTAACGAATTACTATCAAGCTCATAAAAAGGTGAGTATAGTATAGCAGTTAACACTCTCGTAGTACTAAAATGTGAGATTACTATACCTACTTTGATTCAGAATATTCAGTGGACAACAAAAAGCGCATAATTGAAGACTACTACAAGAGAAGGTATTATACAAACTAACAAATTAAAGTCAATTACAACTCATAAGCTAATAGGGGCACAATAAATTATTGAACTAAAACAACTCATTAGTTGGATGGCTCAGAACCCTTTCCGTTTCATTATATGTCATCTAAATTAGTACCTTGGGGGCATCCGTAAGTGGGCTAAGCTAAAACCACTATCTATAGCTTTTATATTACGCAGCATGCATTTGCTCGACTAAAACAGCAATTAATTAATTGTTTAATTAACTCATTTACGAGAGTGTTACTACAGTATCGGAATGGTATTTTGTTGAACCGGCGACGCTAATGAACGAAGTACCTATCACGCTAATTCTCTCATCTGTACCTACTAAAGTCATCGGTTTGCCTTCTATTCTTAATTCGTTTAATCTCATCGATCACGTAGTGGCGGAAACATTGAGATGAAGATTTGGAGACCTAAAAAAACAGATTGTGTAGTGTGAACGTGTCAAATTGGGCAATTCCGCCAATTTATGGCATCTCGTCTGCACTGTTCTGCCAAGTCTAAACGTTACTCAGTTACAAAGTGAACAAAGAAAATTTACCTGGGGATGCGGTAAGGTGCTATCCTATAGGTACTAGTATTTAAATAAATAACCATACCTTTGATCAGAATCAGATCTTCCATCATATTGTTCATCTCTAAATTTGGTATCTACCAATTCACGTTGTAGTATTCCTGAATTTGTTTATACCCGACCGATTGGTAAGCTGGAGTTTCCATTAAAATAAACGCGCATAGTTTATGAAAAAATTTCCCACATTGTGCCTCCAAACTGAAATACTAGTTCCTATAGGCAGGTTCGGACGGGTACCTATGTATAGTGGTGTGATAATTATCACCCTTTGATAGGATCGCTGCTCAGAGTTAACGCTGTCAGTAAAGACATCTTTGTCTACATGGTACACTTACTTGGGAAGCCGTTTCGGTTATTATTGTACAGTCGTACGGTCGACCAGTTAACATACATAGTTCGCCGATGCTGTTATGTCTATAAGATCCATAATTGGTAAGATTCCAAACGACTGAAGGCGGTTCAAGGTGTGAGTTTTTGACACGTAGGTCGTTGTAAATACTCCCGAAATGTACCTTCTGGTACTGTACCTTTCATACCTTCCATGACTTCACCGTCTACGCTTTACGCAAACAATATCACCTGGATCAAACATTATAGGTGGTAGATTATTTTGTCACTCATACAAAGAACTTCACTTAGTAATTCTTGAGGAGTGAGGATATTACCGACGTCATCTTAGTGTTACTAATAATATTTATTTCATGCCGTAGTTAACAATGGAAACTTACAATCGTTAAAACATAGGAGCAAACTAAATTAATATACTCGTACATGCTAATAAACTTAATAATTAAGTTCATGGGAAAATGGTCATATCGTAGACCAGAAACTCTTCAACAGAATAGAACGCTTTACTTAAATAAAAACGGTTTACCGTTTCTACAACTGCACTTTTACGCAGAATAAGATATCCCTGGAATAACGGCCATAGCAACATGTATCCCGTTGGTGACAGAGTGGTAACCAACACAACCGTCGATATTTATTCTAGGTGTCGCTTGTACTCGGTATCTGCATTCTAGAATCGGCCCTTAGGCAGCTAGATAGACGATTATACCAGATGAATATTTCGAAACCGAATATAGGCAATTAACATGGGAACACGCTGTTCCCCATATTAACTTAGAGGGTTAATAATGACACCAATCGAAAGAAAATTTTTTTCTCATCTAATGATTAACGAATTAGCTCATTTTCATGTGGTTTTTTCCTTATTTTATCAAAAATTCGGCAATAAAACCAACTAGCAAAATTAATCCATTTGTTAAATGAGAACATTTTTCGGATTTTTCAAAAGATTCCACGGTGCGTCCATTTGCAAGAATCATCGGGACCCTTTTTGTAAAGGGTTGTTTTATAGTTCACCATCTATAACAAATTCAGAACGCTCAGGGAGTCACCCAGTTTGAAAGACAAAGCATCGTTTTTTTAATTTGTTTATTTAATTAATCGATAACTATGCAACCTAAGAGAAAAGAAGGAATCTTCGTATCACCCGAGAAACGTCCGAATTAGAATGAAACGCCGATCAATTATGAAAGCCAAGGCATATTTGATCCCAGCGAGGAACCTACTCTTTACGCTGAACATGTCGTCAACCTTACTCATGATACTTCTGTCGCAAGTTCTGCGCATCGGCTCTCGGAACCTGAATAGTGCGTATCACTTTCGATGAGTTTCGTATGGATGGACGTCGGTATTTCGATACTAATTTGCATGAAGTCTTATGGTATAAGCATTAATTTATTTATAATTTAATTGTAGATGTTATCAGTGAGACAGTTTTAATCGTTGAGTGAATTCATTATTCAGTGGTTTAACTGAATTTCACTGGATTACATTGATTTTGGAAGAAGCACCCTTACGAAACTATTTTTGATGATGAATGATGATAATACCTTCATGATAGCGTTACTAAACGCATGTCACCCAAGTTTGTAAATAAAGTTATAACTAGGTACCAGATAAGAAAGTTTGCTTTATTCGCGATTTCTTAACGACAGTGTGCTCTTGACTTCAAAATAAGTACGTAATTATTATTTTACTGTGCAATGGGTTTTGGGTATTCAGTACAGGTAAGGAACGGTGGGCATTTGCACTCGCATTCTATATATGTAGTGGCCGCAAACTTGCTTCCGATTTTCACATAACCAGTAGTGGTAGGAACCTCACAACACTCGTCTAAAAAGTGACGTACATTCATATGCAAATATGTATACCTACAAGTGAACTAAGATACATACATCTGTTTGCCGAACAATCGTCCAGAGGCACGTTACTAACTGCAATGCAAATACGTAAAACAATAGACACAGACATTTCAGACTCATACTCACAGTTATCATTTATCCATTTTCGTGGACAGTCGCTAGTGACTACACTTGAGAACACCGGAGCATATTTTTTGTAAAAGGGCCCCATATAATCCACAATTTGGGAGGAACAGAGTTGAGTAGCGTCTGAAATGGGTAACATGAAATATCTATATGTGTGAGGGTAAAATTAGTTCGTACCTGTGGGTTCACCACTACACTCACTTGCTACCCACCGTGGCCTGAAATAGGTAGGTAAAGAGTATTAAAGCGCCCTAATACATCTAAAAGGACAGCAAAATATATTGGTATTGCTTTAACGGTCAAAATTCCGTAGTAGGTATAAATCGGTCACAATAATATTATATTCAAAAATGTCCGATTGGCATTAAACTCACCCGACGGTAGCATCGCTGGTATCACAGGTATAAATACACGATGTCCCCGCTTGAGAAACCACTTTAGTAGGAATTTTATCTCCTGGTTGATACTGTTTTCCATCCCCTTGATAGTAACACGTAGTCTGCTGATAGTTAATTCTAATCGGTGCCACATCGCAGGAATACGTTACGCGATTTGGACAGAACGGCTTACAACCAAATACCCTGTAAGTTGCTTTTAAGTTGTCACAGGGAGTTTGACCTAAAAAGTGTACTAAATGCTATAGTCCCACAATTTGAGTGGATCGATTTACCGACAATCAGAGTAACGCAACTAACTAACACTAGCCCGAAAAGCATTTTGAATTATTTGTGGTAAACAAAATCTCTCAAGCAAGTACTTATACCTTTTTTGGGTATATTTACCCAAAAAACCATTTCTACAACGTAGGTAATCGCACCAGTTTATCATTACAACCAATATTTGTATTTAATCAACACAAACGTGTTTCAAAAGGAGCTACTAAGAAATTTGAGAAAAACAAGGTTTTATGTTTATATTAGGAAATCTTCTTACCATGTACCTAATTTTTTTTAATGTTCCCTCTCGTCAGGATATTGCCGCCCTATTTTGCATATCATCGCCATCTCTCAGTTTTTCCCCTAGAGAGTGTTAGAGTACTTCTGATGTGTATTTATGTAGTACATTATATGGTAAACGTATTTCTATTTAACTAACTGGTTTCTCCCCAACCGTCACCCAGCGTTTAAACATGACGTTTACCCGTTTGCGTTTTGTCTTGTTAATCAACGTTTACAACTGAGTAACAAATAAAAAAGTTTACTGACGAATGTGCAATCCAAGAGGATCAGATAAGGATAAGTACTATTGTTTTAGCTGTCCATAGTGAAGTAAGTAGGGAGTCTAACACTGATGAGAACCCGAAGTCGATATGTTATTTCTAACAACAGATATAAAGGCAGGTGCATAATTATACTTTCAACTTTACTATATATAGTAGGTATAGTGTCGCTGGTGAAGAACACGAGGAAGCAATTGGTGCAAATTGTCTTGGTTGTGGTGCTGTTACACTGTTACTATAAGCTTAGTGTAAAGTCTATTCTTACACTATGCTATAAGTTGGCCATAATAGTTCGCACTTTTAGGTACTTGCTTTCCAAATTTCATGCTGCTACAACGAGAGGTTCAGCAAAATTAACAAAAGTGGCAGGAAAATCTAAATGCAGAAAAATGTTATGGTCATCCGATGTTTAATGATTCTGTTTCGTTAGCCAAGATTTGTGTCTACTTAAACTATAAGTACTTAAAAACTTTCTTTCTCAAAATAAGAAGCGGAATAAAAAATGTTAATACTTATATGGGATGTACCTACCTAATATTCCATTCAAAATGGCAAAGTTGGTATCGACAGTGCTGCTCAATTGAAACTGTCGCTGTCGCCTTGTTAAAAATGTTTTTGTTCAAGTGAAAATGAAGGAACATCAAAATTTGAAGTCGACAGTATGAGTTGTATTTGAAACGATTTTTTGAGCTTAACGGGCACAAGTGAGTTATAAAATTGTTCTAACTTTTTCTAGAAATTATATTTTTTTACCATGTCGAGTTATGCATTTAAAATGTCTAAATATCAATGGTTACTTCCCCTTTTAGCGCTTAGTAACACTAAGCGACACCATACTTTAAACATAATTTTTGTCTCAAAAACACGTGGGCTGCTCCATAAATCAACACTCCGGTTGCTTTTTGGAATTTTTCTGTACATACGCTCGTTTTTATCTACCTAAATAGCTTATCAGCAATTAATAGCCTCGTAAGAATTGCCCAACAAAAACGCCATTATGTACATTGAAATAAATTAAATAATCACAAGGTAAAAAACATTTTAAACTTGTAGGTAGTATTCTTATCTGATACAGTCAAGTCACAAAAAATTAGACTTAAATATTTGGTTAAGAAGTTGTTAGACCATTTATCTCTGCGAAAGGAGTTTAGCGTAGGCGGTACAAATTTTTTCGCTGCATTTTGTGACAAAAGCATGAAACTCGGTACACGTGTTCATTAGGTCCAAATAAAACTTTTGACCCGCAGCACCCACCGAAATTTTCGTGTGGGTTCAAAATTTGAACACTTTTGTTCAAAACGGTGTTCAAGATTTTAAACCTGTAAAAATTGACGAATTTCGGCATTCTAGGGGTCGTTTTTGAATGATTTAGGGTCGCTGGTGCCAATGGCGGCATTAAAGTTGCATATCTGACCCTTAGGCCCCAAATTTGGAGTATTTTCAAAATAATGGTTGAATTTTGAATTTGATAGTTTTAACCCTGCGTGATGTTTCGGATGTCGATTGCAGCTAATTTGGACGTGCACTACATGCTAGAAATGTTATATTGACGTTAAAACAGTTTCTGGTGTGTAAATAGGCCGTTAATCGTTCAATAATTTATTCAAAATTTGGAAATTCCATACTTGAAGGATTTTGCCGTTCTTGGTGTCGTTTCCATATAATTTGTGGTTGCTGATGCTGATTTTGTATTCAGAAAACGGATGCGACTCATAGTTAGGCCCTTTTCATACTATTTTACCTATTAAGAGGGAATGTTCGGCGCAGTCATATCCTTGTTGCCCCGGATTGCAATAACTATTGAATGACAAAGAAAGACGAAAGAAACGGGCATTCCATTAAAATTTGGAAGTGGACATATTCTCTGATGGGATATGCCGCCTATGCTTCCATTATTGCCCTCTCGGCATCGTTTGTTGGGAAATCTGTACTTCCAGGCAGCCTTGAGCTCACTCCACGACAAGTAACATCACGCAGCGAGCAAGTTCCGTCCGACTTGTGCCCCTTGAAGCAAGAGTGTCGCCAGCTGATGGCCCAAAGATAGGCAAGTTGACATATGAAGGATAAAAAAATTATTAACTGTAGGTATAGTGCAGAGCACATAAACTTTTACTGTTTTACTGTCTTACCTCTACAACCACAGTAATTGTAATAAGGAATTATCGGTCAAGAAAACCAAGACACTTTGGTTGCTTTGCATTTTGCGACTTTTTTTAATCTCTAGACGGGGGCAGCTTCCCTTCCCTGCCCCCTCTGGCGACGCCCTTTCTTTGAAGTGAGGATATCGCAACGATACCGTGAAACGCCATCGATCGCGACGCAGTGCTTAGGTGTTTCCAGAAGTCGCCGAGGCAGCCTCCAAAGTCCATCAGACGGCGGGCGATACGATTAGGCCGCGAGTCACAGGCGTTTTAGGCCCTGCGCGCATATTAAGAGACCGTTACCACCATGACCTGACCAGCCAGAAGCTGGTTCTGACCGCCAGTCTTCGAGTGCCTCTTCAGGTACATCAATAGCACTGGTAGAAGACTGAACTTTTAGTAAATGTTGATCCAATTTAGCCCCTTGGAACTTCGATGCACAGGCTTTGTGCCACTTTGTTTTGATATGAATGAAAGCAGCTTTAATTCTCTTCCCTTCGTTGAGTTGTTGTACCAGATAACCGGCGTCTAGCGTGTATGCATAGGGAACCAGAACCAGCTTCCGGCTGGTCAGGTCATGGTGGCAACGGTCTGTCAATATGCGCGCAGATTTCCTACAGCGACGCGCAGGGCCTAAAACGCCTGTGACTCGCGGCCTAATCGTATCGCCCGCCGTCTGATGTACTTTGGGGGCTGCCTCGGCGACTTCAGGGCACGCGCAGGCACTGCGTCGCGATCGATCGCGTTTCACGGTATCGTTGCAATATCCTCATTTCCAGGGGCACGAGTCGGACGGAACTAGCTCGCTGCAAGATGTTACTTGTCGTGGAGTGAGCTCAAGACTGATTGGAAGTACAGATTTCCCAACAAACGATGACGGGAGGGCATTAATGGAAGCATAGGCGGCATATCCCGTCAGAGAACATGTCCACTTCCGAATCTTAAATGAAATGCCCGTCTCTTTCGTCTTTCTTTGTCATTCAATAGTTGTTGCAATCCGGGACAACAAAGGTATGACTGCACCGAACATTCTCTCTTAATAGGTAAAATAGTATGAAAAGGGCATACGGAAAAAAAATTGTCTCAGATCGACCCGGAAAAAAAATTTTCTTATAGAACGTGTCCTGTAGAATCCATAATTTCAAACAGTTCCAAGAATGGGCTACTAGTTCAAAAGTTACACCCCTTTGAATTTTATTTCGAAATTGGTTTCTAGTCTATAACTTTTGTTTGAGAAGTCTGAACGAAAAAGTACGAATTGTTTTGGATTCGACGCACCAAAATTAATAAGAAAAAGTGTTTTCCCAAAAATTTTGGTGTAGTCGATTTTTGGTAAAAAAGGAAGGTTAATCACTGCCTTTTTTTGAGGCCCGCAAAAAAAATTGTCTCAGATCATAAATTAAAATGTTAATTGGAAGATAATTTCGTACGTGGCGACATCTCATAGGAACTGGTTCAACTATTACAAGAAAATAATAAGGAAAAGTATAGGGATTACCAATGAGATGGCGCAAATGTACCAATTGCATTCACAAAAGACATTTACAGATACTTCATACTGGATCATTGAAGTACAATTGCTCTACAAATCCTACATGAAATTGCACATTTTCAAAACTGCCCTTTAGGGAAAATTGAGTCGGACGTGGCTACAGCCCTTTCAATTTTCTTTCGAAATTGGTTTCTAGTCTAAAACTTTTGATTGAGAAGTCTGATCGAAAAAGTACGAATTGTTTTGGATTCGACGCACCAAAATTAATAAGAAAAAGTGTTTTCCCGAGAAAATTTGGTGTAGTCGATTTTTGGTAAAAAAGGAAGGTTAATCACTGCCTTTTTTTGAGGCCCGCAAAAAAATTTGTTTCGGATCAAAAATTAAAATGTTCATTGGATGGTAATTTCGTACGTGGCGACATCTCATTGCAACAGGTTCAACTATTACATAAAAAAAATAAGGAAAAGTATAGGGATTACCAAAGAGATGGCGCAAATGTACCAATTGCATTCACAAAAGACATTTACAGATACTGGATCATTGAAGTACAATTGCTCTACAAATCCTACATGAAATTGCACATTTTCAAAACTGCCCTTTAAGGAAAATTGAGTCGGACGTGGCTACAGCCCTTTCAATTTTCTTTCGAAATTGGTTTCTAGTCTATAACTTTTGATTGAGAAGTCTGATCGAAAAAGTAAGAATTGTTTTGCATTCTACGCACCAAAATTAATAAGAAAAAGTGTTTTCCCGAGAAATTTTGGTGTAGTCGATTTTTGGTAAAAAAAGAAAGGTTAATCACCGCCTTTTTTTGAGGCCCGCAAAGGAAATTGTCTCAGATCGATACGGAAAAAAAATTGTCTTATAGAATGTGGCCTGTAGAATCCATAATTTCAAACAGTTCCAAGATTGGGCTACTAGTTCAAAAGTTACAGCCCTTTGATTTTCTTTCGAAATTATTCAAATACTATGCGAAGTATTCGAATACTTTACGAAGTATCCAAATACTTTACGAAGTATTCGAATACTAAAATATTTGTGAAAGTATTTGAGTGACAATTACAAATACTGCTTCCATAAAAGTATTTAATTACAAAGTAATACTTTACAGGATTTGAATACTAAAAAGTATTTACAAAATCGAATAGGTACTGCCCAGCTCTGACCAGAAGGACATTTATTTTTTGAAGTCAGTTGCAGGGTTCGTCATAGATTATTTAAATTTAACAAAGAAACAAAAATATTTGCTATACTACAAAAGTTACTAGTCCTGCAATTAAAGATTGCTATACATAATACCTATTAATGTTCTGTAATCTGTATTACCAGTTGTTCAAAGTTGTCAATGGAAACCAGATGATCAAAGGCTATAGCATTTTAACCCAAAAGTATTTCAACAAGCTTATATTGATGACAGTAGGTATTGTGTGGGCAGTAAGTTTGTCAATCTGGGAAAATCAATTATAGGTCCAAAAATGCTAGCATATAAGTTTACAAACACAGGAAATCCTTTATTTACACAAAAATATCACAGAACATGCAAAAGTGTTCATCTATACTATAACGTTAAATAACAAGTTGAACTTTAGTAACATTTAAAACCTAAAGCATTTCCACGCAAACGGAAAATATCACAAAAATATATAATACACAACTCTCTCAAAAATCAATGGCAAACATATTTTCGTGATTGGAATTTGCTTTTGTTAGTTTTGCATATGTCATAATATTAAAAATCAAAGCATTAGTTTCATTCCAGTTTTGCTTTAACATCACTGCTACTAGTTTCGGTTTCTGGTCCTGTTGTAGTACTGTCATTTATATCACTATCGTCACTAAATTCATACTTGGAGGCGAGCATTTGATGACAAGTTACCAAAACGATCACAGATGTGATAATATAATTTAACCGATGTAAAAATACTGAAGAATATATTAGAGTAACACCCACTAACAGTGTAAGTATCTGTCCCAGATACGAGTAACCACATCTGAAACAAATAACAATAAACTGAGTTCTTTTAAACAAAGCAAATGACCTACATCTCTGTTTTTGGTAGATCCATATGCCATAAAGGTAGGGCACAAATTGATAACAACAAACCAGGCACAAATGAAGGATCCGGCTGCAACATGGTACTGTACCTAATATAGAAATGTAATATTTGTTCAAATTAATATAAACGCCATACTTAAAGTTATGCGCCCAGGTTAATACTGATGGCACACTAAGACCAGCCATAATGCACCACATCATGAAAATACTAAAGTGAAAGAATATGTCGTCACAATTTACGACTCTGGATTCTTCCATTTGATTACGATTTTCAATACTTTTTTCGTCAGTTTGATCTGACTCCACTTTACTTTCTTCACTAGACGAATTGTCCATAGCAACCAAATTTTCCACTTTATTTTCAATCTCAGCGCCCTCTTCAGTTTGTGGTGACGATCCCTCCTTTTGAGTATCATCCTCGTGAGTATTTTGACTCACATCCGAGGTAGGATTTCGTCTGAACTGCCTCGCGAAATACTTTAAAACTGTAACTACTAATTGTTCGATGTAATCTTGCGACATCTGGGTAAGCTTCAGAAAATAAAAGATGCAGCCGATGCATAAGCTTAAACCTCCGCAAGTCGTAATACTTAATAATACTAACATTATTGCTACGATCCCCGGCAGCTTATGCAAGACGCTGAGGACCCAGCCTGATAATTTTTCAGATCCCATCATGGTGCGAGCTAAAATTCTAGGTTTGCGTAGTACAATGACATTATTACAAGTATTCAGTCATTTTCCCAACAAAAAATCCTCACAGTCAATTGGTAGAAGTCCCGCAGGGTGAATTGCCGTCACTGCGAATAAAATAGAGGCCCTCTGACAGGGCTTTCTTTACAAAACAAACCACCGATTGTAATTTGTTATCAATAATTGCAGCAACATGTGGCGACCCAACTGACTGGCAGAATTCTTTCGGTGGGCAAATAACCGTGAATCCTCTGGCTTACTTGCAGGCTAATTTATGAAAGGTGGCCTCATAAAAAATCAACGATATCGATAATACTAAAGCGGCCGACCACACTATGCCCACGCTGCTCATGTATAAAATCAATGGTAGCAGCAAAAAGTCGTTACCTTCCTCGGTAATTACATGCCAATCGGGTGCCACCCAAGAATTCGAAAGTCTCTTGCAACTACAAAAGACAATGTAACTAAAATGAAATTAGATCAACGAAACTACCTTAGTCCTCGCGAGACGAGTTTTACCATTGGCAACAGATAGTACGGTTTAATTCCAAACTGCGCCACCTTGAAAAACATACTGCACCTACCAGTAGCTTCGATGCCCAAGATTTGATTGCGAAAAGTTAACAAAAGCACTGCCACAATGTTAGGTAAAAGTAGCGGGGTATAGATTCTCGCTATTTGACCCATACTTCCCAATATATCGTACCTTATACTGGAATGTAAAAAGTTAAAACTTGCGCACCCTATACCAAAAGGTAGATGGTTGATTGTGAATTTCTGAGATGCAGTGCAAATTTCTGAAAAGACTTTCGTTCAGATCTCTGTCACCTCAACAAAGCGGATTGTTACATGACGGTCGTGTTTGTACCAGAGTTTTATATCAGATGCTACTGGAGACAGTATTTCACTGCTATCCCGTGTATCGTTGAAGATATGCTATACCTAATATTTATTGCTACTGTATTAAAACTTTTAGTCTGAATTACATTTTGGTGAAGGTCTGAGAAAAGACTACGGTGGGGGTTCATTTATGTTACAATGAACCAACAAAATCATTTTAACAAACCTTTGGTATTAATCCAAATATCTTCATTACCAAAAAATCCATAAGGACATGAACTGAAATTATAACATTTTTAGTAACTGATACGCATACTAATAATTTAAAACCCGCAAAGCAAGTAAGCAGCCCTATCGAACAAGTAAACTTCTTACATTAGTTTAGGGAGTTGGGGAACTCTGGCTCACTTCAAGACTATTATTTGAAAGACTTTCATGATTGTGATTTACCAATTTTAGCAACAGAAAGATGTACTGGTTGTGGTCTGAACATCATGGCTGTAGAATCGTGTAGAAGGTTTCATGCAGCAAAAGAATAGCCATATTAATAAGTATGCAAGAAAATTTTGTCTCTCTCTTTTTGTTTTTCAACAAGCATTCCGATAATGATAATGGCTGTATAAACCCACCATTAGATGTACTAAATTAGTGATATCGGTAGTACAATGCAAAGATTCCGGCAATTAAAATTCTGTGTCTTATTCAAATATAAGAAGAATTATAATAAAATTATTGACACCAACGTCATATTGTTATTAATATTACAAGCATCAACTGTGCGCAAAACAATTAAGCTGATTACAGTTACTTGTTTTACTTAACACAGATTGGAAGTAAACAAATATGTGCTCCTGTGAGTACTTACCTACAGAAATAAACTTACGCACTCTTACGTTATGTAACAATATGTCTTTTTATGTCCCTTTTGCCATACACCAATGAATGTAAACGACCTGCCAATGCATTTTCAGTTGCCAAAATAAACAGTTAACATTGCAGCCAAAATACCCGTCGCTTATGTCTTTCAATTTCGACAGCACAACAGAAAACAAACGAATTGCACAATCACCCAACCACCATAAAGTCCCTAGTTAAACCAAAGAGAATTAAATATTGAGATTCTGTAAATCATGAAACCAACCACTAAGCAACGTATTTCCATCTATTGATGTATTTCAATATCAATAAAGAGGCGAGTTTGGAGTTCATATCGAGGGCACCGTGGAAGAAGGGCATATCAACAAAAATGTAAGATTTCAGGAAATGAAAAAAACATTTCACAAATTTACTATATACTAAAATTTAATTTAGGGCAGTTATTTCTCATTACTAGTGGATATGTTCTAGTGAGTCTTGTGAATCTTTGAACAAAAAAGCAATCAGAGTATATTTTTGATCTTACGCCCTTTTTGGTATGAGAAAATGTTCGATTTTATTCTAGAACTGTAAGGCGTATATTTCGATGCGAATAAACAAAACAGAGTAAAGAACTGACGACATTTATTTCACAAAAAAAAACACAAATACGAATAAAAGGTGGATAATTTGTAAATAATCTTGCGTTTAGCCATTTTCCAAATGACGTTATATATAGGGACTACTGGTTTATACGCCGAAATTGCGACAACTCACGGTCGTATATGACCATACGCCCTTTTAGCTCTTTACTCTTTATGAAAATCAGTGGTTACAACTTTTTTTAATAGAAATTCCCACTCTCTGATGATGGGGGGCCCAATATATATAAAATATAGTACTACGCGATCAAAAATGAGTTGCTGTCGAATCACCTTTGGAACTTTTGTTTACATGGGAAATCGTATTAAATTAAACTTCCAAAGCCGACTCGACAGCAACTCATTTTTGATCGCCCGGTGTATATATTTCGGTAAATATCGAATGTACAAAATTTTTCTATCTGAAAGTTGTTTAACATTTGATTTCCCATAATAAAGCAGCATTCAGTTGTTTTTATTGCAGAAAACAAATGGGTAATGAACAGTATTGAATGTTTTTAGATGGCAGTACACCTTTTCATTAGGCATTAAGCTGTTAGTGCCCTTATTCAAAAAAATGTTTCAAAAAAATTTATTATAATTAGATCAGTAACATTAATCCAGATATCCGACATCAAAATAAAACAAATGAACATGTACATTTCTTATTAAATCTTGAAGACAAAACGAAATTAGCAGTAACATGGTTTTCATCGCAATGAATGTTCAAAATGTTCACCATTACCTGCAAGGCAGTGGCATAACAAACAAAAAGCTTGAAATAAAAATTAATTTCTTCTACACAGGTGCTAACGTGTTACGTCATTGAAAAGAGAAAAAAAATCTATCAAGTGAGCCTAATGAAAGTGTGCTTTGCTATTTAAAAAAATTCAAATGTTTTTCGTTATTCGTTTGTTTTCTGAAATAAAAACAACTGAATGCTGCCTTATTATGGGAAATAAAATGTTAAACAACTTTCATATAGAAAAATGTTGTATACAGTCGATATTTACCGATATTATGTATACTATATTCCATACATATGGGCACCCTGTATATTAAATTGCAAGTTATTCATTAGGCGTAAAAGCCATTTTTGATAAAAAATGTTCATACGCCCTTCTCGCATGACGCCCTCGATATGCTATGCCAAAGTAGTTCAAAATTATGCAGTTTTCGTTAATTAAACTCAAATTAGCACCAGTAAGCTGTAAGTGAACCCATATTTGTATAGCATTGAATCTCTTTATATTTAATATTCTTTGCTTTAACCTCCAAGCGTGGACAATGCTTTACATATAAATAAAGCAAAAAACACTTAGCCATGTTTACCCTTACCCCATATTATAGTATATGGACTGCAAGTAAGATATAATCATGGACATTGCCTGGATATGTGAGTTTCAGGGTAAAGCAAGTCTGCTCAAAATTGTCCGATGAGATACTTTTTGAGACTGTCAAAGTTATAATTACCAAACCTCAATTAATTAATCACGTAGGTATGCCAAAAAAACATACCTATTCTTATTTGTGGATGTATAGAAGATAATGAAAAATATTTAATTGCCCGCACTACTTGGTTGCTAAAAAAGCTGTTCTTTACGTGGTCTAAGTGGTGTTTACATGACTTTAATTTAGCCCGAGATTCACATACCCACGACTACAGTGCCCCCTACTGGTGACCCCATTGTGTATTGAAAGCACAGGGCTAATAGCAGTCCATGTACTATATCGTCCATGTGTTTACCTAACCGAATACTGGCACAACGGATCCAGTGTCAGCTGAAGTGATGCAGATTCATTCACACCATTAATCGGACGAGAATTGTGCAAGCGTATCTGAAATGGATGTATGTCTTCCTCCCTAAAACACTTTACATAAATTAAGGAAGACCTATAAACAAGCTCACGTAAAATGCTTGTGGGTATTTTGGTTTCCCCATGGCACTTTTAAACTTGCTGTGGCATGATGAACTTTGCTGCTACATTTTATGAGATCCACATAAACTTTGTAAACCTGTATAACATGTGTCAACTGTGGCATGATAATCTCGTAGTATAAACTTTTCTCGTGCGTTTGATTCAGAAGCAGTTGACGTTGGAAAGAAAACCAAGATGGTGTCTTCACTGTTAGTTTTCTATCTGGTTCAAAATATCTATCGATTTGTATTACTACCTAAGATTTAGTTTCAAATTACCTATACACACCAGAACGGGTATAATACACACCGGTTTGCTAGTCGGTAGTAGACGCACAATTACATGAGTGAGCTCAGTGTAGTGTCTTTTCAGTTCTTGCGTGTCCAATTTCAACAATTTTCTCCGGTAGCGAATCGACGGCCAAATTTCAGTAAAATGACTAAGATGAATGCCATCAGAACTAAAACACAAAAATCCATTCACCACCATATGGCGAGTTAATTTGTTACCATATCCGGCGTTGTTCTTGTAATTGCGTGGCGGAACACGCGAAAACCCATTCGACAACATCGACATTTAATGCCACAATTGTCAAGTATCGATAGTCAGTATCTCCGAGAATGCGAAGCATGTGATACTGCATTTGTTGTACTCCATGCGCTAACGAAATTGTGTATTGTTTTTGTAAATTCTCAATCCACTCACTGCGACCTCGTGCGAACATCACCGACTGAGTTAAATGACTGGACTGGATTGATTTGCGAATCTTTATACCGTTGTTCTGCAAAGGAACAATAGGAACAGTATGAAAGATGAGCGGTTGCATTACATTAACTAAATGATGGTAAAATACTGCTCGCAGAAACTCGGGATCGTGACTCATTTGCTTGGTGTTAAAATCTACTGCATCAAATAACCCTCTCGCAATCACTAAGACAAGTTGCTTGCACCACAAGATACATAAATGATCCATTGGTAGCCAAACCAGTGGTACAGATGGACTCTACAAAAACATACTGACTCATGCAGTCGCAACAAATTGTAAACCTAGAATACCACTGGGGCCTAAGTAGTAGCTTAAGCGGTAATCAAATAGTACATTATTTAATAAGGCTTAGTCACTTTTTGTGGCGCATCTGTTATTAAAAAACTCACAAAAAGGGACTTCTAACTCAAATAAAATATGGGGGGTCATTGGAAACTACACCAAATTTCATCGTATATTTACGTTTCAAGGTCAGCTTGAATTTGTTGATGCAAATTGATCAGTGAGTTGATTGTATGATTAAATACAGTTGTTGACAAAATAATAGCTCTGTAATACATTGATCGGTACAGTTGGTGAGGTTCCAGCTGCCTTTTTTTTCTCAAAATGTCAAAATCATGGAGGTATACTGATAATGTGTCAGTAATTTGAGATTTCGCGAATCTTTCCATAGCATTTCCAAGCATAGCATAACATTACGCTTATAACTAAATCTATAGATACTGGATAGTCATACGGTCTATATACATTGACATATGAAATTACAAATTTTCAGCATTATTCTCAATATTTTTGCACAGGATGCACCTTTTCTTCGCTAACATGTACTATTCTCACTCTACTGATGGATTATTAGATGTGTGACAAAATTGTCAAATAATACAAAGTTCGTGATCCTATATGAAAAACATTGCAATTTATCGGACATAGGAGAAAGAATAGCATTGGATATTTAGAGAAGAAATTAAAGACTGTGCCTCTTATTATTACAGAAATTACACTTCAAATATGTTTACACAATGTTCCACTTCTTGAAATATTTTTAGTCGGTATTATAAAGCCATCCTTCATTATGTTGATTTTTTAAAACGTGTTAAGGCATTACCTTTGGTAAATATGCCTAGGAGTTTCCTTGAAAATATTTTCAAAAGCTTCTTACCAGCCCCAGCAGTTTGCCTTAAGCCAGATTAACTTACAAAAACATGCAGACTGTCCAAGTACCTTGCAGTGGTAATAAATGGAGTAATCAAGTAATCATTATAACCACCAGACAAAGAAACAATTGTGCTATTGACAGCTTTATTCACCGTTCTTATGCGATGATAATAATCCAACATGTACGAATCCAACATTAAAGGTGGTCGAGAATGGGGTGCAGCTAAAGTGATAATTAATGGCACTATGCTATTATCGAGAACTGTTAATAGTCCTCGAGCTATGACACCCCCCTGAAAGAAGTAGATGACGAAATTACAAGTGAATTATATACTTGCCATCGAATGTCCAAAAAGGACAATGTTTTTTGGCCGAGTCTTCGGGTATAGTTCTAATATTTGATAAACCGACTTGTTTACATACTCAGTCTGTTCCTGCAGTAAAGCTCCATTAAGACCACTAAATTCATTGTTCAGATTCACAGCAAAAAAGTCAAAGTGAAAGCCAGATCTATCATCCAAACTTTTACGTAGACAAACTGACGCAAGAGATCGAACTGCGAGTAATACAGTTTAGTTACCTACCAATTTTTCTACAAAAACCTGCACCTTGTCTGTAAGAACCTGCATTTCCCGGTATAAATAAAATGGGAATCCCGGTAAACTTCATGTTTCGTGCGTTGTAGGTAAATCTCCCTTCACTATAGGCATACAGGCCGTACTTTCTAAAACGATGGTCGGTATCGAGCTTTATATGCTGCAAGTAAATTGTACGGTCTATGAAGTAGGTAAAGGGCAATTGCATAAACTTACAACAAATTGGGGGTACTCATACATGTAAGTCATTTCACACCGATTTACTTCGTGATCTTTTAAGAAAATTAAAATTCCAAATAAATATGCTAGAGTTACTATCACAGAAGATAGTATAAATCCACTAACCACCCCCATTAATGCAGCTTGTAGCTCTCACATACTCCTAAAATAGTTTGAAAATCTATGAAAATTTGAGGTTAGGGTTTTACTTTCTGTGATTTGTTCATGTAATCCTTTTTCACGCACACTATATAATAATATACAGGATCATTGGACCAGCAGGTATCCTACAATAGTTTCGTCACTGTAATCGTACCCTGCGACTTTATCTAATTTTTGATTGGTTGATGAGATCGGCGACTATGTTACAAGTTTCTGGTATGTACCTACATTATTATTGTGTTTAGAAGTGCATTTATTAGAAGAATATTTGAGAGCTGTGTTGAAATACTCAAAATTAGGTCGTTTAAGGTGTACTCTTGTTAGAATATGTGTGGAATAAAGTAACCGGCTAAAATACACAAAATAGACTTCAGTTATATATAGTTCATATACATTTTTGACTCTCAGATTGTATACTGCCCACCATAAGTAGGTACCTGAACACATAGTATATTTTGATCAATTTCGAAGAAATTTTCAGGACAGGTGCATTTATTCCGTAATAATAAGAAGCGATAAATATTTCAACAGGAAATTACAACAAATTCAAACACCAATTATGAGTGGATCCGGCCCTGTTTCTTGCGCATTCAGCTACTTCCTCTCACAAAGTTTTTGTTGCCCAAAAGCGTATTGTTAGGACGCTGCGAGAATGTTCCAAAAATTCATAGATACATGCAGGAATCTTTTCAAAATCTATTGTCTGCTTGTATTATGTATATTTATTGACATGTCCTATACTTACCATCGTCCATGGAATAAAATTATTATTATTAGAAATCATCCTCATTTGGAAACCAAAGAAGAAAATCTTTAATTACCTACTGTTTATAGTACAAAAATATCAGCACATTTCTTTTTCTGACATACAATGCAGTATACAAAATGTCCTATGTAATATATTATAATAAACAAATTATGTTAATTCATTCGCAGTTCGCAAATAAATAGAACAGCCTTAAATTTTTTCCCTTAGACTTACCATTAATTTATCAAGTTTGAGGGCTTTCTGCATATTGCCACTTATTTTTAACTTACCTGTCATAAACGCAGTGGCAGGTTTCATTTTACCTGAAAACATATCGAAGAAATGTTTGCTATCCATTGTCAAAGTTGCGTCCGCTTCTTGAGGTGGCTGTCCCGTTCCGCACGCTCCTGCACCGGTTTTCAAATCAATAAACCAAGTACTTGACTCCTCACCAGTCACAACAAACTGATAAATTGCCTGAGTTTTTTCGACTAATTTCGGGTTTAATATGCTCTCAATCGTTTTAAAAATGCCCGAGATTTTACCGACAGTGGGAGCTGGGACTTTTTTTATGCTCGTCGCTTGCGCAAAATCTGTAATTTTAGAGATATTTTCATCTATGAATCCGTCCATGTAAAGATCATCTTTAAATTTGGGATTGGAAGCGTAGTGATCAAAATTGGTTACACCAGCTTTCTTTAGTAGCTCTTCGTCCAAGAAAAATTGACCTGTTGGCTTTGGATCTTGGGTGAAAATGTGATACGCGGCATCCGCGACGATTTCAGGTGTTCGCGCATGGTTGTTACTCGACTCTTTTCCAAGGAGCATTTCTACTGCTGCCGTATTTATAACTGCAATTAGTAATAAAAGAAATCAGCGTTGACTTAAATTTCAAGTAGGTAATGTAAAAAAAACTGTGTTTATTGCACAATGGGTATGAGCAAATTACAGTTATCGAAATTTAATTTTGCTGGCTACGCTTAAGCTAAGCTAGGCTAAAACTTGTCAGTACAAACGGCCATACGGGCCATTAGAGGTGCGTTTTTTTTATTGCGAGACTTATGAAATGTACCAAAATTCGGCAGTCATCTCTCTCCTTTTGTTTTAATCAAGAAAAGAAAGGGAATGAAATAATGCATGCTTCATTCTGCATTGTTACATAAAATGCTTTACAAACCTGTTTTTGGCCACAATGCATTTACAGCAATATTAAATGACTGGAGTTCCTCGGCTAAACCAAGCACACACATCGACATGCCATACTTGGATATCGTATATGGAAGATTTTTGCCAAACCAAAAGGGATTCATATTCAAAGGTGGTGATAAAACCAAGATGTGAGCGTGTGAGCTTTTCTTCAAGAACGGTATGCATAGTTTAGATCTGAAACAGTACAAGGTGCGACCTTTACTGGCAGAAGTAAGGAATGTCTTACACCAAAAATGTACCCCTGGTATTGATGTTATTCATTAAGTCATATCTCTTCATGGGGGTTTCTTCTGTAGATGTAAGGGAAATTGCGGATGCATTATTAACCAAAATATCAATACCGCCGAACTTTTGAGCTGCAGCGTCAAGGGCATTCGAAACCAAAGCCTCATCACGTACGTCGACGACACAAGCCAAACCTTTACCGCCAGCTTCCTCCACTGCAACAATTGACAATTGTTGAGAGAATTAGCTTGTCATTTGTACCTTCTTTAACAGCAGAGTGAATTGTGCCAGGTAGTTTAGGATGTGGCTCGACCGTCTTCGCAGCAATCACCACATTTGCTCCATCCCTGGCTGCCTTTAAAGCGATTGCTTTACCGATTCCCCTACTTGCTCCTGTTATAAAAAGAGTCTTTCCCGCTAATCTAAAAATATACCTAAATGCTTATTTTGTTTGTATCTTAAGTGGCTCACCCTGTTTGTATCATCTTGGATTTGGTTACAGAATGAATACTGGTTAGTAGTAAACAATTGTCATTAACTGACAATGATGAGAATAAATAAAAAATACAAAGTCCAGTTTAAAGTTTATATTTAACCCACCACTTGACCAATTTCCTAACGGTAGACAACTCTCCATAAATTTACAGTGGTGACGTACACTTTCTCGATGCGTAATGCACCCCACTCTTGATAACAATTGAGTACATTTGAACTAATTTTTGACCTAACCTGGAATTTGGACCTCTACCTATGGAATTATCGTTCTGTTCTTGACTTTGGACTTCGCTTTCTAATTGTGACTTATTTAAATCATGATAAACACAGGGTATGTAATTGCAACCATTTAGGTTCCAAATGTAAAGCTCTAATTGCAGCAAATTAGCTGGTAAAACTCTGTTTATCACAGGAGCAAGTAGAGGAATCGGCAAGCAGATTGCTCTAAAGGCAGCTCGTGATGGCGCAAATATCGTTGTGGCAGCCAAAACAGCTGAGCCCCACCCAAAACTGCCTGGCACCATTTACACAGCCGTCAAAGAGAGTATGTTTGCAACGTAATTTATGATTGCTGCTCTAAGTGTGCATTTAAGTTGAAGATGCCGGGGGTAAAGGTCTGGCTTGTATTGTCGATGTACGAGATGAGAAACAAATTACTGCAGCCGTTGAAGAGGCCGTGAGGAAGTTTGGTGGCATCGATATTGTTATAAATAATGCTTCGGCCATTTCATTAACCAGCACCGAAACTACAGATATGAAACGATACGATCTAATGCATAATATTAATACAAGGGGGACTTTCTTAGTGTAAGTCTAATCTAGAGCCATTATTATTAGATTATTGGTAAAAGTGTTCATTCAATTCTGTGGTTCTACAGTTAACATGGGACACTATAAATTGCTTTGGTGTAGATAGTAAGATAGAGTATGTTAAAAGACCTCTTTAGAGAGTTCAATCAAAGAAAGAAATATATCTGATAATATACAAAAAGTTACCAGTCTATTTTATATCTAGTAGAGCTAGTTATACCATCTTTGTTTTATAGTTAATAATTTCAAGCCTTGCTTACACTTTATTAATACTTATTTACAGATCGAAAGTATGTCTTCCATATTTAAAAAAAAGCTCTTGGGCCCACATACTGAATTTATCTCCCCCTTTGAATCTAAACCCGCGTTGGTTCAGCTCACATTTAGCATATACCATGGCGAAATATGGTATGTCGATGTGTGTTCTGGGCATGCAAGAGGAATTTAAGCAGGACAATATCTCTGTAAATGCACTCTGGCCTCGGACAGGTAGGTACCATGTGTAAATGTTGCCGTTAATACACATTATTATTCAAGCGATTGATACGGCAGCACTTCAAATGCTCTTAGGCGCAGACCAGAGCAAGAAGCATGGGCGTAAACCAGAAATACTTGCGGATGCCGCTTATTGGATCTTAACGCACGAGTCCAAACCAACTGGCCAATTTTTCTTGGACGACGAGGTGTTGTTGAAGGCGGGCGTTAGAAATTTAGACCAGTATGTCGTCGATCCCAAATATAAAGATGAACTACACTTGGACTTCTTCGTGGATCCACCAGAAGGGGCGCCGATCACCAAGGCTGTAGTAAGTGGTAAAATTGGTGAAGTCTTTAAATCGTTTGAAGGCATTTTAACTGCTGATGTGGTGAATTCTTATAAATGTACATACCAATTTAATATAACCGGGGAAGAAGCCGGCAAATGGTATTTAATTATACTCCAATTATTATAATGTCGGCCGTTTTAATTTTCAGGTATTTGAATTTAAAGCAAGGCTCGGGGTCGTGGGGTAAGGGCGATGTTTCCAGTGAAGCAGACACAACATTTACGATGGACAGTAGCATATTTTTAAGTATTTTTCGAGGAAATATGAAATCTACGGCTGCCTTTGTTGCGGGCAAAATGAAAATTTCTGGAGATATGATGAATGCAATGAAGCTTGAGAAATTAATGAGCCTTCGGAAATCAAAATTATAAATATGCATCACCCTATTTGTTGGTGATATACCCATTACAATGGTTATTATGTTATTGCTCTTCAGTTACATGCACGAATATTTTTTTAATAAAGGTTATTATGACTTCTGAATTAATTATTATTTATTATTCATTAATATACGAGGTGTCAATTTTAAAACTTGCAGTCGGCCATATTTTCCAAACCAAAGAAGATATTGAAAATCGCGCAAAACCGTTTCGGGGGTATCGAAGGGGAACCAGAATGACAACCCCCCCCAGCCCCCCTCTTCAAAAATCCTAAATGGCAACCCTATGCTTGTGACACATCGTTGGAAAGCTACTACTCTTCCTTCATAATCATTTGATTTATGTGAAGGATTTGGATAAAACAATTAGAAGAAAACGACAAAATATCTAATTACGAAATATACATTAAATTACATACAAAAACTAAGCCAGGTTTCTATCACAATTCTAAGTGAATTCCTACTCGCTGATACTATATGCTTTATTTGCGTACTGTTTGTTGTCGGCGAAGTAGGTTTTTCTCGTATGAACTTTCATAATTCCTCCATAATTGCCACGTTTACCTTTACGCACCTTCGAATATTTGTCACAAAATTTCTTCAGCACACCTTCAGTTGTTTTATCATTGTCCAACTTAAACTTACTGGCTGCGACTAAATTAACATTGTTAGCATCCAATAGCGTACTCAAATGTGAAAGACGAGGGGCGTTTGGTAACACTCTTCTTAGAAGTATGACGGCTCTATAAAACGTGGTATCCTCTGGACGAATACAGTGCGTTATTTCGTTTGCCGCAAACCCGCTGAAATTACGCAAGTAATTGTAAATTGTATTGCATGTGAGCGAGCTGCAACATACCTGAGCAAAGTAACGACACCCCGTGGCAAAGGAAGGCGTAGGATCGGTTCGCTACAACGAATTGGCTTGTATTCGAATTTACAGCCGAAACACATTGCACAATCACTGAACAGGCTGATGGATATTATAGGGCGATCGAAAATGTGAGGGGGATCAATATGTGAGACAATGCAGCCACCTGGTAGGTATTCGTTTATGACGGCACTATTCACAAAGTTTGCCTCAATTACATTCGCCGAAATGAGAGGATTTATAATATACAAATAGATCCAAAGCGGTATAGGTTCTATTAGATTGGACGGGTATAGCCGTTCCAATCCGAGTCGTTTCTCTGACATTTGTGCTCCATATGTGTACCGCTCCCCGAAAAAGTATCTAAAATACGGACTTATTAACCTGCATTGTTGAGACAAATATACTTCGTTCTTAAAAGGGTCCTGTCGATTGAATGGTGCTGGTAACACCCAACGCTTCCCAAGTTGATAACGTCTCGCACATATGCTTCGAGTCGGTCGCATTCACGTGCTGAATACACAAATGGTTGTTCGATGCTGTTGACCAATTTCTCTATAGTACCCGTCCTAAAATAAGCAATGTTAAGCAACTGAAAATCCTTTCTTTATTAGTACTTGCAGAAATGAGCATCCATGTTGTATTTCAGTATCTGCACAGGTGATTTATTTCTTCCATTATCTTGTGATAAGAGGATTTATTCAATTTGAATTTCAATAAATCAAGTGTAGAGGACTTGGAAGAAAAGAAATAACTGCAGCCAGTTTAATTCAAAATTTAGAAAAGAGAATAAACCCACACATTTCGTGATTTTAAAATAATTTTAAGTTGAGGACCTCTTACATAATTCCAAAGTTTCAAATTAATCGCGATTTATTTTTAATATCAGCTTTTTTATTATTGATTTAAAAATCGTATTTGTGATCTGTACCAACTTTTAATGATTATAGCTTCGTTTTAAGGATTACCTATCAATCTAAAAGAGTTTAACAATGTACTGTATCTGTATCAAACTACAGTAGCTACAATAAAACAAATTGCACCTAACTAAGGAAAAAATTTGATTACCTATAACTATGGTACATTAATACAATAATGGGAATGATCAATTTATATTACGTGAAAATATAACATTAAACTTTTTTACAGTAACCAACATTAAACTAATCAATGGAAGATACCCTTGGCACTCCTATATCAGTACGTTGACTCAAAACTTTTAATGACTCATGCGGTCCAAGAGTGCACACACCAATTTCTTTGAGAGCTTGACCTCTCTTATCCTCGACCCCAGTGGCGCCTTCCAAAGCAGTCAGCATGTCCTTTAATAAAAGCGCAGACCCTTGGGTAATGTTGAGTAAAATGCATGCTTCGTTTAAACTAAAACGTGGTATCTCAAATTAAGCGTAATTTAAATTTACTTTACTGCGTGCAATAACTATCCGGTTTATCGGTATATTGGGCGAACAGGGGTAGTAAATTCCTCATTGTGTCAAACTTGAACTGTTTGGCTCCGCCTTCATTAAAAGTATTGGCTAAAACTAATTTTTCATACAGGAATACGTCAATTTGTTGGGCGACTAATCTCCAAACTACTATGAATAGCTTGACAGTTAAATATTTCTTAAACTGATGGAGTTTCGTTCCAAGCAATTCGAACATAGGACAGGCGGATGGAGTCAGTGAATAACTTCTCATGTCCTTCATTATTGTCATGCGTGACCAACTAAACAAATAAATCAGTTGTGACACCCAGTTTGAATAACACCCACCTCTCTCGTCGGTAATTCTTGCTGCAATAACGTGCCTTTAAAACAGTTGAATCAACCAAAGCATATAACAAGTCCTTTTTCATGTGCCGATAAAGTGAAAGTATTTCTACGAAAACTGTGTCTGTATCGACGTCGGTTAGGGAATTATCTAACTCCGAACTGAGTAAATTCCGTGTTTTAGTAATCTCGCTCTGATTTTTATAATAGTATAAATTTAGAAAATGCTAAAATAGTACAGTAATTTTTAAACAATAAAAGAAGTGCACGACGCATACCAACATTTGGCCCCAATCTACTAGTACATTTTCAATGTAGTGCGTTGTATTAGCAATGATAGCAATTTTCGAGTCTATACCTTCACCATTCTCGGCATTTCCCAGTTGCAGTAAACGGACACGAAAATCATCCAAAAGCTCTAGCTGCAATTCTAAAAATTGCAAGCGGTGACCAGGCTGAGGTAGCCCCTCGTAACGTTCCGTAATCGTTTGCAATAACGTTATAAAAATCTCGGCGAAAGGCATTATTTTAAATTCTTCAATCTCGCTTGGTTCCATCACGATTTCGGTCTGAAGGGAATCTGAGAGCATGGCGTCCATCTTCTCTAAGGCGTCTAATTATTCGTTACTCATTTCTGATGTGTTAAGCTCTCGCAATACTTACACTTTTTCTCCATTGCCATCCACTTGATAAAAACTTGCGCCTGAGTAAGAACAAGCAGAATATTCGGTTGATTTTGAGGATACTCGTAATTCATCTTGAGCTCCTTATCAAATCCCAAGGCCTCATCGATACAATGAGAGAAGGCAAAGTCATCATATTGTAAGGTTGGCAAATCGCCGTATAATTTTTCTACAGCCATTTGCACGAGACCCCTCATTAATTCAGTCTGAAAAAAACATAACTTTTATAGCAGGTTCTGATATAATTTTTTAACTATATAAATAGGTCGCAGTCACACATGTGGAAGGACATATGTTGTCTCAATAGGTAAATTGCGTTCGCAACTGGTTTCATGGTTGGACGTACTGGCTTCATTAGTTTCATCGCGTAAATGGACAAGCCGCCTTAGCATTTAGAGAGAAATATCTACCTTAACTTCGATATGGTACAATCCCATTTTATCTACAACGGGTTGTAGCCATTTGTCGACAAAACCACTGTGATCCCTTATCCATGAAAGAATCTTTGTAAAATACCTACAATACTCAATCAATCCACCAGACCGCAAATCAACCCAACATTTACCATTCTGGTTTATCAATACGATTTGTTTTTCTCGAACCGTAGAAATGAAACAAGAACCTTTTTTTAAGCGGCGCAATCATTAACTCAATGGGTAAACTCAGTGGTAAAAAATTCGACAGCAAGCCGTGAGGATGCAGCGGGGTTACTAGCTCTTCAGGCAAATCGATTTGCAGCAGGTACTCGACAATTAGTTGCAACTTCCTTAAACTGCCCTCACCGGGAGCTTCTATACTTAAATTGGCATTAACAAATGGCCAATGTATTGCTTTCAGTACATGATCGAGATCTCTAAAAAAATACGAAATGAATTACTCAAAGGCAACATGTAGCATACTGTGATAGTTTGTTCCGCAAAATCCCAAACCAGTAGTCCACTTTCGCTTTTATGTAACTCCGCAAGTGAATGGCTGGCGTATCTGCTAAATGGCGTGCGATTTCAGTGATGTTAGCAAAAGCTGTGGTGCACAGTTCGTCGTCGTTACTTTTTAAGTGCACTTCCAGCTGGTCACTATGAAATGACAGGTAAACAAACAGGCACTACGTCGTCCACATACCATAAGTCCTCAATGCTTTGTATAACTTTAAGATACTGTGCCGTACATTCCAATACATTCAGCTTCTCAAAGTATGCTTCCAATTCTGCCTTGACTGCATCCACCTCCTCCAAGTGTATCCGAACTTTCTCAAGACAACTTTCGCCATCGCTCAATGTTTTTGCAATAATTTGGCAGTGATCTGCAGCATTTCTTAAGGTAATTGCAACAGTAGCGTGTTCACTACTTAAATCTAACTATAACAAGTTAAAATAATGTAATGGTCTTAACGGCCGGAGTATCAGTATACTTCATCTGTGATTGTCTTCGTCTCACGATCAAACTGCTCTTTCAGCTTTAAACAACCATCAAGGGTAAATAGTTGGCTGCCATAGTTTTCATTTAACTTTCGTATCAGGTCTTCATTCTCCAAATTCATGATGGGCTGATGTGTTTCTGGAAGATAACCTAAAAACTAACTTCAGTTAGATTGTGCCATTTTCTACTGGTCCCAGGTTCCAGCTTAAATACCTTTGATGATCGCTTTTAAATTCTTTATATTTGTAACTGTGTACACCGTGAGTCTGGATTTATTTTGGGTTTATGTCAAACTAATCGAAATATTAGAAATCGGTGGCAGCCTTCTTAAAAGTGGCCTGTACAAATTGGATCCGGTGTATGACTATGTCATAGGTATAACGGTGATTGAATTCCCCAAAGTTTGAAGAGATTTTTTATTGTAGTGGGTTGCGGTTCTGCTGGAAGCATTGTCGCCTTAAGACTTTCGGAGGAGAGAAATGCTTCAGTTCTCGTTTTAGAGGCCGGTCCAACTGGAACATCGTGGTTCGACATACCAGCTGTCGCAATTTTGTTACGTTTATCCTCAGTCGATTGGCAGTACAACACGGTGCCTCAAGAAAATGCTGCCAAGGCCCTTGAGGATCACGTAATAATATTCACAAAATTATATCCGCTAGTTCTTTATTCTTAAAAATTCAGGTTAGTAAATGGCCAACGGGCCGAGTTGGGGGTGGCAGCGGACGATTGAATAGTCTGTTGTACATGCGAGGTCATCGTGAAGACTTTAGGGGATGGTCTCAAGATCCCAGTGCTTATAACTACGAGAGTGATATTTTACATTATTTTAAAAAGTCTGAAGATCACAGGGGTGCCTATAAAAATGATTGTAAGTTGATCATTCTTAGATCTTTTTATAATTTCTGGATGGTAGAACACAAGAACATAACAAGGTTTCTTTATTAGAACTGAACTTATGAATTTATCGGTATTGGTAATACGATACATTTCAGTAAAGTATCATTCCACCGGAGGTCCCCTAATAGTTGAAGATTTCTTGCACATAACTGCACTTGGTAATGCCATACTGAAAGCAGCGGAGACCTTAGGATATCTCATCCGTGATCTAAATGGCCAACACAGCACAGGTATATTTTCCTTCCTTCCGCATTGATTTTAACAAATTTTACACATAGGATTCATGCGGTCGCAAATCAACATTAAGTCGGGAGGACGTTGGCTACCACTGCACCATCTTCTATCGTTAAGTAGACCGAACCTAGTTATACAGAGTAACTCTTTTGTCGAAAAGGTTTTGTTCAAGTCAGACTATGAGGCTTATGGAGTTCAGTACACACATTTGGGTGTAAAGGCAAACGTAAGGGCTCGCAAGGGAGTCATTTTAAGTGCTGGGAGTGTAGGAACGCCAAAGCTTTTAATGCTATCTGGTGTGGGAAAGAGAGCTCATTTAAGTAATGTAGGCATTAGGACTCGAGTGGATCTACCCGTCGGTGACAATTTACAGGATCATGTAACAACAGGTCTCGATTTAGTTTTGCTCAACACCAGTGTACTGGACGTTTTCAAAATGTACTATCCTAGTACCATCTTCAACTACTTTTATCATGGCACAGGTATGTGGACAGGTACAGGTTGTGAAGTTTTGGGCGTTTTAAGTACTAAGTGTCTTAATTCTTCATTGGAATACAACCAGAATTGTTTAAACGATGAGAAATTGCAGCCTGATCTTCAGATATTGGTGATGCCACTTGGCGCAGCCAGCGACGGTGGCAAACACCTTGTGAATGTGGTAGGGTACAATGATATAACTCGAGAAAATTACATTGAGCCTTTGGTTCGACAGTCGACAATATCGCTTATACCCGTCGTGCTTCATCCTAAAAGTAGAGGAACTGTACGCCTGTCTAATAGGGATCCCTACAACCGTCCATTAATCGATCCTAAGTACTTATCAGACCCTTACGATGTCACCATATTGCTGAAGGGAATAGAAATAATCAAAAAGATTATTTCAACACAACCAATGCAACAATTGGGGGCCAAATTGAATACAAGAAAAATACCAGGATGTGTAACCTTCGAGTTTGATACTGAGGCATATTGGGAGTGTTACGTTAGGCACTTGACAATGACGGCATACCATCCGATAGGCACCTGCAAAATAGGAAACTCCTTCGATAAAGAATCTGTGGTTGGATATGATTTTCGCGTGCATAATACTAACAAGTTATATATTGCAGACGCGTCTGTAATTCCGACATTGATAAGTGCCAATACTAATGCGGCAGTGATGGTCATTGGGGAAAAAGCTGCTGAGCAAATCAGGTACGATGGTTTTTTAAGCGGCGGTAGTTGTGATCTAATCGAGTTATTTATACCAAAAATTATTTGTCAAATATAAGTTGCATATGGATCTCTGTTTTCTTTTGAAGTAACCAAGAAGGGCTGGTGCTTGAATGTCGCCCTTTACTAGAACAAGGTTAAAGCTACTTTCCCTACAAGCGTTCTCAAGTTCGCCTCAGCGTGGGGTGCTTTTGAGTGACGCTGGAAACAGACGACTATAAATATTGAGGGTACACAGTTACAGGTTTTCTTATGCCTTTTATCTTTGCTTGTTTCTTTAAGCGTTAACATCAACAAAGATTTATTTCAAATAATGTCTCTTGTCATAAAAATGAACATAAAATGAAATATCACAGAATAGCAAATAGGCTTACAAATTCAAATAATCTTAAGTACACTCCGTATGTTTCTAGAGCAATTAGTAAACTTTTTGTAGTCCACAACATTTTTAATGCTATCTATTAATTTGCTGTTTTTAGGTCTTTGGTAGTATTATTGTTTTAGAAATGTATTACATCTTGTATTTGAACCCTTGGAACAAGTAACCATGTACAAATAGAAAAACAAAAAACACCAAATTAGAAACGATAAAAAACTTTTATTTAATTTGATAAGAAAACAAGACCATTATATACTCTAATAACAATCCATGACGTTGATATCATTGTTATAACACTTAAGAATATCATCTAGAAGGGATCCCAAATCATCAATTTGACGCAACCAATTTGTGCGCTCGACAAGCAACTTATTTAAATCCCTTTGAACGAAAGTTAAAAACTCTTTTGGGGATGTTTTACGTTGCACCATCTTCACTGTACTTGGCGAAACAAAATCGTTTTCATTTTTAAAAACATTCACAAGCAAACCAATATCACGACTATTAACAATGTCATTAACAACTTTATCCGAGTACGAATTTATTTTTAAGTCATCCCCTATATTGAAAGCCTCCAAAACTGTTGGCGGATCTGGGGAAGCGGGACTATCCTCGATGATATTATACGATCGCAGTAACCGACTTAAAGTTTGCGTTATTTCGACAGACTTCCTTAACACTTTAATATCACAATCTTCGTGCATGCAAGCGACGAGAACGCCTAAACAACCGCAATCACTCAGTTCATTCAGCACTTTGTTCAAACGTCTTTTTATCTCGGCATCAGTGAGCGTTACGATTTTTCGATTTTCCTTTGAGAAGGTGACACTGGGAAAGGTGCCGTCGATCATTCCCTGATCGGTCAGATGCATATTAATCACTTTACCCCAATACTCGAGCGCGTTCTCTCTCACTTCCCAATCCAAATCCGTTGTCGCCGCGAAAACCATTGCCTCATAGACAACCTCAGTGGACGACTTGGGAAAGGATCGGTGCTCGTATATTACGCTCATTAAACGTGCCGCCTCACATCGTACGACCGCCTCCGTTTCATTGTAGAGTATCTGCATCATTTTTGACTGAAATCAGAATTGTAAATTATAAGTAAGAGAGGTAAGTAGATTACCGGCAGATCTTGTTGTTGCAAAATCGGGGTCCATATCGATGATACCTGTATCATCTCTTGAAGGCATTTTATTGCGGAAGCCCTGACGTAACTTTCACTATCGTGCATTGCCACTGTTATTGTTAGCAATGGAAATTCTAAATCCGTTATGATACTTTGAAAGGCAGGATATTCTAAAAATGAGTAGGTATAAGTGTTAATAAGTTTACTAATTATGCAAGTTTCGGTCGGTGCTTTAGACATGGAAAATAATAAAAACTTCCGACCCACTTTAGAGAGGAGAACTGGTATTACAATATTTAGTCTTGGCAATATGAATGGTGAATGATCGTGCTACATTCACTACACTGACAGTATTATTATTACAATGTTGGGTTGGATTGATAGAGATTGTCTCTGGTAAGGTAAGGTATGACCTTATTGTGCCATGGGTATTTTGTTTAGGGTCTTTTATTACCCAAAGAAAACAGAAAAAATTAAACATCCTACTTCTACAACGCGAAGTTCAGTTCTGTGAAAACTACCGCCTTCTGTTCTTTCACTTAACTTACTACCTTACATTTTGTAAACAATTCGCCATAATTTCTAAATGGTGTGAAAATAAATGAGGCAAAGTTACCCTCTCACATATCATAAACTTACTTGTATGTGATATACTCGCAATGGTGTGCAAAACTTCAAGAGCACTGTCTCGTACCTCCCACTCCAAATCGTGTAATTTCGACGTAACCATTCTTCCTAACCTTTCCATTTCAGTCGTTCCATCCACGAGGAGAGCCAAGTTGGGTGGCATAAAGCGTGAGATCGCCAAATTCACCAGCTTCAAAGCCTGGACAACAAGCTGAAACCATATCAGTTTGCATAAGGCCAGTAAGCAGATAACACAAATGCCTCAGTTTCCAACTAATCTAATTCCATTAATTTAAAATTTGGTATTTATCATGGGGGAATAATATTTTCTGAATTTATCACTTTTCTTTTTATAATACTTATTATTAGGTAGATAAAATTCTTTATAAGGATTTTTATTTGTGGGGCCAATTATATACAGGGTGTTACATATAAGTATGTAAAAAAAAGTAGGTGGTAGAGAGGATCAAAACAAGCACTTCTTCCTAATAAACCGAGGGTCTAACTAATTTCGCATATATACTTAGTTGAAAATGTGGCAAATAACCTATTTTTCCTAACATGATAGTATTTCAACAATGCTAAAAAAAGCTGTTTGGACAAGTGCAATAAAAACATAGTTCAATTGCCTTCATTTTCTTTCCAGTGATTTCAAATTGATCTCGAGAAAAATGTAGGTACATGGGATTTCAAAGGAGAATTACCCCTTAAAAATTCACTAGATCTTATGAGGGAGAACTCAAGCAAAGTGGATTATAAAACATACCTTTGACGGCCAGCATGCCACATTGATTATGTCAATTGCGGTGCCCATAACGCATATTGTCTCCACGCTTTCCCTCCATGTGATGTCAAACTGCTGGATGAAGACCGAAAGAACATCAAAAGTTATTGTAAAAAAGGAGACCTGCTTTGTGAATGTATCCACCATATTTGGCTTCGATTTCATTGTGGTAATGACGTCATTAAGTATATACATGTAGAATTGAAATACAATGACGCCTCTGTCTCGATTGTACCAATTTCGACTCTTCATCAAATATGAGGTGCTCATTAACACAAAGTTAAATATATCGATTTTATCATTCAGCAAAGCCGTACGGTAATTGTACAGCAGCCGTATGGTGTGCTCGCATAATGTTTTAACGACCTTTGTTGCAAATTGATCACGAAAATAATCTTCGAAACATTGCTCAACAGACACACCACAGACTTTATACGAAATGTTGCATACTGGAAACATTTGTATCATCGCAATTTGAGTTTCGAACATAATTTGTGCCTCATCCGAGTTACAATCTATACCAGGTAGACGTGATTCGATAAGTTTCCAATAATATTGCAACAGGTAGCACATTTTCGGTATATTTGACACAAAACCCTTGGTCAGATTCAACGTAATCAGCTTATAAATTTGTTCCACCAACTTTTTGATACGTTTCCTTTGAAATATTTTCGTATCGGAATCAATGGCAAGCTCACAGAAATGCACCAGTATCATAACGCGATTGATGTCTTCAAACAGCTTTTCATTTTGACTCCCTAGCATAATCACATTGCACATGTTTTGCTCCAGATGGAAATTCTTCAAGAACAGGCTGGGAATGTCGTAGTTGCCATTTGTGAACAATTCACTTTTCAAGCATGATTCTAAAACTGTTCCAATCAGCTGCAGGGAAGGTGTCATTTTCCCCTGTAAGCTTTCATCGTTTACGACTCCGTTGGTGAAGGTCATTTCGGTGAAGACCCCCATAATCTACAAGCAATGAATGTAAGTAATTTTAACACACATGCCCACATAGCGAAAGTGTATACAATGTATGTAACAGGTTAGAAAATGGTTAGAGCACGTAGTGAATTCTGAAGTTAAGAAATTAATGACAAACCATGTGGTTTTAATAACTGTTGAGAAAGAAGCCCATAACAAGACAAAACATGGAGCAGTCAAGAGGGAAGGAACGTGCAAATTAAAAAAAACAGCAGCTCAACATTGCCCGCCCATGTGGCGTAGTTCAGTTGAAGTCGGACCACGGCACTAAGGGTTCCTGATTTCAATCCGGGTTCGGGCATGGATATTGTAAATGTATAGTGGATTGAGTTGGTACCAGTCTTGGCTGAGACCCCGTCCACTTAAAAATAAAGGCAAAAATAATAATAAAATCACATTTATTTATACTTGCATCAGGGAAAAGTAAATTGGACTCAGAAATCAAAGTAGGAATACAAAAACAGAAAGCAGAGTATGAAAAGGTCACAGGTCAATTTGAGAAATACCCAAGGCCCAAAACATTTTGTATGTTTTTGTTTTACTCTAGGAGCAGATTTGAAGGTGAATCGGTGGATCACTTTGTTGAACAATTAAACTCTTATTAAAAAGTGAAGTACCTATAATTGGAGATACCGAAATACAGAGGCAAATCAATCACAATTCACAAATTAAACAAATCTTCAGATTTTGTGTTCCCTAAATATCTATATTAAGTCCAAACCATATATTTAAAGAATATCGACATAAAATATAAAATATTTACGTCGGTAATGATTAATAAATAACCTTATGAGAACTCACCTTTTCAACGACCATACTGCAAAAAACTTGGTTGAACTGGGAACCTTTCGCCAGTGTGTTACACACAAAATTGTATCCCTCCTTAGACACATATGTCGTTTGATTTTCTAAACTATATCTGATAACGTCGTGCCAATTATCTGTTGCAATCAGCCAACTAACGCCAGAACGGTGTTCAAGAAATGATGACAATAACTTAATATAACTTAATTTGATTAATGGTAGTGTACTGGAGGATCTCACTTTAAGCACTGTGAACAGCCTTATGTACAAATTTGAAACATTTAATTGATTAAATTTGTCTTCGTCACACGACAGCAAGCTAGCCAGTATGAATGTGAAGTTTGCAATTTTTGCAGATGGCACTAAACCGGTCTCCTCCCAGTACTTTGTGGCGTTTACTAGCCATTCTGTAAAAATTTGTAGTGCTAACAGTGAAGCACCTAATTCTACAATCAGGAATATTGAATTTTTAGGAAAGAATGCACAAGCATATCCTACCTTTGTTGTCCTTTCCTGACAAATGCGACAATAATGTATTTAAATACGTATCGCTGGTGATTACGAAATCCTGATCTAGAAGTTTTGTTAGTAACCGTTTGAGCTTCTCTTCGTATTGTACTACATTTAAATCAGTATCCATCTTTCATAATTAGTCAAGACTTATCTAATCTAAACAAAATGATAAAGAACCAAAGTTTTTAAGGAACCTGCAGTTTGTGCATACCTTTACAAAAAAAAGGCGAATCAAACAGAAGGCAGTGACTACTTACTCCACGAATTGTTATGTTATTACTTATTATATTAACAAAATTTGTTGTATTCTCTATTTAATACTTATTTGCGTTACACCTAAAACCAACCATGAACCATTGGACAATTTGTAAGATGATTAATGGCATGCCATTTATAACTTATAAGCATAACAACCAACTGTAAACGAACCTTCATGTCTTGTGTGTTGCCTATAATGCCTACAAAAAATAGTAATTCTGCATCGTACAGTGTATACGGTATGGGGAGCTAGCTCGAAATCCACTGCATAAATAAAACACCTGTTTATGATCCACTGAACGAAAGTGATCAAAATTTAAACAACGGAGTTCTACTTTGGCCTATCCGAGTAAGCTAAAATCGATCGTTTGCCGCCTCAATTCATATGACTTAAGGCGCTGCGGTACTCCTTTCGGAATTTTAAATGGTTGTTTTTTGAGAAAATAAGTTATACACCAAATGAAAACGTTGATAATAGCTCTTAAAAAAATCACGAACATTTGATAACTCTATAAAAACAATACTTAATCGGTTTTTCAAAAACTTTCTAACTAGGTTACGGTTGGATAAATGAAGACGATTTTTTTACAGATTAATGACCTACTGCCAATGACTTGACAGTGTTTCTTTTTTAAACGTTTTCTCTAATTATCAGATTATTTTATTATTATAATAACATATATCTTATAATTAGAGAAAAAATTTTAAAAAGAAACACCGCCCTAGTCATTGGTAGTACCATTGCTTAAAACTCTGTAAAAAAAACAGCTTTATCCATCCAAAACCGACTAAAAATTGTACGGAGAGTATTAAAATTAATCTAAATCTAAAAGAATCACACGTAACCTTTAACCTATGATCAAAGAGTAAATAAAATTTGTTTAGACTTTAGAGGTACAAATTTGGACTGTCAGTGGGCTCCAAAATGTCAGACGCTTCCTTAATCAAGTACTGTACCAATACCGCAATGGACATCATACAGGCACGACAGAAATTCATAGTTGAGGGAGCATACAAACACACTTATCGCTAGCGCTACAATAACCACATTTCAGTCAGTGCAGCGCTGTCAAATAAAAAATTGCAAATTAAAAAAATTGATAATCGCATCAGTGTAAACAATTTAGCGGTAAAATTTAATCCGCGTAGATGTGTTTAAAATCTTAATCAATTACCTATCGATCACGTACGCGATATCCGATCCAAAACGATGAATTCGAATGGAATTGTAAATAAATATTCGAATACGCCGGTTTCCAAATCTTCTGATGCTATTTTCGTCAAAACTACTATTCCTAGAAAAAGGTAAGGAATATATTATTTTCATTTACAAACGGAAGCCCTTATTATGCCGAGGTTTATTGATTTTTTTTCCAGCTATATTTCCAATGTTTTCCTATCTCATTTAGGCTATTATTAGGCAAGTAAGTTTTGCTCCTATATTGAGCACTCGGGAATGTGAATCCTTGTACTGGGATACACAGACACCTTTAAAACTGTGCGAATTTGACAACTTTTTTACAAAAATTTAATGAGAACATCTATTTTTAAATATGCCAACTACAACATTACTATATAAATCGAGATATATATAAATGTATGGTGCATATGAAAGATATCACAGAGTTATTTCAGCTCGTAGGTATAATAATTATATTATCAATGCTCCTTAAATTAATTTACGATTCCTTTCCTTCCCCTGCCTAATTATTGTTTATGGCTTTTGCTCTCGCTTTTGCTATCTAACTTAAATAATTTCTAGCTGCTGTTGGTCATAAATACTTTCACAACCTTTCCTGAAGGTGAAATTTTGAGTAATTTTTAGTGCACTTTCACTTTCAAAAATTAAAAAGTGTACTTTTGTGCTCTCGATGTCTGTCTGCCTGAGTCACAAAAGCTCCAGAACTGCACCACATACAGACTAGGTATTGGTGTCATTAAAAATTATTTCATGTTTTTATTCTCGTTAAGAATATCGTAGACGGGCGTAAAATTATTGTCGGTAATTATTTCGTATTCCTCTTTGCCGTATTACAAGAGATTATTTCAAATTTCTTTTACACAATGCTTACGTATAGGCTTATGGCCATGGAAAATGTATAAGTACCTGCAATCTGAGTGAGTTCATCATTTCCCACAGATTGCACGTGCAGCGTTGCCATTTGATTGTACGACAATTGCGATTTTATATAAGTAACTGTCAATAAGCAATAGGCAACATTATTTTGACATCTCACACCGAAGCAAATATTGATAGCCGATGCAATATTTATTGTTTTTTAACATGCACTGCGCACTGCAAAAATAAATGTTGTCATAACCAGCGACATCTTCTGTTTGGAATCGTGTTGCTCGTGAGACTTGAAGGATAGGTGGAACCAATAATGTTGCGTGTTGTCAGTTGCTTATTGTTTATTGCCTCAGTGCGAGAGCTACCTAAGCGCGATACAGAAAAAGCTATATAAATTCTCAGTGCCCATGCAAGTACTCCTCTTCAACCGTTTTTCTTTATTGCCTTAGATCATTCATATTCTTTTTACATTTCCCTGTACACACACCTCTACCTTGACACCAGAAGAATTATAAATAAGACAGATTGATGGGGAAACAGTATATCTCTACAATCATTATTCTCTTTGCCTTATAGGGAGGAGTTGCTGAAATGGAACGGATGGGGATACAAAGATTCGCGTTTTCTCGTGAAAGATGGGATAATACATTTTTCTGGCTCAAGGTAACTGTAAACTTCATCTTTCCCACTGAATCTAACAAGATTTTTGCAGGTACCCGATTGGGGAATTGTCACTGCCGTACTTTACACAATGGGTTGAGGACGTTCTCGGTGTCGATCTCAGCAAACCGCACACGTCTAAAGATCAACCTGTCGAAGAAGAATGTCCTTATCCTTTAATAAGCAACGATAATTACAAACAGATTGTGCATTTAAACGTGCCTTTTTCCACGAAAGGCATTGATCGTCTAATGAGAGCTCACGGGCATACAGTATATGATATTTATACTTTGAAAGAGTCGTTCTTTGACCGAATACCAGATGTGGTTCTTTGGCCAAGTTGCCATGGTGATGTAGTTAAAATTGTCGATGCAGCTGACAAGAATAATATGGTTGTGATACCCTTTGGTGGTGGTACTTCAGTAACGGGGGCCGTTGAGTGTCCCAAAGATGAGATGCGAACAATTATTAGTTTGGACACCTCTCAAATGAATAAAATTTTATGGGTGGATAGAGAAAATTTGGTAATCTGTTGCGAGAGCGGTATTATTGGGCAGGATCTCGAGAGAGAGCTGCACACGATGGGTTTTACGGTGGGCCATGAACCTGACAGTTACGAATTTTCTAGTTTAGGTGGGTGGGTCGCCACTAGAGCATCGGGAATGAAAAAGAACACATATGGAAACATTGAGGATTTGCTGGTCCACGTCAAGATGGTTACCCCTAAAGGTGTCTTGGAAAAGAATTGTCAGGTGCCGAGAATGAGTTGCGGCCCCGACTTTAACCACATAGTGCTGGGATCCGAAGGATGCCTCGGTGTAATAACTGAAGTTATACTGAAAATACGCCCACTGCCCAAGATGAAGAAGTACGGATCAGTTGTGTTTCCCGATTTCGAATCGGGGGTGAGGTGTATGCGTGAGGTCGCCAAGCAGCGCTGCCAACCTGCCTCAATCAGACTTATGGATAATGCCCAGTTCAAGTTCGGTCAATCTTTGCGGCCCGTTCCCGGATATTTTGGTCTCATTTTTGATGGTTTAAAAAAATTGTACATAAAAAAAATTAAAGGTTTTAACTTTGATTCGATCTGTGTTATGACCCTATTGTTCGAGGGTGACGTAAAAGACGTCCAAATGCAAGAGAAGAAAATCTACGAAATCGGAAGCAAGTTTGGAGGTATTCCAGCTGGACAAACAAATGGGGAACGAGGCTATATGCTTACTTTTGTAATTGCTTATATAAGGGTAGGCTTCTTAATTTTTCGCAATCCACGTTTTATGATTTGTATTTAGCCTCTACAAATGCACAATTCCAGTAACATACTAGTGAATTCAATTAGCATACAATTGAAGCCTTTTTATCCATTCATTCTGCAGTCCTAAGTACATATAACTGTTTTACCTAAATTTTCTTAGAACACAAATATTCAAAAGCTGAAATTATTCCAACCTTAACACTTGCGACTTACGATACATTTCTTAGGAGGATGAGATGTTTTTTTTGCTTAGGACAGCAGAATTCATAAGTCTCTATGTATTCTATGGCATTTACCTACTCTCAAAGCTACATGGTAAATAAAAATAGAAAAATTTATGATTTTAAAATACAGATATAGCAATTTTTAAACATATCTTTTCAAAATATGAGCATAATTGTCATTTTATCAAATACATCTTTAAATTTCATATTGGTCTATCTGCTACTTCAGTAGCATTTTCCGTTAGGTACATTGGACCATGCCTTGCATTTAATCTTTCCAGTATATTGGCTTACGTGAATAACTTTAACTTATTACAGAAGGCATAGGGCTCTAATTTATTTAAATCGGTTTGTACAGGACCAATTCCATACCTATAGTCAATGAAATTAATTATTAATATATCTCAGTGATCTTTTTTCAGTGATTTGAATTAAATTATTTCCTAAAAAGGCTTCAAGCCATTTATATTTATAAAACTTTATAATAGTCTCTGTTACAGGACTTAGGTCTGGAGTTTAACGTTCTCGCAGAATCGTTCGAAACGTCTGTTCCTTGGGACCGTGCAGTCTCTCTGTGTCGAAATGTAAAGTACGTGGTCGGTGAGGAGTGTAAAAAGCTGAACATTGAGCATTACCTGATGGCAGCGAGGGTTACTCAAACGTATGACGCCGGTTGTGTTATCTACTTCTACTTCGGCTATAATTATTCGAATATAAAAAATCCTGTGGAGGTTTACGAGCAGATCGAAGAGAAGGCGCGCGATGAAATAATCGAAAGTGGTGGGAGCATATCACATCATCACGGCGTTGGAAAGATTCGAAGGAAATGGTATCCGGGTACCATTTCGGCCATTGGCGTTCAATTGTTTAAGGCCACAAAGCAAGAACTTGATCCAAGAAATGTGTTCGCGTGTGGGAACATTTTAAAATCCAAGTTGTAATTTGTGAGCGAATTTTTTTACATTTTATTATTTTCAGAAGACGTTTTTATGTATTTATTTTATTTATATATTCGTAAATTGATACCATAGAAATAGAATGTATGAATTTTTTTACGATGATTTTTAAGTATTCTGGCTTGTCGCAGGTCAATTGTTAATAATTTTAATGAGTAATAAATCGCAATATGTACATTTTGTGGTACAGTATGAACTTATGTATTTCCATTGTAGGCCCTTTACCTAGTATTTTTTGGTAAGTAAAAATGAATCACAAAAACCAGACATGTTAATTTAGTTCAAGATGGGTTTTTTTTTGTATAACAAAATTCATCCGCCAACCACTATGATTGAGGGCTGTTACAACTCCTATATTTTAAATGGCATAATAGCACAAATGAGACTATGTAAGGTACATAATTGGTCTCTTTGATGCTTTATTCTCAAAATATTCTACATTCAAAAATACTTCTCTGCAGTTGCTTCAAATTCTTTTAAAAAATGCTGTGTGGTTTGAGGAGCCACCACGATGCACTGCAAAGTGTGAGCTATTTTATTTCAGTCTCGCGGGTACCCGGTGAAACACGTCGCACGCTATGTACTTATGGTAGCGCTGCAGAGCGACTGACCGATTGAATAACTAGGTATAGGTAATGATACGTTAACATTTGACAATGTTATACAAGATTAGTGTGTAAGGGCCAATATAGTTCATTCTTACGGACGAATATTTCCTATACCTACCTGCTTCTTGCAACAGACGTATTTATTACCTATCTGTACTAAATGAAACCTGCCATTGCTACGCTATAGGATTGCATATAATAGAGGAGTCCAACTCAGGGTTTTTGCACACATTTGGCATGCCACCTTCCATAAGACCAATATAATATAGCAGCGTTTCCCAACCTTTTTTCGTGGCGTGTACCACTTGACAAGACAAAAATATTTGATAGAATAATTATGTAGGACTCGTTCAGAAGACACAACAGTTACCGATAGGCTACCTCTAACAGTTGTGGTCTTATGTCACAATCCCTACTTTGACATGTGTAGTGCTACTAAAAATGACCAACGGCTCTGTAAAGAGCATAAAAGTAGCGACGTAATTATAAGACGTATCGGTAACTGTTCCACAACAGTTGTGTTTTATTAACGCGCCCACTGATACTTTGGCATATGCCTGGCGTCACCACCTCTCCCAGGATTTAGTTAACACAGAAAATGTTAATCATCAAGTAAAGCACGTACAGACATAACGTTATGGTGAATTTGACATTTATAAAATGTAGGTAGATACATGTGATGATGAGAATAAATATTAGGATGCGTCTGTGTTATTGTGTTGAGGCATCAATCGATTTCTTTCCGATTGCTATCACCGAGAATCTTTGTTCTTATTACTGCCTGATGCGATGGCACCGGTCTTTTAGTAAAGTAATAATCAAATTGAGAAATATTAAAGTTTGTTTTGAAATAGTTACTACATCTATACTAGTCCACCCATGCACTACAAATCTCGATTATGCCTGCATAGAAGATAGATTAGTAAATTCCATGAACTAGCCCACATGAATCACAACTGAAACTTTGATTCAAGACGATTAAATTCACAGATTTCAATCAATTGGCGTTGCACGTGCTATCATTTTAGTCAAAAATCAGTCTGGTGAAGTTAACGACTTAACGTTGGTGACAGGTCCCCTAGTGACAAAATGGTGGCCAAACCATTCCAAATTATTTAGATACACGTTTCCACCTAAAAGGCAAGGTAATAACGTTTAAATACGTTCATTTTTATTGTACAACCGCTAATTAAATTGATAAAATTACAAGGTCGCGGTTTTTTGGTAATTATTCGTGGGTTAAGGTTATGTAAATATCACCTTTTGGTAGATAAAAATTCCCTAAAGGTGTGTTAACGGTTGCACGCATCAATCATAGACGTATTTTATTTCGACGCATTTGCTTGTGTACATCCGCTTTGTGGAAGACGTACGGGTTGTGTGCATTTGCGGTGGTTTGATTGTTCAAATCATTCTAGAGATTTCGGTCAATCGGTTCCCAAGGAATGTGTTCTTTTGCTAAAATTGACTAGTTTAAGCCGATTAACGCTAGTTTTAAGTTTGTGTGTGATAATTATTAACTTAAAATGCCTTTTTCAAGACCTGCCTTTGTAAGTAAATCGAAATCTATTTTAATTTGCTTCAGTTTTATTTTAAATTATTAAGAAAACACGTTCAAGGTGTTTTATTTTTTACTGCGCTTTTATTGTCATATAGCATAGAATTTTGTTTACAAAGAAGTGCACATACGGTCGATTGCGATTTTCGAGGCAGAAATGTATAAAATTTATTTTTGGCAAGAAGCCAAATGTTCAAAAATACAATCTTTACTTACAGTTGGTAATCAAATGAAATGTTAAGTCACGCGGATAGATCCAAAATATTTCCTCTGCCTCTCTTTGGGGCGGCCGGAAGTAATATTTTATGCCGCCGACTTTGAGTTGATTTGCTAGGAAATGAACCTTACTTACTTTAGCTCAATTTCCGTATTCAAATTTTTAAGTGGGCCCCCCAATTTTGTATTGTATTTCGTTTCTTTATAATTAAATGGGCTGCTGTATCTAATCGATGAAGTTTTGTTGCTAGTGCAGTAAATACGTACAAAAAGTTGATAAAAAGTTAAAAACGCGAATGTTGTATGATAGCCACTACACGATAAGATTTGCACGAATGTAGATTGAAGGTCGCGAGGAATTCCCAAACTGTGATTCGTCGCGTTTTATTTTAGGAGAAGAATTTGAACCTATAAATTCTCAGGCTCGCAATTCATGTCGCTTTTACTTTGAATTACCTACTTCGTTACTATGCGACCGCCACAATTGATGCGAAAGCGAAGCGAAATAATCCCACATCTGAAATTATGGGCGAGATGTCGCAAATTAGTTCTAATAAACCGGCTATTGTACCGAATTATTGCAAAAGGTCTATATGGCTAGCGTCCGCCAAATTGTCATACTTCATTCAATAACGAGTTTGCACTCCCTTTTTGGATTGCGGACACCTATATAGAAGATGGATGTATGGAAATCATATTCGAAAAATGAAATAAAATTGTAGGTACTAATAGTAACTATTACGGTACCCTACTAACCGGCGACGATTAGCCGGCGCTCGTTCCACCGCATGCACCGCCAATGCCGACAGAAAAGTTACAGTTAGTTAATCTGATTCCGAGACTTCCGAAAATATACTAGATGACCCGAGATTTGCCCTGTTTCGTATTAATTTTTTTCTGTTATTTGGACAGATGCAAAGAAATAAAAAAAAACTGTTTGTAATTGCCACTATTTGAGCTCTACAGGACAACGTTGAGAGATTCTCAATACAACGTTTCATTTCATCATCAACTTTATTTTACAAAAAATACCTAGATACCTATTTCAGAGACTTCATGTTGAAATGCTGCAATTTTTCTATTCGGGCAGCAGACGATCTCCACTAAGACTTTCTTTAAATATATTTTTCGTATGATGGAATTAAAACTTCCGTAAGCCCCTTTTGCGTTGGGGAAAAGAACATCTTGGAAAAGAGTTGGCTTGATTTAGCTGGGTAACTAGCAACACCAGAGATTTGTGCTAACGACGTAACGTACTCCTATACTTTCTTATTTACGCGACAATTTGAGAGAATTTGAAAGGGATCATTGACATCAAAAATGTATTATTTAGTCTCAAACTTTTAAGAAATTTTTGGAAACAGGCGACAACGTTGGCGTTTTCATTTTTAATCGCAGAATTTGTAATTTACATTTGATGTGCGATTTTAGGGGTAAGAATAACGATGACGTTTTTTCGCAGGGCACCGATTAACCCTCGGATTAACCCTTCACGATCTTCCGACGCTCTTTGAAAAGTGAGTACCTCTCATCTTATCGCACTCTTCTTTTCTTTATTCATCAATCATCACTTTCTATTCATTTAATACCACTCATTAAATTAGTTTTACTTAAATTTCGTTGTACAATTCTCTTCACTTTTTACCTTTTACGGAAGGATTCCGCCTGCGCACTATGAGCAACACGATTTTGTTTGGTTCGATTTGAGTGTATAATTCTAATTATTTTACGTTCGTTAAACTAAGTTAGCCTTTAATGATTTTATGACGTTATTTGCCATTGAGACGCTACCATATTTGTCGTCTCTAAACATTCCAAGGTGCGTATATTTCGTTTCTTGCTCGGTTTCTTGTTAACATTGGTACGCGTTTGTAAGTATTGTAGCGCTTTAGGTGCCGATTTGGACGAAATTACTTTTTTAAGTTAATATATGTATGGCGTTCGATTGTGTTATATTATAATTGCTCCCTTATGAATGTGAGTCAGGCGGCAATCAATGGGTATCAAAAAATTCAAGGTGAAAACTGTTACACAGCAGAAATTGTACAAGTTGTAACCACCTTGAGTTGCGCATATACATTTTCATGTTCAAAGATTCCCAGAAAGATCACAACTTATTCCGTACTCTCGTTTAGGGTTGCGTATGCATTTATTTAGGTCTAATACTCTAATTTTGACGCGGAAACGACAAAACATACCTACTGTTTTGATACGCGAATGCTTTGTGTCTTTTATCTGCTTTGATCATCGTCTTGGACAACATAAAATGAAATGAATTTAGACCTGCATCAAATCTGACAAATCTTGATTTTGACGCTATACTTAAAAGTCTTTCATATTTCGAATTGAAATTTGTAACGAATCCATCCGAATATTTATACTTAGGTACTTTAGGAAGTGCTAAATGCAACGGCATTTGTAAACAGTGCCTTTGCTCACTTTTACTAAAAATATCTATTGGGTATTTCTTGTCCAAATTTGGAAGAAATGTAGTGGGTCAGTGGGTTACGCTTATTTTTTTGTTCAGAAGTTATCGTTTAGTTTATAAACTGTCCGTCTCGTTTGTTTGTTTATTTTACTCAATGACGAATTTTGATTCTCCCCACGCGGTTATGTCCTTCGTAAAAGGACAAAAGAAAAACGACCAACTTGGAACTTGCGAGAAAGTTCTAGAATTGGGCTACCTATTCTAGAATACCCCCACCACATGCATTCGTGCTGGTATATACCTACGGCGGCGACGACGCTGTTTGCCATTTGAAATCAAGGTTCACGTGCACGCGATTTCATTTGATTTTAACGCGATTTTAGTTATTTATAGCCGTGATCGGTCAGTTTCTAATACCTACCGCGATGGACGCGCCTGTATTAGTAGAAGTTTCTCATCCAATTATACAAAACGTTGTGCCCAATTTAGTCAATGCCACTACCGTGAGTGCCTAATTGATCGCTCAATTAATTCGTCATCTTATCTCCGTTTTGTTTTCAGACTGGTTTTCCATTTGACGATTCTGATTTAGAGGAGCGTGATCGAAGCAGATCATTCCGATCTACCCTCGACGACATTGCGAAACGCCACCCGGAATTTGCGGAGCATCTAAATTTTGAAAAATTTCCCATTCGCACAAACACCTGGGGTCACAGAAGACGTGGTTCGGGCGATCATCCCAAAGCAAACAGTTTCGACGAATTCGCGGAATGCTTCAATAGACCATCCGGTTCGAGATTTAAAGAAAAATTTGGATTTCCCTTTAATAACAGTTTCGACGCGCCTCCCGAACAATATTCCGAGCCCGCACAGACAAGTCCAAAGCCAACTGAAGAATCGAAACCGCCTCAAGTACCAAAAGAACGGGGACGTAAACCTAATCCGAACATCCCTCAGAGCAGCACGGTCGATTTGGGCCAAAAACAAGAACCAATTAGCGATATTCGGGGACAGCGATCAATGTCTGCGCCACCGGAAAACCGTACCGGTCAAAGATTCGTCTCAAGCATTAACATACCAATTAACCCAGAAACTCCAGACGCCAATGCAGCTCAGCAGCAACGACCACCTTCACAAACTAAATGCAATGAAAGAGTTATTCCTATCCACGTCGAAGGCAGGGATGAACCGGTGATACCTAAACAACAAACCAACCAGACCTACACCCAACCCCCCCCTCCCCAGTCGGAGAAAATGTTTGGCCATCAAAGGCCCGGTTTTGGAACGTGGAAACGTGATGATCACCCTTACTACACTGGTGATCAAAGATTCTTTCAACAGGATCCAAATTTCGATGGCGTATTTGGACAGGAAAGATCCAACTTTCCTCCTTCTGTAAGTACTAGTATTATAGGGTAAGAACACTACCGGGTGAATATTCCAAAATCGAACATAGGGAATTAACATGGGGAAAAAGATTTGTTGTATATGGTTGCTCCCCATGTTAACTTATACCAGTCAAAAGATTTTTTTTTCTCATCTAATGATTAACGAATTAGTTAATTTTCAGTTATATTTCCCATTATTTTATCAAAAATTCGGCAATTAATCCAGTTACCAAAATCATGTAATCTAGTAAGACAAAAAACGGATTCAAATGTTTTATAAGTCAAAATCAATATATGTTTTTGACAATTGTCATTAATTTTTTTGTAAAACGTATTTTACTGAGGAAATAGTTACGCGATATTAATTGTTTTCCGTGCATTTTAATGAGCATCCCATTCTGTCTATGTCAAAACCTATTTCAATTCTTTACAACATTTCCATGGCTTAACATGATTTTGCTAATTGGGTTTATTGCCGAATTTTTGATAAAATAATGGGAAATAAAACTGAAAGTTAACTTCAACCTTCTACCATTATGTGTAGGGAACTATTAATTAAAGATTGTGGATAAAACAGACAGTTTTAATTTTTCAATTTGATTGCATACGCAACACTAGTGTTGTACAGAAATCTGCCACACAACTGCCTGTAACTTCGACTTGAAGGTCTATTCCACACTTGGTACAGAACTTTTGAAAAATAAGCGTCGTATTTGCTTATGTAACAATTTCATGTTAAAGGTGCGCCCCCTACCCTCCTCCATTTCTGCTTGTTGCGTTGGCTTTGTTACTACTCTATCCTTTACACTATGATCTTAGATATTCCTCCCCTACCAGATACATTTTACTGATTCTGATTATCTACAGGGTACCTCGAAACAACAAACTCAACCATCGCCTTCGCAAAAACCTCCGACCCCACCGCCACAACAAGCGCCCCTACCCCAGCCCACAAAATTTGGCCCGATAGAACAAATTCAGGGAATCCAGAAGGATGTTTTAGAGTTAATGAATCAAGTAGAGCAATTTAATGGGCGGCCGAAGGACAAACAATATGTATATCTTGACGAAATGCTGACAAGAAATTTATTGAAGTTGGACGACGTTGAAACGGAGGGCAAGGAGAATATTCGGCATGCAAGGAAGGAGGCCATAAATTGCATACAGAAGTGTATTAGTATTCTAGAAGCGAAAGCGATGGCAAACGAACAGCTACGATGCGAGGTAATGGACGTTGATACCAAAGCAGACGAAACGCCCCCACTCACAACATTAGAGGTGTCTGGTATTTCTAGGTCGGGATCTGAAAATATAAGCAATGAAATGGAGCAAGAGCAAATCCCAGCCGAAGCTGTCACAGAAGTGCCTGTTACGGCTGATGCTGAAAGTAAAGAGACTGAATTAAAAAATACTCACGAAGAACCTGCAACGCCGGCTGAAACCGTTGCAAACGAGGCAGCGCAAGAGAGTGTTGATTCTAGTCAAGTTCAGCAAAACGAAGAATCTAAAGAAAAAAAGAAAGTTAAGAAGAAAGGAAAGACGGAGTAGTACCTTATTTTATTTTATTTACTAAAATGTTTGTTGTTTTATTTGTACGATTTGTTTAGAACATTGTATTGTATTTAGTTAAATACACTAGTATTTATTTACTCTTGTGCCATTATAAATTGTGTATTATTATTATTGATATTAAACAGCAAATTTTTGTATGCTACTACTGCACATATGGTTAGAAAAAGTTATTGTATATACCTTAGAGCAGAGAATACCTATGTACACTAATTTGTCGGGTTATTTATAAGCTTTTTGTATATATTTGTTTAATAATAGTTTGCCCTTAATGTAAAGTATCTCTTTGCATATCATTCGATATAAAATTGTTTGTTGTTTTTTGACAATATATTGTTTTATACCGATATTTTAAGTGCATTTTATTAACGCAGAAATTTTCTATTACTTAAATTAAAAACGAAACGACATTTTTCAAGAACACACAGCTTTTACAGTCTCTAAAATTGTGTTGAACTTTTCTTGTCTGGCATTGTTCTCTAACGGGGTGTAACTTCAAAGAGTTGCAACACTGTGAACCAAGGCATGTTGGGTTCGACTGTTTTATTTTTTGCTCTGGTTGTGCTGTTATTTTTGCGACTTCATTTTAACAATAACAATTGTAAATGTATCATCAGTTGAGTCGATAGATACGCCTTGATTGAAACCGCTCACTTAAAAATAAAAGAGAAATAAATTTAACTTAATATAGTATTGTAGAAATACTCGTTCAGAGAACTTGAAAAATAATTATTATATACTCGGGTAGAGAAGTCTATTATTGCCTTCGCACCTTACATCCCTCGGCGCAAGCGTCTCAGAATGTATCTTGGTGCTCAGGTAATAATACTAGACTTCTCTACCTTGGTATATAATACACGGTTATTAAATTGTATAATATAGAAAAGGCAGTTATGTACAACACGATTTAGCCAATGGTACTTATTTATCATTATTAAGTCAAATACATATGGTATCGGGAAATTATTTCACGTAGCAGTACTGCATGGATTCTGCACCATTCCATACTGTTAAGCTTCTCCTAAAATTGTAAAATTTTCAGTTGCATTATGAAATAAACAACTAACTTTAATTCATAAGATACAACTTAATAATGGAAGAAAAAAGTTCATATTCTTATAACAATACAAATATTAAACCTATGAAACACTCGCGTGTATACAAGCGATAATCAGACTTCAACAATGTCCACAAAATCCAACTTATAAATGCAAGCGACCACAAAACAAAACTTGCAATAACTCAAATTGGTGCACTAATAACAGTGGTTTAAAACAATCGCTTTCTAATAGTCCAAAGCCCACTCATTTTCTTGTAGGAAGGAATCCACAACTTCTTTCATTGCAAAATTTGGTATCAACTGATCCTGTGTCAATTTCACTCTTGTCACGGGGTCAAAGTGACCGACACGCTAAAAATTTAACGTTAACTTATACTTGTACTAATAATTATAAGTATCCTTGAAGTTGCCTCAAGGGCCTTAATAAGTTCTTTCTTAAAATATCAAATAACAGCTGCATTTTCTCCTGAAATGAATAGCTCTTCACTTGAAGCAACTACAAGAAGCCCAAGAAACCAAAAGTGGTCACCTGTAAGTGTTCTTCGATATCTTTCTTTTCGTATGTTATACCGCTCGGTGTTATGACGGGTTCTTGTAAAATTTCGAAACTAATTTTACCACACAAATAATCAGGGACATCTCTTTTCTAAAAGTGCTCACATTACAAAGGTAAATCTTACAAATATGACCAACTCACTCTCCTCCTGTCATCAACTTTGATAAATAAGGAGTTCAATTCGTTCGTATAGGCCTCCTATAAACGCAAACTTTACAATTTCCTACAGCTTACAAGATCCAACTTACACATTTGTCTTCAATTTCTCTTCCTTTTTCGTCGATAATATCCCGATTAATTTCGTCGGCAATTAATTTACTTAATTGTCTCTCTTTGTCCTCTTTAATTAATTTATTAAGATATGCTTGTAATTCGATCTCCTGAGCTATTCGTTTCTCCTCAAGTACGGAAAATCGTTTCTTTCTCGCCAAACGTAGAGCTGAAGCTATGTCATCCCCGAAATTTAGTTTCTGTTCTCTCGCCAAATCGGAGGCTAAATCGAAACAATTAACTGGGTGGCATTAAAGTGTAATGAGAGATACCTCTTTGCAAATGCTTGATAGCTTCATCGTAATTTTCTGTTTCAACCAGAGCTTCGCCTAAGAAAAAGTGACCTTTGATCGAGCTTGTGTCCATGTCAAGCGCCCTTCTGCAATCCGTGCACGCCTGCTCCCATCGCATCAGTTTGAGATGGCATAGAGCGCGATTTGTGAAATATTGAGCAACGTCCGGGTTTTTTATCTGTCGGCAATACCTAAGGTTATGTGGTTATGAGATGTTTACTTACAATCGCTTTGGTGTAACAATTAATAGCATCGTCGTACTTTCGCAAACTGAACATGCGATTTCCTTGCTCCTTTAACTCTTTATCAGTTAAATTGGCAGTGGAGTACATATGCTTACTCATCTTGTATTTAGGGGTAAAATGATATGAAAACTTAAAATCAAACAACCATTTTTTGATTTGATATTGTGAGCTTTTTTTTACTATTTTAAAAAAAGCTATTTCCAAACATTTTATAAATATGCAACCCTCTTCTAAACATAACCTAAAAAGCAAACTTACTAGTGCTTCTTCAAGCCACAAAAATATTTCAGCTATAAATAAACATTGATCATTGCAATTCTACTACAATTATTAAATGTACTTTTTCCGACAGCCTAAAAATAGCCTATAGCATAGTATATTTTGTTATATATACAGGGCGGGCGCCATTTAATTTCGTGGTTTCCTGTGTCATCAGTTTTACTTCTCCTTGTATAATGGATATGGCGACCTGTAAAAATTTAATACATCCCGTTCTGTGATTAATCCGAAGGCTTTGTTACATGTGGATAACTTGATATTTTAGACATTTCTTGGAGATCAATTCAAGAACTATTATTTTACGTTTATTATATTGTTTATAAGCATTGTGTATATCATTTTGATATGTCCCGAGTTCTATATCAAACAATGTTCTTCATGCAAGTCCAAGATTGATTTGACCAAATATACTCTGTTATTGCAAAACAGCACACAAACATGTTCGCTCAGAGTTTCAACTAGACGAATAACGCATATTGGGAGGCGTCATTCGCTTTATTTGGAATAGGCATCCATCATCCACGTGTTGCTAATGGGCAAATGTAAATTAACAAGTTCTAAAAAGAAATAGAGTATATTTAACAGAAGATACATCATATGAGATATGACTATTAAATAGCAATTAAGTACATTATTCAGTTTTTGTCCATTCACTTAGAATTAGAGGTATATCATAATAATATAAGCTTATAGGTATTGAATCTGCAACTGCAGGTGGAGCTGGAGACCTCTACAGGTAGACAAAAACCCCATTCAGAGATAACTAACGTTGCCTGATAATCTTATAACCGATTTAATAAGGATCCCTAATCGCAACACATTAACATCTTTTATTGATTTATTTATTTACTGAAATAAACAAGCCTGGACCTGCCATCAACTGCACTATATTCACTAAATTCTTCTGAACTGTGATGACTGGCCCTATGTTTAATTAAATTGCTTTTCCACTTGGTGTAAAAATTACATTGTTCACAAACAAATTGTTGCGAACTATGACTGTTTTTAACATGTTCGGATAAATACCTTTTCAATTTTGTACTGTAATTACAATGTGGACAGCTAAATTCTTCTGAGCCGTGATGCACTTTTATATGGGTGTTTAAATGAATTCTGGCTTTGGCAGAATAGTTACACTGTTGACAATAAAATTCTTCCCAACTATGGCACACCTTTACATGCTTCATTAGGCTTGATCTCCACTTTGTGATGAAGTCGCACTGCTGACAATTAAAATCTTCCCAACCGTGAAGCTGTTTTATATGGTTAGCTAAATCGGTTTTACTTGCCGTGACATAACTACATTCTTTACAATGAAATTCTTTTGAACCATGACACCTTTTCATATGTTCCATCAAATATGTTTTCTGTGTAGTAATATAGTCGCACAGTTCACAATTAAATTCTTCTGAACTGTGACAACGCTTAACGTGCTGCGTTAAACTTGATTTATGTTTAGCTGAAAAATTACACTGTTCACAATTAAATTCTCCTAAACTATGGCAAAGCTTAATATGTCGCATCAAGTATCGCTTACGGGTTGCAACATAATTGCACAGTTCACAATGAAGTTCTCCCGAATGATATTCTTCTATGTGTTGAATTAAGCTGCTTTTACAATTTGTTGTAAAATTGCACACGTGACAGTTAAACTGTCCAAAACCGTGCTGCATTTTCACATGGACAGTTAAACTTGATTTCCATTTTGTGGAGAACTTACACTGTTCACAATTAAATTCTTTAGAACTGTGTATCTTCATATGTGCAACTAAATTTCTTTTCTTTTTTGTTTTGTAATTACATTTAAAGCATCCATACTCTTGCTCACTTTTTACAGGTATTAGCAATGTATTTGTTGCATTATGAGCAGTCGTATTATTGCAAGATATTGATAGCTGTAGTTGTTTAAAATCAGCAGTAGTATCACAGTTATCCTCACGCTTTACTTGCACATTACCGTAACAATTACCTCCTTCATTTATATTAAACTTCTTTTCAAAAAGAGATTCCTTTAGTTCATGTTCATATTTTACTTCAACTTCTTCAACTTTTACATCAATTTCAGACCACAGTAAATTTGTTTCTACTTCTTTCTGCAATTCCTCTTTAATAACTTTAATGTTTGTATTTTCTTCCATAATGAAAACTAGTATGGCAGACACTTAATGAAAAGGGAAATTTATTTGACTGAAATTAACATTACTGATGATGATACCACAGATACAATCCATGCAATCATACCTGTTTATGGGAAGATCATACTACCGATTATACACTTGTGTATAACGCTACTACGCTGATCTTTGATATATGTTATAGTTATACCCAGGGAGAACGCACTATAGGGAAACAGAATTAATCGTATAACTTGAAAGACTGCCATGTAGTCCTATAGGCATCTGATACTCATATCTATGCGTAGTCCAAGCGCTGCAAGCTGTGGTCCCTAGATAAAAAGAAAATGTAAATATAATTATTGTGAACTCCTCGAATGCATATGCGATCAAAAATGAGTTGCTGTCGAGGCACCTTTAGAATTTTTGTTTACATGGGAAATCGTACTTAACTTGAACCTCCAAAGGCGATTCGCCCGCCAGTCCACAAACCATCGCCAGTCCGCCACTCAATTTTGATCGCCCCAGCCCGTTATATCGAAATGACAAAAGAACTATGCGACGTTATACCGAAAATTGTTTAAAAGAACTACAACACCGCAATCATTGCATCTAAAACACTCGTTCTGTGACTAACGACCCAACGACGGGGAGACAACTACATTACTAGACAAGCAAAAAGTACACATACACAATCCAAATCATGACAGCTGACGTTTTAAGCTGTCAAATCGAATTTTTATTTAAATGGGTTGTTAATTTGTATTCATTTTCAAATTGTGAAATCAAGCAAAAGGATCTTTATAGGTAGTTATCAAAAACATAATAAGTACGTAAAAATGGGAGAAAACGAATTCGGTCTAACAACAGCTCAAGCTCTGCATAACCTACAAAACGACATCACAATGTTGTTAATTCAATTTAAATTATCGCAAAAGGCGCGGTAAGAACGTTTTAATGTATAAAATCAAACTACCTACTTTTTGCAGAAACACCAAATCATGGCTGCGAGACACCTTCCATCACAATAGTCATTACACAACAATTAATTGGGTTTCTATCTTCATCATTGTCCTTGTTTGCCTTGTATTAATTGGTTTTGCAAACTATTGGCTAACGTTTTTTATCACAATTTTATTAGGTGCGAATATCTTGTTGGAAATGTTGCATAATAAACAAAGACATGATGAAATTCCTCGACGAATTTCACAGATTCTAGCAAAGTTAAAGAATGATGCTAAATACATTTCGTGGGAACTTGACAATTACCCACATTTGCTTTTACCATACTCTCCTTGCATTACATTGCAGTGGACGTATAGAGACGGCAAGCTTGTGAATTTGCCTTGGGCTTTGTTGGTAAAAGACGATATTGTATTAATACGCCCAGGCCAAATCAGTCCAGGCTATTGTGAATCTCTCGATAAGTGCCTCGAGTACCCTCTCTTACACGCGAAAGAAGTGTACGGTCCGAGTTTGCAGAATGCTAATGAGTTTTTTAGTACACCCAAGTCTAGAAAGCCTCTCGAAAATAGGCAATATCGACTTTTGGAGACGCCCTACTTGAATAACTTGAAAATCACTTTGGAGCAGTCTTTAGATCGGCCTATCACCATACAAAATCAGCAGCGTCATTTTATAACTATTAGAATCGTAGAACGTTTCATTCTTCCATGTGTACTAATCTTAAGTTTAGTCGCCGGTGTTATCAAGTATTATTTTATGGAAGTATTCCGCGATGAAGTCTGGTACGAATTATTTTTATTCGTGCCCGTTCCGCTCATTATACCGTTGATTCCGCTCGTTTTTCCACTTGCTTGGAATTTTCTTAACATATACGGGATAGCCAGGTATTCTAAGATGTGTTAACACTCTAATTATATTGCCCCTGTTTTAGATTTAAGAGTGTATTCGATCAAACTCTGACCTTACAACCAAATGATAGCTTCAATGAGCACGGTGAAGTTGATAATTTTAATTATAAATCTATCTATAAAGATATCTGGACAAATTTCTTTAAGATACTCGACGGTAAGGATGGCATGTTGGTGCATACTGCGAATATATTGCACGTTATGGGATCTCTGACGGTAAATTGAATTACAAGGGACCTTTTGTGTGGTTAGCAAAGCAGTCTCAGAAGAACATGAATTGAATACTAATTTAATGGCCAAAGTTCAAATTTATTGCTCTTTTAATTTTAGAGTTAGGTATTGATTGTGCTCTTGGCTTAGTAGATCAACTCTTAAGAATAGTACAACAAGTAATTGGTGATACCAGAGCCCAAAGGGTGTAATATATTATTATTGTTATATTTTCATAAAATTGATGTGGCAGAATCCTGCTGAAAATGATTGCAAAAATTTTCAATTGCGGTGTCTGGTTGGACTTTTGCCATTAAAAGGGATCATAGTGACTTCTTATAGGTCAGACTGGGATCCGTTGGGATTCTCTTTTTAGTTTTAGTATTACTTTTGCCATTAAAAGGGATCATAGTGACTTCTTATAGGTCAGACTGACAGTGTTCCCATTATATTCTCAGTTCAAACTCTGTCGCGCTTTATTTCCACGGGGTTAGGCTTCTTATAGTGTTTTTATTCAATGGTATTAGTCATGCATAAATAGAAGTCAACTGCCTTATTATTTGTTTAAACTAGAAGTTGTATGTAGCCAGCAGTACGACTCCATCTTTAAGTATAGAAGTTAGATAAAGTACCAATTAGGGCGCTTAATTAGGACTGGTTACTTTTTGATCTGTCACATTTTGGAATGCTGTACATATGCAGATGATAAAAACATACTCCATGTCAATTTCTGTTCTGTGGATACTGCTTTATAGCTACATGGATATGTCGGTGGCAAACACTGAAATGCGTCAATCCCGATAATGCCTAGTCGGTACGGGGATTGCCGGCAAATGGTGATTCAGTGTTTGACTAATCAAGCTAGACGAATATTATTCCAACGAAAAAAAATGCACTGAAGTTCGCAAGACCAGTTTCGGCGTTTGCCTGAAATATATCAGCGGTTACTGGGAATGGCTGAAACAGTTAGTCAAACACTGAAGCATTTCGTCAGTTTCACTGTTTGCCGGCAAACCCAGATCGACTAGGGATTACCGGGATTGACGGATTTCAGTGTTGCCGACAGATACACTTTCACGAAGTATATTTGTAGGCACTCTGCTGTGTGGATAAAAAAGGCATTTTGTCATGGCCGAATCCCACTACTGAGAAAGTATTTTTTCTTCATAATAGTGAGAGCATTTCTCAGGCATCAAGGTAGTACAAAACTTTAATACTTTAATCATAAGTTGACTCTTGCAGTTTGGCAAATTTAGGTGATTTAAGTACAGACGCAGATAGTTTGCACGGAACTAGTGATAGCCTACAAAATAATGACAATATTGTGACCACTGTAGCGGAAGTGTTAGATTTGACACACGATCAAAATCATCCGTTTAAGATACACTTTGATGACACCGCATGGCAGAAACATTTAAATTCCCTCAAGCCATTGGGACTTGCTATCCTGTTAAATACTTGCAATGTAAACACTCAGGTATAACTATTGTTAAGTGTACAAATTGTAATTGTTGTCCTCATAAGCTATTAGAATAGAGTGAGCAGAGTAGTTTGCTACTGCTTGCTAAATCTTAACTGTGGGTACTCCCATTGACAAAGAATTAACTATCTATCTCAAGAAGCGAGAACTCATGATCTATGATACCATCACATATTGTGAAAATTTGTTAACCAGAATCTAGGGTTTGCCAAATTCAAGATATAGTTTTTACCATCAACCCATATGCTTAATATGTGTTCTGCATGTTGCTTTGTCACCATCTAAATTAGTTCTGTCTCTACGCACATTGATCTTGTGCATTTTAGGAATACTATACGAAATTTTGCTCACACATTACATGCGAAGCAATGTACAATGAAAACCTGATACCTGTCACGAACAGAAGATGTTTATGCGAATTGGCGCGAGAAATTGGATTCGTTGACGAGGCGCAAAAAATTTTTGCACTAGAACAGCAGCTCTCCAGCTTTCGTCATCTGGTATTGTCGGTTGTGGCGAGCTAGTGCTCCATTAACGTTTAGTTTCAGCAAAACGAAACCGCGAGGCGCGATAATAAATTCGCTCGATCCTTAAATTTATCGACGAAGCTAAAGTTTCAATTTCCCCACATGTTTGCCGTTGTGATTAAGGAGCTTAATAGCGGATCTATGCAGCTGCTGTCGCAGGGTACGGCCGACATGGTTCTCGATTCTTGCATCGATTACTGGGACGGGCACGATCTGTGTCCTCTTACAAGTTCGGAACGAAAGAAAATTCAAGATTTTTATCAGCGTTGTAGTTTAACCGCCTACTGTACAGCTTTTGCGTACAGGTACACACGAATCGAGCCCTTCCCTGTCTGAAACACTCAATTTGTAGACCCTTGCACAAGAAGGTAAATGAAAAATTGAGCCGGATGTACCTAGAATTACCGAGCGACAGTCAACATTTGTATTTAAATAATCACAGCCCGACTTTGATTCATTGCGACTGTAGGACAGTGTTAGAGCCGCGGATTAAGCCCCCTCTCGGCCAGTTTTTTAGCACAGGTTAGTATTGACTGGCTGACCATGTGCCGATGTTGATTCATCATTCTAGATTCACTACTTTATAATGACAGCCCTGGTTCGGATGCTTCCGACACGGATAGTTGTTTTGAGTTACAATGCAATCAAGTTTTCATTGGGATGGTGACTATGCAGTATCAAGTTCTTCATGACATGGTAAGTTCGAACTCTTTCACTGTGTGGTAAATTCCTCCCAAAACCTCTAAAATCGATTTTCGTCTTAATATATACATTTCGAGGCAAGATAAACGAAGTAGTTAATTTTTCTGGACAGGTTCAGCTTATTGAACAATTAGAAGGAGCGTGTATTCGGTTTGTGCACTTCAGTAAAGAGAACGAATTACGCTCGCGTGTATTTAGCGAAAAGATGGGATTGGAGAGCGGATGGAATTGCCACATATCCTTGCTTAGTGAAAGAAGCAGGTAAGCAATTATGTGGTACATGTGATAACTGTAAAGGTATAAGGATAGTAGTAATTTTTTTATTATGTAACATGTTAAGGAGAGAAAGTGGACCTACAGAGTGTTGGGCTAATAATGGAACCGTACGCGTTTGTTCGCCAGCCGATTTACCACGGCGTGTAGGTTATCTTAGAAATCGTAAAGCAAACTCTCCAACAACTGAAGAAAGGCTAATGCGTGATACTGATAGGTATCTACTAGGATTTCTATTCTAACTGTGGCATTAGCGGCGTGATAAATGCATTTACAACAAAACTGGACTGATTGCAACAGTACAGTAGTTAAAATAGAAATTTATTGCTATTGGATGGCAAACAATATAGGGATATGTTGCGTAGTGTGCTTCTTCTGACATTAACCATTAGTGCTTAATTGCATGACGTCATGCACCATTTTATCAGGAAATAAGAGAACTCTCCTGATTTTGTGTGACTTTTAACACATTTCTCACATCATTAGCTGCTTTGATTCAATATCCGCAATAGACCGGTTTCTTTTCGAACACTTTTTGTTACTTTTAGTACGCTCGATTCAACGAAAGCGCTAAGCTACTCGGCACCTAGCGCCATTAATATTGAGCAGTCGGTCGTTAAGTTTGACATCGAAAATCAAACGTTAAAGACCCACGTCTATGACAACAATATTGAATACAAAGACGACGTCGAGGCCAACTGTCCGTCGCACGAATGGCAATCTCTTAGTTGTCTGACCGATAGCACTGAGCAAAGTGCTCCGATTAATTTCGACTTAAGCAATCGCGTAAGTTTTGCCTTGCGCGCGCGTGTTTTTCCTTCAATTGTCTTGTAGGCGAATTTACCGCGGGGTATCGACAAAATTCGGCCTCACATCGAAAACATAGACAACGTTCCTTTGTTAGTATCTCTATTCACCGACTGCACCTCCTCGAATACTAAGGAAATGCTTCGCATAATGCAGGATTACGGCGAGGTAATTTGCGTTATGGGCTCATCTGCAAATTATGACAGCGTTGGCCTGTTCATGCAAGCCGACGCCAGGTGTGTGCGCCGTGTGACAACAGTGGATACTTTAGTGTTTCGTTTTAGCGTTGCAGTTGAACCTTTATATCCGCAGTTGTGCCAAAAGGTACCTTCGTATGCCCCAGTTAAGAACGGTTCAATTTCGCCCGTCGATCTATCACGAACTCTGAATTCTGTTGCTTGCTCTCTGTCGATTAGACGCGAGGATCATCTTTCAATTATTTACCTGATTGTTGAAGCACGCCACTATATGGCATTAATGTGGAATACAGGTAAGTAGAAAAAACGATTTCTCATTGAACGACTGTGTAATAAACGCTATTTTAAAATGACGCTTTTCTTCCCTTTTTAGTTGACGACATCTTGATTTATTTGATTGTTTTAGTACAATTTTGGCTGTGTGCATGCCTATCACTGAGTGCAATGCAGTTGGTCGCTATGCTAGTAACTCTTCCTCCTCTTCTAACGTCGGGCCAAGTAGTATGGGTGACCGTTTTTCTAATACCACCTCTGTGCATTTCTCTAATGGGGTCGATCATCGACAAAGAAATGATGAAAAAGCCCCAGGGAAAGAAGCAAATCTGTATCAATTTTGAGGTGTGTCCCTTGATATCTACATAGTCGTCATATTTTCGTTATAGGTGGCGGTTTATATTTTATGGTGCTACTGCGCGCGGTTTGTTCTGATGGTTATAATAGTAGTAGGTTTGTATGCAGGCTGCTTGACTAGCTTCTGCTATGACATTTGCGAAGTGCGAAACTGTACTTGTGCGTATTTTTACTTTCCAACCTACAAGAGCGGCGAGAAAACTGAGTGGTATGATTACACTCCAAATATTTCGACAACTCAGGATTTCTGCCTGGTCTTAATTGCGCTTCATTTGTGTAAGTACTCTCAATATACTCACTCCATTTAGCATAACTTGTTACAGTTGCAATTTCCGTAAGCTTTGTGCATCGACACTACTCAATTTGGAGTAAAAGTCCGCACAAAAACCACACCTGGATGCGTGTACTTATATTGCTGTAAGTTTACTAATTTTACCATTGATGATGCAGTTAACTTTTAGGTCGATACTGCAAGCAATTTTTTCCTACTTTAGCTTTGTTTCGTCAGTTTCGGATCACCAAAATTACCGTGATTTTACTAAAATACCTTTGGCGATTTTAATATTTGGATTTTTATCACCTTTACTTTCGTTGGCAGTGAATGAAATAATTAAACGGGAAGAAATTAAGTAAGCTTTAATTTTTTCTCTTACTTTTTATCAGGAGAGTTTCTGTTTAGAGCCAATTTGAGGCATCAAAGGAGAGTTCGTTTAGACTTTGGCACTAAACTGGGTATGAATTCGCCGTTTTAAGAATATGTGTTCCTTTGGTTCCTAAACGTCCTGTCTGGGACGCTAACTCAAATACTATAATATTACTGAACTTACCAAGAACAATACAGACATTTTTGTTTTTGTGTAAAATAGCATGATTGAACTGTAATAGCTAATACATACTTATCATCTTATTTTCAAACACACACTGATACTCGTTACACCACATTTAACAAATGGTCATATGATGACGAATAAGTGTTTACAAAGGTCTGTATATTTCCAAATACACCAAATGAAATTTGTTCAAACTCATGACAAGGCATGTCCTTGGTTTTGAACCATATAAAAAATTTGTTGAATTTACAATCGCTACTACAGCAAATTGTTAATTATTTTTATATTAAATAAAAGACTGAGCAATTCAAAACTTTATCTATAATGCGATCTCATTTTTCAATTGTTTTCCCGAATACTGTAACTGAGTAAGATCACACTTGAGAACATCCTGTGAATGTCCTGCCGTAAAAGGTTTCATAAACATTAGCTCTGTGGGACACAGTCAGATGATAAGTTTTTGAGCTTTGACCCTGAAAATTGTTTGCTTGGGAACGCTTGCCACGTCTTAGCTGCCTTTCAGTTCTCCCCACATCACAGCACTACTAAATATATGGTTGGTGGCACTTTATTGTCTTTACGAACCATCTCTCCACCAAATTTTTAGGCGTTTCATCTAACCCCTATCTCCAGAACCTCTCTTCGTACACCTTCGGCTCGCCCTCTGCCATTCCCCACTATCTCAAGTCGAACAAAAAAAAGTTAAATCACGTAACCCTAAAAGAATATTGATGGGTGTCATCACCTAGCGGTGTACCTACGTAAAATCATTTTTTTAATTTTATTACCAAAGAGTACATTTCTGATGTGTGTATTGCGGACAATGAAATGAGTTAAAAAATTCGTTCCGATTATTCAGCGTCGTCAGAACCCTGACCTTTGCAGGTGCGTGTTCATCCTCAATTTCGTTTGTACCACGAGCCTCGCACCACACCTAAAGATTCACATATCTCACTCAGCACATCTTCAAACGGTGTCGTACCTGCGCGAAGCTCATGAAGAATAATTGTTCCCCTAACTTATTGCCCTTACGCTCCAAATCCGATAGGGCGTTAAAACTGATCCGTAATCCGACATTATCGGCAATGTTTTCGCCTAGCGACAAGTCTTCGCTAGCACCGGACTGTTCCGCAAAACAGTTCGTTTTTTCATTGTAGATACGAATCGCCTCACTTTGCCACCAATTTCCAACGTTCCCATTCTTATCTGCGTGCCGTCCTGGTAAATAAATTTATAGTTTGTGCGTTTTACTTTAATAATGTACCGGATGTGTCCAGCGCGTGCGAAATTTCGTGACCAATTATGCTTCCCAACGCCCCGTAATTATACGCGCTGAAACTATAACTTTAAAAATGATTCTGGCACATTATGATTGCGCTTACATTGGTGCAGATAGATTGAAGAACGGCGATTCTAACATTCCAACTGGTATAACTATTAACAATAGAAATAGTGATAAATGCGCCGCCCGAGCCGTTCTAGTTTGTAAAAAACTTCAATAGAACATAAAGTTGTTAGGTACTTACAAATTGTGTTTTGAAGTACGCTGTAGTAAGCATTAACTTCGAATAATGAATCGGTCCACCTATAAAATAGTGCAGTTAGTAATTATAGTGGAAAAACATTAAACTTACTTAAAATTTACCTTTCGGTTTAAATTCTCTAGATTGTACCTACTTTTAAACGAACAAAGTTTGATGACGTTTAGCAAATGATTATTGGACAATGTTAACTGTAAACAAGAGTGTGTAACATATTAGTCTAAAAAGAAAGCAACACCTTTCGAAGTTGTTGAGCTTGCCTATCAATCTCGTTATTAAAGGCGATGACGTGCTTTATGGCGGCAACTTTCTCTATTAGATCTTTTTTTGTGCTGTTATCGAGCCAAGTGTTTTCGTTTAAAATTTTAATGAAGTGCGTTTTGATATTTATGATCATATTCCGAATTGCAATGAACGCTCCATCGGGAATGTAACGATGAGTGTACGACTTTATCAGCACCACATCCATATATTCCATCACTTCTTTCGTGCACTCAAAATGTCTCGAATAATCCGCACGTAGTCCGAATACGACGTGATTCATTTGGAAATTTAGAGCACGCAGATGATCGGTGACGTCCCGCGATAACGCTCGCACAACAGTCCACATAATGTAATTTGCTGCGCAAGTTTAATATTTAATGCTGTAAAATAGGGGCGAATACTGAATTACCTATCGTGCGTTTGTCGGTTGCGGAAATTAATCGAACAAGCTCTTTGATGTACTGGGGACTTCGCACTATTATTTTTTCTCCGAATGTAGACTGATTGTGAAATAAAGTCTTAAAGAGAGTCTTCCAATTAAGTGCGAATCGCTTTGACAATTGGACTTTATCGATTGCGTCGTGTTTGTTTTTAAAGATTGTCAAGTTACTTAAAGCGCACTCGAAGTCGATCATTTGAACGATTTGTGTGGTGAAGTTTAGTTGAATATCTGGATACAAATGACTAAGTGTGTTCGATATCCATTTCTTATACTCTCCTAGCAAATGTTGGTGTCTGTGAGTGAAAATCGCCGGCGGTAAATTGGATTCCCCTTGCTCCACCTACAAATAAATATTCATAGCAATGTTATACTAAACGCTTAATTATTGTGAGACGTTTTTTCTTAAAAAATATCATCTGCAACAGACACAATTACAAGTGTAGCGATTACTTTACTTCTGTTGTAATTATATACTAAGCAATAATGTAGTAATACTAAAAATACATACGTATAAAGTATGTCTCATGGTACTTTGTAAGTCGACAAACACATGGATTTTTAAAAGCGGGTATACACCTAAAGTTCTAATGACTTGTGCAACAGTTCTTTCCCATTCAAACCCTTTTTCATTCCAAGCCGAGAACACTACTGGCCATCCACCTAAATCTTTGAGCAGCGTTTGCAAAACATGGACATTGCGATGTGGATGATCGTCTTGGATGCACACCATGTACATCTGTCGGGCATTACCCAAGCGTTCATCTGCGATCAGTAGATCTTCTAATTGCCGATTAACTTTTTTAGTAATGATCTCCCAATTATTCCACACGGAATGATTATATGGCACCGTGACGTTCGCCCAGGCGCGACAGGCAAAATCGTAGAAGTCGGCGCACAAATCAACATTTTGTTCCCCTGTGCTTGCATCTTCTCGAGGTAATAAAAAAAATGGAACCTTTGTATGAGCAACGGTAAATAAAGTAAAGCTAAAAATGCAATTTATTCAGCGATTACTTTCTTTGTCACTTACACTACTGTGGCCGTAATCATCGTTGTAAACACTGAAGTTGAATAACCCCTTTGTATCTTTTTTGAAATAAATGTGGGATAACGGAAACACAAATTAGATAATATATAATGATGACAAAGTTTAAGATAGTATATCTTCTATTCGTGTTTCAGAATGCATTTTAGGAAATCTATATAGTAGTTGTGGTATTCTTAGATCTAGCAGTTAAAATACAATTTTCCATTTTAATTAAATTGGGAAAGTCAATTGAAGAGAACTGAGAGAGGACACTCTTAGACTACACCTTCAATGGTATCAACATGATTTGCATTCGTCTGTAGTTTTGCATCAAAAGTGCAATGGTCGCTGGTGAAAGGGAAATGGCCATAAGAAGGAGGGAACACGCTAGCTCCTGTTAATTAGGTAATTAAGGGATGACAACCTCTTAACAAATAATGAACTTTTGTAAGACTCCAATGTTGTAAGGATTGTGAGATAAATTTAAAAAATACACCATATGTGTATATTTCCCCCTTAGACATACGACGAAATCATTTGCAGAGTAAAAAAATGAAATTTTACCCTAGTAAAGTAAAGAGCACTATTAGATACAGTTTTTACCTTTTCAATAAGTCTAGGCATACATATTACAAACTTGACATCACATTCTTTTGTTTCATCAAAAAGTCGGACAGGAATGTGAAACATGTAATAACGGCGCTAATATGCAATTACAACAAATTATCAACATACTGTACATGAAAAATTATAAGCTTGAGAAATCAGAGCATTTTTAATAGATGTTTATGATTAACGTTTATAAAATGAACTTTTCTCAAAATGACACTTTCAGTAATTAATTCGTGGTTGTCTAATATCAGAAACATACAATATAGGAGGTATAATTATTCATCGTTTATTGGAATAAATTGGAATTCTATTAAATTAAACACGAAATACTATTTATTAGTAATTATTCCCACCTAGTTTTCTTACGTGATGAGGGTTGATTTGGCGGAGGATGTTCGGAACTTGCAGTGAACTGAAAAGAAAAATTACAAATCTCAAAACAACACAGCGAAAGACCTACTTGACTACTATATTGCGCTTTAAATGCCGCTTTCATAGCCGACAGTCTGTCAGTTGCAGGCCCAGCTTTCGGAGGCTGTATTAGTTGAGTGCTAGGAGTGGACGCCTGAGGACGACCCACCTTTTCTTTATAGCCCAATCCCAAACCTCCGACGTTCGGGTTTTGATCCTTAAGTTTAAATCTAAACCAAAGATTTCATTACGCTGATAAATCGGAATAGATACACATACCGCGCCTTTCGAAACCAACAGCTCTGTAGAGCTAAGTCGAGCACTTCTTGTGGAACCTCTTGATGAGCTGCCTCAAGATTTCTCACGATGTGACCCGCAAACTCCTTGTCTTTGTCGGTTAGAAGGGTGTACGCCGTACCTTGGGTCCCCGCACGCCCTGTACGCCCGACTCTGTGAGTGTGAGTGTCGATGTCACGGGCGATGTCGAAGTTTATTACAGTTCGAACATGAGGTATGTCTAAACCTCGCGCGGCGACGTCTGTTGCAACCTAAGGATTTGAAACAAGAAAAAATGTCAGAATAGGCTTTTAAATGAAAACTTTTGTAACTCGACATTGTTTTAGTGTAACATAAATTTCTTTAAAAATACATGAATACCATTTGCTGGGTGCTGAATGATAAGTTTTTTTTTCTGCATTACAGCCAGCTTAGATCTCCTAAGAAGAAAATCGCCTAACAAAATCCTACCACATTTCACATTTTTGTTTTCACTGTTATAGGAGAGATTTGCGACTACATATAAATTTCTGTATGTAGCTTAACAAGAAATGACTTCTTTTATATCAAAGGCATTTTATAATGTACGTATTTATATAAAAATTAAAAAAACTTACAAGTAAGGGGCATTCATTTTTCTTAAAGGTCATAATGACACGATTTCGATCAGCTTGATCCATATCACCGTGCAGCAATAAGCAATCAAATTCCTTCACCTTCAGATCATTGGCAACCTACAAAATGATGATGCTATGGCAAGGGTGGACAAAGAGAATAACAGACCTGTTCAGCATCCAATTTCTTGGTGACGAACAATAGCACAGATCCGGCCGATAGTAACTCCACCAAATGATTAAATAACCAGTTTCGTTTTGCCTGTGGATTTGCAAGCAACAGGACGTGTTGCGTTACATCTTCGGATGCTTGACCGGTTAAACCTTGGGATATCCTAACCGGGTCTTTCAAGGCGTCGCGCGCCAACTTCTCGATTCGTTTCCGGAAAGTTGCACTAAACAGCAAAGTCTGCCTGTCGGGCCTTACGTGATTGCAAACGGAGCGTACTTGTGGCTCGAAACCCAACTCGAACATGCGATCCGCCTCATCCAACACTAAGAATGTTACCCGTTGCAAATTTGTCGCGCCCCCTTTTATATGATCGATGATGCGACCGGGGGTCGCAACAACAATTTCCGCTCCCTCTTTTAAAGCCTAAATATTGTACTTTAATTGCTATTAGTACATTATAGTTCCTTACATGGCTCTGTTCCCATTTAGATCCGCCGCCGTAAGCGCAGATAACACGAATATCGTATATCCGTGCAAACCGGCGGGCCTCATTGTAGATTTGAATGGCCAGCTCGCGGGTAGGTGCCAATATTAAAGCGATGGGGCCCTCACCTTCTTGTACTGGCGGTTGCTCATTAATATGCACCAGCATCGGCCACAGAAAGGCAGCAGTTTTACCACTACCTGTTAGGAATAGAAAAATTCTTAAACACTTTTAATTTCTCTATTGCTGTATCATTTACCTACTTATAGCTAGTAGATGTTTTGCATAGTATGGCTTTCCTTTCAATGTTATATGTGTTATAATAACCATTTGTAAATACTTCCAAGTTCTATATCTATAACAGGTGCGCTGTTTTATAATGTCAGAAATATGTAACAAGCGAAATTTATATTAATTAATTCATATTTGCCATATTATGAAAACACCAATTCAGTAAAGAGGAATTATATTTTTAGAGTGTGTAGGTATTTACAACTTTGAATCAATTAAAGAATCAATAGTAAACCAGATGTTGAATGAGAATGAGATTAACAAAAACGAAATTTTCTTAAATTCAAGAACAAGATAAACATTTTGTGTGAGAAGAAAACACGAATTCTTTTGTATTGGTAATGTTTCCAGTTCTTACGGCGCGTTTAGACGGTGCGAGTTGAGTCACACTCGCCAAAACGGGCTTTATGATGGAGAATTCGTTACACAAACCATTCCATAATAGAGAAGAACAGGAAAAAATATAAGTCCGGAATTCAGCAACCAAGTGGCACCACTAGTTCGCCTGTGTGGGAGACGAAACCTTTTAAAGTAGGTAACTAAAATGATCAATTAATAGACTGTTATACTAAAGACCATTTGGACAAAAAATCTCGCAAAAAATATTGTGTTATCTTAAAGGAAGCACTAACATAAGTTTACTGTACAATAAAATTATAAATAATGGTTTACATGGAAGTGTGGATGCTGATCGGGCAAATTAATTAACGATTATTAAGTGCAAAGAAATTAGTCTCGAGTCCTGTATTTCACAGAAGAACTCAGTAGATTAACGGCAGAATGAGATTTAGTAACCAGTACGTTTCCACAGGAACCCTATCCGAACCAGATGGTGCAGGAATAAAATTGGAATAACGTAACGATTTTGATTATCTATTAGAGGAGGTGTTATACCTAAAACAATCATTTACACAAACCTGTCTGTGCAATTCCTAACACATCACGACCCGACAAAGCACATGGGACTGCTTGCGCTTGAATTGGTGTTGGGGTTGTATACTCCGCCTTTATAATTGCTTTAATTAATTTGTCTTCGAATCCCAAATGACCAAAGGAAGACACCGGTCGAGGAGCAGAAGTTCCTGTTACAGTTAACCCCAACGTCCCACGAAGCTCAGTTACCTGTTGCGATGTGAGAGCTTGTATTTCAGAATGAACTGTATAAAAATCTTTTTTAAATGGTTTGTATTCAATTGTAGAATGATCAATTGGGGGTAGGGGATCTATTATGCGATTGCGTGCTGGTGGTAATGGATTTCCATCTTCGTCGTACTCAACTTCCGGTGTATCTTCTTCTACTGGGGCTAAACCTGCAGTGGGATTCTCCTCCATGTATCGATAATACGACTCCTCATCGTCTTCTTCTTCTAAATCATCCCGTATACCCGTCTGTGGCTTGGTGTCATCAGTCTTCGGCTGTACTTTCATCTGCTTCTCTATGCCTGCCATGTACGCATCGAGTGGGTCTTCCTCGTCGTCTTCGCCTGCGCCGTCATTTTTCTCCTCGATCACGTGAGTAGGACTACCCGGTGCTGGAATATACGCTAAAGTTGGTGTGCTTTCATCGTCTTCGTCGTCAAAGTACCTACAACCATATCAAATGACTTGCGACTTCAAAGATCTGCCCGGACTTACTCATCCTCAGTGGCTGCCCTTTTACGACTTCCACCCCAAGCCGCCGAAAGAGCATTTTGACTGATTGCGTTCATAGTTGAATAACCTTGTTTACTAACACCAGTTGTTGGTGGCGGCGGTGGTACCGCATTGTGACTAGCACGTTTGCCACTTGATAACTGAAAGCCCGGGTAACCGAATCCACTCATTTTTATGAGTTGATTACAATTTTTAAGTAAACACCGATAAAAGGTTATATTTTAATTTCCATTTTGTGGTCGAACCTTTGAAAACCTACTTTACCCACATTCCAAAAACTAAAGATAAAGCGCTGTTTACACATTGATAACGTTTCAAGGACGGATTCAAGATAAAAAAAACTACTTCAAGTTGGTGCAGAAGGAAAGGGGACTTTCATTAATACCGCCTCTGATCGAAAAAGTACAAATTGTTTTGGATTCTACGCACCAAAATTAATAACAAATAGTGTTTTCCCAAGAAATTTTGGTGCAATAGATTTTTGGTTAATAGGAAGGTAAAACACTGCCTTTTTTTGAGCCCCGAAGAAAAAATTGTCTCCGATCGACCCGGAAAAACAATTTTCTTATAGAATGTGGCCTGTAGAATCCATAATTTGAAACAGTTCTAAGATTGGGCTACTAGTTCAAAAGTTACAGCTCTTTGAATTTTTTTCTAGTCCGTGTATGGGGCCTTTAAGCCTAGAGCCTACCGTTCAGCTAGTTCCACTCTTGCTTGATACTCTATCATGCTATTTTGTTGTGGTTTAGATTGAAATATTACAGCATACGCATATGTTTCCTTTATGTTTGTAAATCCTACAGAAATTAAAGCATATCGTACATCGTACCTACTTGTTTTGAAAGTAGAAATGTAAGTACGCGCGACAGTTTCCAAATGAACCGCAAAAATAATGTGTTGTTTATATCTTTAACACATATACCTACAATGGTATAAGTGATGACATTGATTCTATGAGTAATAATTTTTTACTTGTAGCATCGAGTGTAGCATTGATAATACAATACTTAGTGTGTACCTATACAATCTTAAAGGTGATGAGTAACCACCAACCAGATACTTTATAAATTGTTTCGAGAATGATCATCATACTTTCAAACTTTATATTAATAAATGTTAACACTGTATAAGCTTTAGGAGAATCGCAGATGCTAATAATAATGTGAATATAGGTAGTGTGTGTAACTAATAGATTAAATTTAAATTATGTTTTTGTAAGAATCTTATAAATCGGTAATGTTATTTTGATTTATATTCAGTGTTATTTGTGTGTGATTGTGGGCAACTAGAGGCAAAATAAACTTTTATTTATTACATAACAAATTATTAAATTCTCATGACCAATTATCATGGGAAACACTTAAAGAGTGCAGAGATAAGTATATAATTATAAATCTAATTTTTGTTTCAATGATTTCACGGCCCGAGTGATTTTAGTAAAATCACTCGTGTGAAATTATTGAAACAAAAATTCAATTTTTACGCAAACACTAGATTCCAATTTACTTATTTCTCCAGTTTCCCGAATTGAAATATACGACGAGCAGCAAAGAATTTTTCAAGCTACAAGAAACCATATTTACAACTTTCGTCTAACTTAATTAGGCAAGATATTTCGTTATAAAGAAATTAGCATTGAAATCACTATGGTCAGTAAACCGTTTCCACACTATACAGGGCAAGTTTTTGCGAATATTTAGTATAGCAATCTCAGAATGAATGGAGGAAAGAATTGCAGTTTTACAAGTCAAATACCTACTCTTTGTAATTTGAAAAAATTAGAAAACAACTTTTCCTCTTCTCTGACAGATCCAGCAACACAAAAATTTACATTGAAAACATCAAGACTGGATTTAATAACTACGTTAAAAGTATGTACTTACAACATTGGTTGATAAATACAAACGGTTACAAAATGATACTAAACTTATTTATATAAATGGTAAATTGCTTCACCAGGAGCGAAAGTTTTAATTTCCCTATCATATGCCTTATAATGTAAAACACTTTTCCTCAGGGCGACATCGGTCGAATGTCTCCTTTCAATGGAGATTATCCCAGTGACATCGTGACTAATCCCAGTTTTTAAGGGAGATATATCGATGACAAGATTAGAAACGTAACGCAGACAGTTGCTTATCACTTTGTCGTTTGCATTGGCAATGTGGTAGCTCACTATAACATGCACCCGATCGTTTTGCACCAGATTTATGCAATAATTTATAAAGCTCGTCATATACTTAACATCCACATCTAAATCAAGTAGGTGACTGAGATCGTCTATTATAAGATAAACTCGGCCGTTTGGATGGGAAACGAGTAGCTTGTTCATTTTGTCACGAATGGCCAGAAAGAGATGTTTAACCAAGGTCTCTTTGTCACTTGTTAGAAAATCTGTGATGTTTTTCAAGGGTTCGATGGTGGTGGCGTGACCGTCTTTCAGCTTTTGCATTAAATCGTGCCCCAAACATTTTAAAACATTGTGATAGTGACCGATTGTGTTGTGTAAGATGAGCAGGCATATTTTGCCATCTTCGCTGAAGATTTTTTTCATCAAGTTGGTTGTGATGAAATTGGCATCTGAAAGACCTTGTTCGAAGGTGGACACAATTCGGTCTGATGGTTGAAGATTTATTGCTGTTAGCAAAGGGTTGCTTTCTTGCCATTTACATTCCATTGAAATCTTGCAAGCGCAAGCGTAAATCAATCTGAAATTTAGTGTCAAGTCAGGAAAAAGTGCTAATCTTATAATGACTGGTGATAATCTGATGGCTAAATATAAACGGATATTTAGCAGTGATTAAGAATATTAAAATCGATTTGTTCTGCATTGGTCACTCCCACGCAAGTAACTTTTAAAGGTTATGTATGTATTGATCCTTCAGTAAAATAAATTACCTACTATGTGATAAAATTGTAATAACTTTTTTTTAATATCACCAGTCATTGGTTAGTTGATAATTATTCTTTCATTTATGCCTAATTAAACGTAGTTAAGTAAGCATACCTAGCCTTGTTGATGTGCTTAGAGCACGAATTCGTACTTGAGACCAGGCACTGCAAGGCACAACACACGTAAGGTAAGCGTAAGAGCCTTTTGTTTATTCAAAAAATAGTGCACAAATTTTCAAAATTTTTTGGCACATGCGGAATGGTCTTATTATTTACTAGATGGCAGCACTTCTCTGCGGGCGGGAAGTTTAAAATGCCCCAAGTGGGATGTGTAACCGCGCTTAGATACAGATAACAAATTTTTTATCACATTGGGAAACTACTGAACGTGAAATTTCGTTGATGTAATCAGTAGTATACGGTTTGGCTTGCATTACAGAGTAATGACTGACAGGAATAAGAAACTATCACGATGGTACTTCGGTGGTCTGGCATCAGCCGGTGCGGCCTGTGTCACCCACCCCTTAGACCTGTTAAAAGTACAACTACAAACACAGCAAGAGGGAAAAATTTCTATAGTGAGACTAACAGCAAACATCATTAAGAAACAAGGTAGGTTACCGAACAATTGCATGTTAACTTATATTTAACTGTGTGTTCCTAAGGTGTCACCGCATTGTACAATGGACTCTCAGCTTCTTTGTGTCGACAATTAACATACTCCACAACTCGTTTTGGTATATACGAAGTGGCGAAGCAAACTGTGCAATCATCCGGGAACGAACCAAGCTTCGCTACCAAAGTATCAATGGCAGCCTGCGCAGGTGCAGCTGGGGGGTTTGTAGGAACACCCGCCGACATGGTTAACGTCCGTATGCAGAATGACATCAAACTACCATTAGAAAAGCGAAGAAAGTAAGTTTTTGCTCGACTAGTGGGTTATCACCTTACATAATAATTACAGTTATAAGCACGCCTTGGACGGTTTACTACGCGTGTACAAAGAAGAAGGCCCCAAACGACTATTCTCAGGTGCGAGCACAGCGACTAGCAGAGCAATTTTCATGACAATTGGACAGTTATCTTTTTACGATCAAGTCAAGCTTTTCTTACTCAAAGCGGGGCTCGGAGATAACGCGGCCACTCACTTTCTCTCCAGTCTGACGGCTGTAAGTATTTCCTCGCACTATACTTTCCCTTGTTGAAATAAATCAAATTTATTTGAATATACAGGTACGAAACATAATATTTTTACTTCGTGATCTCATTTGTTAGTTAACAAATTTTTGAATTCATAACAATGCATATTTGGATCCCGTTATTACGCACATTTAAGCTCCCGCATTTATTAAGTACAGGCATAGAGTAAATACAATTTTACTCTATGGTACAGGTAATTATGAATCATTAACAAAGATAATAAATATCTTAAAGAAAAAATACATTATTTCCGGGATGTGTTTATACGCTTCCCATTGTTTTAGAAGAGACAATAATATCATACTAACAGCGTATCTAAGTAAACGTCTAAAAAACCTGGCAATAGTTTACTAGTACTTCTCTATGTCTTTTCATACTTTTAATGTCTGTAACGAACAGTAAAACTGGCGCCAGTGTATCATATCGATTATTTTTTTAAACTTAAACTAATGCACTCAACTTCTCCACATGTACTGACGTTGCTTACACATAAAAATACAAGCTATCGAAGTTACCCTCGATCTGTGAGACCCTATGCCAGTAACAAAAGGTTAAATCTTTTGAAAAATCTTCAATTTTCTTTTGTTTTTCAATCACTCTAACCGTTTCGGTTAAACGCGTTTTCAGCTAGTAGGGTTTCTACTGTAACATCAATATTCCCGATTAACCATTTTTTTTTGTAGGGTGCAATAGCGACGACCTTAACACAACCGCTCGATGTGTTAAAAACAAGAGCAATGAACGCAAAGCCGGGAGAATTCAAGGGAATGCTAGATTTAATTCTCTACACCGCAAAATTGGGGCCGTTGGGCTTCTTCAAGGGCTACGTTCCTGCCTTCGTCAGGTTAGCGCCGCAAACTATTCTGACGTTCGTATTTTTGGAGCAGTTACGTTTAAATTTCGGTTTTTTGCCAAAACGAGACATTTTACCACAGTAAAAGGTTGCCTAGCTAATTTATACATTCCGTTATTGCAATATTAGGGTCTAATTATATACAAAGGATTTATTTGTCACTACGTGTGCAAAGATAAAGAATATTTTTTTGTTACTTTTATCGTTAGTACCTCTATTGGTGCCAATCAAATTAGCAAAATATTTTTATGCAATAAGTGTTATATGTGATTCTTAATAATTTTACAATTGTGGTTGTCCACGACTTTGTTTATATTTGCATTTACTCGAATTAAAATATTACTAGCGTAGAATACTTTTTAAAAGTATTAGAAATTGTTATCAAATTGGTGAATGTAAGCAATAGTTTATACTCATGGTTTTTAGTTTATTTTATATGACAAAAATTATTTATGACAATTGTTGACTTTGTAGATGAAAAATGTAAACAAAACTATTAATAAAAATGTAAACAAAAAGTTAAATTAGTGAGTTTTTAATTCACAAATCTGACAGATAAATAATTTTATTGTGGTAGAGTACCAGAATATAAACAACAGTAATACAAAATATATTTAAATAAAGTAACAACAATACGTGCATTATAAATAAAATTAATTGTAGGTGCATGATAAAAAATTAATACTGTACCCCATTTTGATTATGCTTATATAGGATTTAGCAAAACAGTAGCCTTATTAACGAAGGATATTTTTACATGTGCGGGTTGTTGATCCCATGGTTCTCCATCTACTTGCATAGGTGCACTTTTATGTAAATGTATCTAAAAGATTCTAAAATTAAATAGACAAATTGGAATGCAAAGTATGCAAACAAACTAAAGTGTTTAGGCACTGCATGAAAACTGACTAGCGCGGGACATTTTTGTGCAACTAACCCTGCATCCGTCCATCTTGGTATAGATCTATTGTGGGCGTTATTTGGTGTGGGGCAGTGGAGTAGTAATCTTTGTATACATATAGTGCCTTTTCTGACAGTTTTGATATAGGGACTGGATACATATTGGAAAGTGAAAGGTTTCATATGACTTACAAAAACCTACATTATTAGCATTGCACACTCTTTGTTGATACCATTTTTATTAAATTTCCTCAACTTATTGAAGGTTTACCCAGAAAATAAGTGTAAGCAAACAATTAAAGGTACAAACCTCAACTGATACGGTTGACTTTCTACTGATTTACAGTTAGCGATAGAAATTTAGCATTGCATTGGAACTGGGGAATTTTACTTACATCTATTCTTTTCGCCTGCCCAATTCTGTGTGGTTTTGAAAGACCAACTTGCAATTGGGCAATGTGGAATGACGAATACACCCCTATAACTTCCAAAACCCCATCACAATGTGATTGTGAAGGAGCATTAGTGCCTTCACCTATAAAAATCAAAAGATGTCAAATTGTTTAGCATTTGTTTATACCCCATAAATTGACTCCAGCGCCCCACGAAGCAATGTTAAGAATCACTATCGACTCTAATTCGGGTAAATCAACCTGAACTCCATCCAAGTACAAATTCAATCTCTGCTCCAAATTTTTACAATCGGCTGCAACTACTTGCTGTGTACCAAAACCTAAATACAACATCTAAAAACATAAAAAAAATATAAACATTTTTCGAGCATCCTTAACAGTCTGACCTTATTAAAAAAGCGACTCCCAAAAGGATAAAAGCGACTACTTCGAGCTCTATGAAAATCCAAAGTCACCTGCGCATCGACGCCAATACTTATGTAATTATACATGTAAATGTCTGTTTTAGACATTCGAATCCCCAAATGACTCAACTGACGGTGGGTGAGAATTTCTACACTCCATCTGTAAAAATTAAGTGTTTGATCATAGATCATACTACACTAGATAAACAAGTCCTGTATAAATTTGCTTGTAAAGCCCCCTATCGCAATTTTAATGAACTATCTAACATGAAATACCATTGGCTATCTAGTGTACACATGCGCTGATGTCATTACCGATCAAGTAATCCAGTTTTAGCTCGCTGGACGAGTTCTAAAACAGAATGAAGGTCCAAATCTGAGGAATGCTCACTTCCCCATCCCAACACTCGTGATAAATCATTACCAGTTCCCAGAGGAATTATACCAACTGCAGGGTCTGGCTAAACACAATTTTCAAAATCATTTAGTACTCTGCATACATACATCTAAATCCAGTTTCTGAGCGGCACTAAGAATCCAAGCGACAGTACCGTCACCACCAGCCACCATCATTTTAACAGGCTGAGGTGCAATCAAAATACTCCATTGAAGAATAACGGCAGGCGGTCGTTCCGACAAGTCCATGACTTGGGCTGGATTCAGGTAACGTCTAAACTCAGACAAAACCATTTCACCATCATTATTCCCAGACTTTCTGTTGGCTAAAATTTGCACTTAACTCTTCAGTCTCCTACGTAGGTATAGAAAGGTCACATGTAGATTTATTTTGTACTCAAGCTCAAATTCAGAGGATAAACTATGAATTCAGTTTAAAGTCTGCACCTTTTGTTAACTAAGTTTCCTCATAAACTGGATTTTTTCAAAATTTTAAGGAAAGTGAGAAATCTGAAGCCGTTGAAAGAGTTGTGGACTTTTACAATGAATGTCCACTCTTCTCTGCAATCCATAAACTGTAATTTTTCCAAAATATTAGATATCTGCATTCATTACTTTAATTCTCCCATTCGTATGACCAGGACCAGTGGACAGCAAATTGCAGCTATTTGAGTCCTTGCCTGTGGCTCTTCCACGAAATGTTTAGTCGGACACGGAATATTATTTAGTAACTTACCTTGTAAGAGATGAGCAAGCATTTTTAAAAAGCAATCCTACAGAAAAGATGTACGAAATGGACGCTCGCAAATAATTATGTGTATCATGAATTCATTATCTTCGTTGAAGGCCTAGACCCATTGAGAGGGATCTGTATATGTTGCCGCCAACATCTTCCCTTTCGTGAAATGTAGAAACAAGTTGCACCTCTTATATGCCTTCCGTGGAAAACGTCTAGAGATCACTAGAAAGAGTCTAGATTGCTCCGGAAGGTCTTCTAAAACCCAGGAAAGGGTTGGAATGCTTTCCAGATCCTTATAGGCCTTTCTAGATATTTATAACATTTTCCATATGTTTATAGCTCATTCCAGAGCTTTATATGCCTCCCATGAATACAAAAACTATTTCGCGTCCTTTGCAGAACTAGGAAAGCTTAGAAAGCTTTGGAAAGAGCCTAGAAGACCCAAAAAGGGTCTAAAATGTTCATGAAAGATTGTAGAATGGCTTGTCTGAATTCACAGTTTGAACTATAAATTCAATGAATACTACGAAAAATTCTACACACTGTCCCTCTAAGCCTCCGTAGTCATTTAAAGAAAAGGGTAACAAACCTACAACCACTAACGGAGACCAATTAGCCCATCCGGGATGTTTAACGCCTTTTAACAGTAGGTGTTTATGCAAACTTCCCTTACGTCTGACAACTTGTATGCACCAAGGCGGAACAATTAGGTTCCTAAATGGTCCAAAGTCGCACAGCTACAATGAGCAATGTTACTGAAACAAACCGTAGGATTAGGAATAAGTACAGTTTGGCGGTCGGGTAAACACTCTTCGTGCACGTTGCGATTGCACCAACAACATCGAAAATCAACCAACCCGGGCTCGAGGGCGCACTCTTCATGGCAAACATCACAGCAAGCGCCCAGTGGCAGATTCCCTTTAACCCAATGGTGAGGTAGACTATCAGTTTTACTTGTCATAATTTTGCATAGCAAAGTTTGGTTGGCCTTCTTCAAACACTCTGCATCCGCACAAACGCCACAACAGTCACAATACACCCCAAAACCATGCAAAAGTAACTCCTCACAGATTGAACAATACCAAGCCTAGAAGACGGGCAATTATACAATCGGAACACAATGCACAAGTACCTTGGAAGTTATCTTAATACTTTTCCAGCTGTGATTCTTGTCTTTAATTTCGATCTTTGTTTCGCCGGTAAACCATCTGAGGAAGTAAAAGGCCGCCATACAGAAAATAATGGTGGATATCGCAGAGAGAACTCCACCATAAGGGTGTGCATCCAGAAAACCGAACATGGTAATAGGCTGCCACGCTATCGAGCCGATGTAACTGAAGAGTTTACTGAAAACTGTCATACTTTTGTGACCTACAAGAACTAAATAAAAATCTTTGTGGAATGGAGCAAAATTCCATTTTAAATTTTAGTTTATTTAAAATTGTTTAAATATTTTTGTATACCCCTAAAACGTCAAAACAAAAAGTTACTTTTGACAGTTTTTTGGTTATCAGTATAGTGTCACAGATTTCATAATCTAGCGTCTAGTCTGTGGTACCAATAGTATAGGGTGCTACAGAAAAATCAAACGTGATGGTTGTCACTACTCCTTAAAACTTGATAAGTTTAATTATTTCGCAAGATTTTTTAAATTATTGACATAATTTAGAAATTCAAAGATAATCAAAACAATTTTCTTAATTTTTCTGTTTGAATTTTGAAATAAAGTTAAAATTGCATTAGAAAAGTGAGGATTAAAATTTGAAGAAACAGAAAAATAATACTCTTTTTTATAATAACTTCACGATCTTAAAATAAGGTGTTTAACATGTTCATCTCGATCAACTTAATTCACTTTGCACTTATCACAGTTTAGATGACGATGTTGCTAACTTACCATACTCTCTGACTCACGCGGAACTATTAGGAAATTCCATAATAAGGCAATTAAAAACGTCTATGTTGTTATCCCAACCGGACATTATCGATAGCGGCTAACTAAACGATTACGATTATCAATGGATATTAATTGTAGGGAGTTTTATGTACAGTCTATTGCTTTATACTCGCTATAATTTTATATAAAAGAGTTAAAAAATTGGATTGGTCTTAAAATGATCCCGTAGGTGGCAACAAAATTCAAAAATAAACTTTTTATATACGAATAATTGAAATAATTCTTCCTTGCACATGTTTTTATATATTTTTAAAGTCGCGAAGGCTACTAAAACTTAAAATTAGGGTCATAATCATAAAATTATTACTTTTTTTTGACAGCCATCGCAATATTAAACGATAAGTTTTCTTTTTCTTCGTACTAATTTATGGGAAAATAGGTAAATTCTAATATGCGTCGCATATAATACATTTTTTAATTTCATTAACTTTACCAACTTTACTGTTGTACATTTTCATTAATATTGAGATGCAAACTTCCGGTACATCCTTTTGTAAACATGCTATACATAATCGAACTTCGTATTGCCAACCAAAGAAAAATGACAAAAGTGAAAATATCCTAACCAACACCAACAGATTAGAAATTACAATAGCCAAATGTTAATAAATTTAATTAATATTTAAATATTTTGAATATTCAAAAGGTAGGCTGTAAATTTCATAAATTACAAAGTATTAATTTAAATTAATTATATTGCATTTCAATTTGATCAATTATATTTATCCCTAATTTAACTTTCTAATTTGTTGTTTAGAATAATATTTGAATTAGAGATGTCTGCAAGAAAAAGAAAACCGAATCTTAAACTTCAGGTATCGGACGACGCACCCCCGGTGTAAGTACTCCAGCTAATGAGCCGAACAAATTTCGAAAAATTTCTTATAGCACACCTCCTGCCAACTTGGACAAACGAACCACCATAACCATTGTGGACAAAACTTTCGATGTCGAGGCGGATGATTTGGAAAAGATCTGCGATTTGGGGAGAGGCGCGTACGGAATTGTCGAAAAGATGAGGCACATACCAAGCGGGACAATTATGGCTGTGAAACGTATAGCTGCGACCGTAAATACGCAAGAGCAAAAACGGCTGCTAATGGATCTTGATATTTCTATGAGGAGTAGCGATTGTCCCTCAACAGTACAATTTTACGGGGCACTATTTCGGGAAGGTGACGTTTGGATCTGCATGGAGGTGAGTGAATGGATAATTATGTGGTAATTGTAATCCAATTTTTAGGTTATGGATACTAGTCTTGATAAATTATATGCAAAAGTGTACAAGCATAATCGAACAATTCCCGAGGATATTTTGGGTAAGGTACAAGCTGTTAACCAAATTTGTTAGTGTTGACAATTTTGTTACTGGTGCATGTAGCTGTGAATATTTTTGTTCTAATTCTCTTACCATTTGGCTTACCACCCACCTGGTTTTATATATCGTTTCCTCTAACTGGCAATTTTTCTTTCTCCCAAATGACCGTTTATTGTTTAGATGTCTTGGTCAACAATCAAATATATGCATATTTGATATACCTATTCAGTACTCTATTTAACCATAAAATATGGTGCATTAATCTTTACTAAATTAAATTGCCAGTGGTTTGTTATATGAGCGGGTGTTTTTTTCGAAAATCATTTTTGATAAGATACCTGGATGAACTGACCGCAAATTGAACTTATAATGGACAGTTTTTCATATATTAATGATGCCTAGCTCCTGGCATACCACACACATTCATCCTTTTTGGTTGTTACATGCTAAGTATATAACATTCACAACATTACTATTTTGTTTATCTACCTACAATTTTTTATAAATTACGCTCCCTTTTGACTAATATTGCATTTCAGGAAAAATTGCCTTAGCCGTCGTGAGTGCTTTACACTATTTGTACTCGAAGTTACGGGTAATTCACAGAGATGTTAAACCGTCAAATATATTAATAAATAGGAAAGGCGAAGTGAAGATGTGCGACTTTGGCATTAGTGGGTACCTTGTTGATTCTGTCGCCAAGACAATTGACGCGGGCTGCAAACCGTACATGGCTGTAAGTTATGACAATTGCATAGCGACATTTATTGTGTGTCTTTTGTAGCCAGAACGAATAGATCCTCAAGGTAATCCTTCTCAGTATGATATACGCTCGGATGTGTGGAGCTTTGGAATATCGATGATAGAATTGGCGACGGGCCAGTTTCCATATCAGAAATGGGGCACCCCGTTTGAACAGTTAAAGCAGGTCGTCACTGATGATCCGCCCAGATTACCGCATAACGAATTTACACCGGAATTTGAGGACTTTATTTCGAAATGTTTACAAAAAAAATATACGGATAGGCTTAATTATGATCAACTTTTAAAACACCCCTTTTGCGTTCGACATGCAGAAAAGGAGACGGATACGGCGTCGTTTGTTTCCGAAATATTAGATATACCGGAGAGTGGATGAGATTCCTGCATAATTTCTTAGTTTCTTTTCTCCATTGAATAGTCAAGAATTTTAATTGCAGTGGTGAATGGTGTACTAATGAAGCCTAACATAAGTACTATGTATACAAATTTTTAATAATGTGTTCATAGACGTGTGATAATTCACATCCTAGCAAGCCTACTTTACTCAAAATTAATACATCACATATTAATTATACTGTAAGTTTAAAGGAGAGATAAGATAAATATTTATTCACAAAACCGTTATCGAGAAGTGATTTAGAAATTAGGCAATAATATGCTTCCCCGTGTAGAATATTTTTTGATTGATTTATTTTCTTAAAGTCGTTAACCCCTATGCTCTAATATCAGTATTTTTTAAAGAATGTTTGCTTTTAATTTATTCGATTGTTTTTAGGAGTGTACGTAAAATTTTACTTTTTTGAGTTTTCTTTTTAATTAACAAACTGACAATTTTATCATCTCAATAATTTTACGTTTATTGCCATAGTTTAATTAGCGCATTTCTTTTAAATATGCAAAAGCTCCGTCTGAATTCAGTTTTAGTCATTTTAAATATTTCAAGCAGATTTAAAGGGAATGTGCGGTAATGTACCTATATTGTTGTCTTACAACTGATTTGATTTAAATACTTTGTTATATAAAGTTAATTTAGTTAATCTTCAAAAATTGAAGAATATATTGTATGAAACTGTGTGATAAATAAAGTTTTGTTTTACTCAGTGTCCATGTCCAGTGTCTATGTTAGGTGTTCCTTTTCAACACGGTCTGTCGGACCTTTTTGTTGTATGTATTTAAAATAATGTATGTTCGACTCTCTGTGTGTGTGCGGACAGGAAAGAGAAACATCTCCGCATATACTGCGCCATTGTGAGTAGTATATTTAGAGCGTTGAATGAAAATTCACCTAGACTAAACTAGGATACCACCTCCGAGTTTAAAGAATAATGTTTTGGATAGGACAGGACTCGTTGCAGAGTAACAAGTTACTCAATACATAGCAGCAGCAATCAAGGAGTAGATGTATTTATCTGACCAGGTCAGAGCTCTTACTTAATGATATGTTGCACTTATTATAAGTATAAAATCTGACTATGATTGCTACAAAAGCCATCATGTACCAAATTTTCTTTTGTCGATTGGATTAATTGTTTCAACAAGGTAAATTTGTTTTAATTTCGTGACGATTTATGGCATTTAACATTGCAAACACTTATATACAATACACACTAAGTTGCTACTAATAAAAATCGGCACACAAAGAAATTATTGCATTATCACACTTTTTTCTCCAATTCGTATATTTGCATTAATATGTCATTTTTTCTTTGTACTTTTGCTAATTGATCAGGTTCGGGTTTTGTTAGCAGACCGTTTTTTAAATTTTCCTCCAATTGTTCGGCTTCACGCAGACGCTTTTTCAAATTACGCAGACGTTTAACAGGGTCCACATCATGATTGTTTGACTGTTCTGTCGGTTTGGTGGGTTTTTCGGTCGGAGCTTTGGCAACTTTTACCTTTGCTTTAATTGGAGCATCGACTATTTTGATTTTATCCACTTGTTTTACAATTTCGTCGACATCTAAACGAGTCCAGTTATAAACTATGCTTGTACAATAATAAAAGCTTACTTTTCGTTTGCTTCTTTTTCGTTTTACCTTTGTCTGCAATTATATACAAGCCTGGTATGGTTTGCTGAGCTACCTCACCTGAAGGTAACGTAATCCTTTGCGGTTTTGATGATTGACTCACAAACTGTTTCCCTTTACTTTCGTACAGTGGGACTTCCTCTTGGGGTACATAACCTTCCTTTACACGTCTTGCTTTTCGCCAAGTTCCATCTGGTCTTTGTGATGCTGGTATGAATGTGTCCCCTTAAAATCAATACTCAAGTCAGAGACTTATGAGAAATGTTTGGCTATTAGTGAACCTGCTGCCTGCATAATGGTCCTTAATTTATGCCAATTATTTATGCATCTTTTGTAAATATGAAATTGAAAAAAGAAAACATATTAAAATAAAGAAGGAATTGTACCAATCGCCATCTTTTTTGAACCAACCGTCTACTCTGTCCAACCAAAGAAAAATAAAAAATCTTTATACAGAGTGATTCGCATATTTCCGGTGAAAAGTTCCTAATATTTGACATTTTTACCTTCTTCAAAAAAAAAAGGTGATACAATCACTCAAGAGTACGTGAAGAAAAAGTTCGAAAAAGACTGGAAGAACGCGTCAAACTGTCAAACAATACTTTGGAAGGACACTCAGAGATGGCGAGAGAGAGAGGAGTTCGAAGTTATGAAAAAGGACATCGAAGCGTCAAGGGGCCTAGAAGGAGTTGTGATGCAGACTTAAAGGACGCGTGAAGAAAGCTCGAAGGAGGCATTCGTAAAGAGCAGAAAATCTGAGGTATTATACAACAGATGTACGATGGCATATCGGGAGGACATCTAGGAGTGACGAAAACCCTGGGTAAGGTGCGAGAACGATTCTACTGAGTAAATTGTGTGAAGGAATGGTGCAGAAAATGTACACATTTTCTTCAAAGCTAGGATTACGTGCAAGTATTCATTGATGTTCCATCGACCAAGTCCAAAATTTAAATAAACTTTGCATTTTACAAAATTGTGCATGCTATATTGTAAGGCAAATACAATTTATCAAATAAATGTTAAAATTGTGTAAAAAATCCAGTTCCAACTTTTCTGAATTTAAACGGTCGTCTCTTATTGCGTCCACTAAAAATAACAAATGTAGCAAAACGGTTAATGACAACAATTTACTTACCACATATTCTTAAAAAATACTGCATTTTGGGCATAAGTTACAGGTGATTGAATCTCCAGGAAAACATCAAAGTATGCACAAAGATAGCGAAGCTGTGCTGCCAACAACCAAGTGGCGCTATGAGCACTGCTATTACTCCATTCCACGTTTACCGCTCTTTCCATATCCTACAAGTTAGTTGTAATCGATATTTGTGCACCATTAAATAATTTACCCTGATCTGGTCGCAATTTCCTGAATGAAATTCCCCATCACAAAACGCATTCAAGCAAAATATCGGAGTTTGCTTGGGATAATCATTTTGAATGGCGATATAAGCTTTAATCGAAGCTGAAATCAGGTTGCATGCAAGCTTAAAAAATACAAAATAATTTTACCTCTTGTTCTGGTGATTGTGGCACAATAAAAGAGATCACTTGAAGAAACCATCTCACTCGCTAGTAAAGCGGCTGTGCATGTTGCTTCGCAAAAATTTTGCCAACTGATGGAGGTCCACTTGGCCAATGAAGAGATGACATTTTGAGGCATGTCGACAGACTCCGGGACGGTTGGCATTACGTTTTGCTCTGAAAAATTCCATTTATGCAAAGATTAAGGACGAACTCCCCACTACCAAGCTGCTGCAACTGCACTGCCAATGATGTTCTTGAGCCGAGTCGTTTATTCAAAGCGTTCATGACGATGTCAATATGGCGGCCACTGACACTGCTTTCGGCTTTCAATCTCTACAAAAATCGAATGCCAAAATAGTCATCACAGTCAAGTTGTGTTCAACCTGCGACATTAGAAATTCCAATCCGCAAACCTTTTGTGCCCACGAATACACATAGCCCAAAGTTGGAACGAGGGACTGATAGGAGTTGAGACCGATCTTTTTCAATTGGTACTGGTTTAAAGGATTCGGGCTGTCAAGGCCAAAATCTCCGGTGAATAATTCCTTCAGTATGTTTTCTCCATAAAGAACTTCTTTGGCGCCGCATCCTCGAAAATTTTCAATAAGCTCTAATGGCTAATGTAAAGATTTTCACCAAATGGATAGTACAAAATCGTTACTTTTTAAATGTTCTAAACAAAATATACTGCCCAAGCTTGTGAAGCCGTACAAAATGATCTCTGTTGAAAAACAAAGAAACCATCCCGTGTTGAGGGACATTTTTTGACCAAAAAGACAAAATCCATTTGAGTGTAAATTGCTATAATGTGCAAAAACTTTCAAATTACCAGTAATGTGATCCGAAAATTGGACATCAGATGTAACAGCGATAATATTTAATGAGGTCAAATAAAAAAATTGCATCGTCAAGACACTGCCACTCTTATGATGAATTATAAGCTGAACTGACAAAGGATGGACCTCCAGCAAGAGTTTACGACGCTCTTCATTCTTATCAATTTGACTGGCTTTACGATGACGTCTTTTTTTGACCACCTCCACACTCTCCTGTAGAATATCTAGTTAAGACAATTATGCCAGTACGAATAATGCATACTTCAATTTCTTGCCGGTCATTCTCTGCATCAGTGTCATCATTTTGAAAAATGGAAATATTTTGGGATTCTTTCCAACGGATAGCTTCGTCTTGCTCTCCTAGGATGTTTAATGTGATATTTATACCTAAAAGAATAATGACAAAATTCGTTTGTAAGATGGATTCATACCGTGAACTTCCTTAAAGCCGTCAGCATTTGCATAAAAAATGAACAAAGGATCGGGCAACAGAAATCTTTGCCTTTCTTCCACATAACTTTTTTCAACAGGCAAACCCAAGTCCTCATGCAGTGGTTTCATAGTATCCAAAACTGTGACCAACTTTGGCAACAATTCCGAGAGTCGATTCTTTGTCTTTAAAATATCTAAAAATTCAATTTTAAAGCTGCAGTATAAGAACTAAGTAGTTTGTAGGAAGAAGAAGAAACATCAAAATATTCAATTTTCAATACATAACATAGTATGCAGCGTGAATCCCGCTGCTTAGGTAAAACCTCGGGTAAAACATATAAATTCCAAAACATTTTCGCAACTTATGCAATGGTTTAAGATCTGACCAAGTTTGAAATTCTGATGTAAAGAATACATTAAGGTATTCCAGCCCATTTGAAGTCTGAGCCCTCATGCAGAAAATAATAACGTGAATGAATGGTGGGCATACTTCCATTAGGGCTAATGAAATCTGTACTCTGTCAGAAAGTTTAGTAGGTCACTATTGAATAAAAAAACACTTTTACAATATGGGTCTTGAAGTAGACCCACATCACAGGGAGTGCCAGGAGGAAAAAGAAACTCCACTGTATACACTGCGAACACATAACTGGTCAAGACACAGGTTCCTTTGAGAATGAACATGCATCCGAGAATGTGAGACTAAAACCAGACTTAATAACTATACCTTATGGTCGCAATACAGTCTTTAAAACAATGCCCTTTTACTCCAGATTGAATACCTACCTGCTGCTATTTGCTTTTTTTCGTCTTCCAAGCTACTGCACTGTTGAGCCAATTTTTTTCTTTGCGTTAATTCCCATTCCAGTCTTGCCAGGTGAAGCTCATGTTTCTGGGTATTATCCAAATTCGGATACTAAAATAAGGTGGATAATTAAAAATGAAATTGGAGATATCTATCCTACATTTTTAAATGGTTTCGTCTTCGCGGCGGGCGCATCCTGAAGAAACTCCTCCACACTTACAAGCTCCACATCTTCATCCTTCGACCTTTACAAGCGTTAGCCAGTTAAAGCACAAACACGGCTTCTACTTACTTGAACTGTTTACACTTTTTAATCTCAGAGGACAAGTGGGCGGATTCGTATAGAAGATTCTGATATTGTAATTCTGTGCTGTCGTTCTTATGCCTGTCGGTGGCAATCGCCTCACGTGAAGAAGTCATACGAACACGATCTAATCGATTAAATTTTTTCAACATAATAATATACGAACATCCCTGAACAGTCTTATCATACAATTTCGCTGCAAACTAACCAACAAAGTAATTGCGAGACTCTAAATCATGGTACTTACGTCCGGTGGTTTACGGCATCGTAACTCGACAATTTCTAGCATTATGTTCCTTATGTGCTCGCATATCTCGAGGCACAATTTAATATCACTAGCGGCGGTTCGCTTAAACGCTTCCTTCTCTTCGAAGGCAATAACTTTCTACAGAAAAATCTGTTAAAGAGTGACTGTTTGTGTGGCGGGGGTACCTTGTATATATCACTTTCAACTTCTGGATCTCCAATTGGATTTTTACGTCTTTTTTTAATCGAACTCTCTCGAGAGGAATTTGCGCTTGTTTCCTTCACCATTTTTATGAACTAATCCTACAACAAAATACTTGGGCAAACGTTTAGTTTACAATTATAACCTCAAACAAAATAAATCATAACCTCAAAAAAGATGCAATACCTACATACCAGTGGCGTAACAGTAATTATTGTTCAAAGGCAGAATCACGACTCACGGTACCGTTTGCACAAATCAGAGACTTGTTATAACTAGACCGCGCGTAACGTAGATTTTACTATAAACGCCTGTTGTCAAGATAGGATAGGCAACCAACTGTTCATCGCGGGGCAGACGTACGTTCTGTAGCTTGCTTTAGCCATGTTTATTCTAAATTTTAGTAGCAAAAAAAGATAACTTATAGCTGTTAACTGTTTTAATCGAATTTATTGGTATTTTATTTGAACTAAATTGGTATATAACTGCCTTACTCTAGTCCTAATTTGATTTATATGTGTATTTTGGTGGTGAACACGTATGGGAAAATATACTCTTAAAACTAAAGATGTAAGTAGTAAGATATGATTATTTAGCGGATTTTGATTCAATATATGCCTATCCAAAAACCCAAATGAGCTGTAACTGTTATTTATTTTTCTTAGGCTGCTGATAACCATTTTGTTTACAACGCGGTGTGGTGTGGATTGAATGAAAAACCTGAACACATTTTCAGCAATTTGGCAAATTTTTAATGCATCGCTTGATACGTGCAACAATCCTCCACGATTTTTTCTAGTTAAAAGCTTTGAATGACTCTCTGATGCGAATATCGCATCTGCACATATGGAACATTTAACAGACTTAGCTATTTTTCTTGTAACAAAACCTGAAATATACTTAGTACCAGTAAGTACTTAGTTACGTCTATAACTAATAGGCAAATAGGTATTGCCGTTGTCTTGCTGGTAAAGGATGTCGGTTCTGCGTTATTTTAAGTGAATGTGAAAGTCGAAAACGCTCGGTATTGCATTATTGTTTAACACATTTGTAGGTACCTTTCTAAAATCGGCTTCATTCCCCGCAAATGCACTATGGTGGGAGTAAATTTTTCTCTTCGAATGGCTCTGATCCATTGGCCCTTTAAACTTTTATCCGTTGAAAATCAGCATATTATTTAAAAATTTATCGACAGAGTACATGTTGATAAATGATAGGCACAAGTTAACCTCAGTTTATTGGTTTATTCTCAACAGAAAGTTATCTGTTTACTAATTCGAGCTAATCACGAGAATGATTAATGAACGGAACATCTAAAATAACAGCTTATTTCATTATATTGCATATCATCTCAGCGATTTTTGCCCCGCGGTGCATTGTGTGTTGCATACTGTGTCGACAACACCTTAGATACGTTAAGCGCAGTCTAGTTATAGCAAGTCTCTGGCACAAATAATAGAAATGGATATTTGAACTAATCATTTAGAACAGTGCATATCGCACTGAATTATTATTAATTTATTTTTATTTGAATTGTGGAAAACCGATGAAGATCTACTGATCGCCTGTTAATCAACGCTCACTGGCTAACCGAGCATATATACACTATCGTATCGTATACTCCGCCAATGGAATTGTCACATTCTGAAAGGTCATCCACTTCTTGACAGCCCCAGCAGACACTTGTTTGGTTTTGTGTTACTTTTGGCAGTTTTTTTATTTATAAAAACCTGAACTTTTTTTACTTTACACTTAATTTCCGTAACGGATACAACATTTCAGTTCCACATCTGCAAGACTAAAGATGCATTTAAAATAGTATGTGAGAGTTAAAAGCAATGGTCCCCATTTCCTTCATTGATGATGTCGGGACATGCTGTAGTTGTCTGGGAATGGGAAAATAGAAATGGGTATTGGAAGCCTTACTCGCCGGCCGTGGCGCAGCATCTTGAGCGAGCGAACGTCAAGCAGCTGACACGAGTCATATTATCAGATGCAGATCCTAGCCTCCTAAATTACTATGTGAACTTGAGGAGCTTAACTCAGGAATTGGAGGATGCGGGTTGGTATCGCCTTAGTGGCGAGCGAAACTGTAGCATTTGCTTGTAGATGTGGTGGTACGAGTGAGGCGAAAATGTTATCCACCTACTTCTCCTGCTGGGAAAGGTGCAAAGTGGGAAATTGCGGTCGATCATGGTACCGAGTGGCAAGTTTTTGATATGGACATTCAGTGTATCATTGAAGAGGCATGGGCCAGGGTGAGTCTTTACTTGCCCACTTTGATTTCTAGTTTGCGTTTGTAGGGGGATCAGACAATCGACATGAGCCTAACGTACCTGGGATTTCCCTACATAATCAATTTCGGTAACTTAACGCTGAGGTGGTTAACAAATGGGCGACTACGAAATATTCGTCGAATAAAGCAGGCCCCATATCCGTTAGTTAAAGTGAGACTCGAGGAATTGGCAGTCGTGACTGGTGGGAGAAATTTTTACTACACATTAGCTAAGTTCACTTTTCAGGCCGTCGTTCTTCGGACATACGGAAGTCATACCGCAATATAGAGCCAAACTCTGCTACGAAACTTGTTAGTCCGACTAATAGTGCAATGGAATGCAAGAAGCCCACAAATTCTAAGAAAAAAGGTAGTAATAAGCTAAAGAGTAATGGTGAAACCACCACGTCGAATTTGGCTCGGACAATTTTGCACAATCTGAATATTTTTGGTAGGCTGAGCTTAGACGAAATCATTATCTCATGCGTATTTTGTAGGTCATAAATCGTGTAATAATGTACAAAGTCAAAATAGTGATAATAAAGCACATAAGGAATCTCTACTGGATGCTGATAGTAGCAGTACAAAGTCAGGACGACGGCCAAGTTTGGACACAGTTTCTACGTACCTTAGTCAAGAAAGTCAAGCGACGACTTCCACCACTGATTTGCTGAATTACAGTACTGGAAGTGACGATGGTGTGGTTGATACTGAGGATTTACCTTCAATTGTTGGTATGTTAGTCCTCCACAGCAAAACAAATTAGCTAATAATGAAGAATCTGATCCCATAAGCCTTGAAATGTATATAGTATCCAGTCATCCCGTTTATAGTTGCTTGTTTGTAGTACAGGGTGCGGCAAAACAAATGGCTACATGTGCTGTGCTCGCTCCTCCACACCATTATATCTATATATCTAACAATAATTTCCCTTGTAGGTGTTGATTTGGCCAGTGCAATAATTTCTAGATTTGTAAGAGTATCTCAACCGAATGAATGGGCACCAAGACAACCATGTCCGTCATGCAGGGAACTATTGAAACCATCCAGAGTTGTTATAGCACTACCCTGCAATCACGTCCTCCATTTGGATTGCGTGAACTATCTTTTAAAGCACCAACAGGCGACCGGTGCAAAACTGCACATACAGTGCGTAGTCTGTGGGTGCGTTTACGGAGAGAAGCATGGCAACCAACCTCCGGGAACCATGGAATGGGGCGTCATTGACCGGAACCTGCCCGGTTTCACGAATCACCGTACCATCCAAATCATATACAAGTAATCCCCATCAGTGTTTATTTGAAAACTTAACATCTATGTTTTAGCATTCAGTCCGGAATACAAAGTACAGAACATCCGAATCCCGGACGCGAATATTATGCAGTCGGTTTTCCCAGAATTGCTTATCTTCCCGACAACTCGGCCGGTCGGAGAGCTCTACGTTTGTTGAACGTGGCGTGGCAGAGGCGGTTGGTTTTTACTGTCAATCGCTCACACACAACAGGCTGCGAGGACGTCGTTGCATGGAATTTGCCCCACAAAACGGAAATCGGATCGAATGGCTCCGGACACGGTTACCCTGATCAGGGGTATCTGCATCGTTTGATACGGGAACTTGAGGCACTGGGTGTAAAAGAAGAGTAATGGTCAACATTCCTAACTTTTTTCTTTCTATACTACAAAGTATAGCGGCTACTTTAACTTTTTTGACAGGCGAGTTTTGCCAAGTGTAAGGATTCATTCGTAATTAGACTCGCCCTTTTGATTCTCACTACCCTCTTTCGACTGAAAATTTTTCTCAGTATTAACAAATCATTGACTGAACTACTGCCTAACGTAGTTTCTTTGTGTGATACTTTTTTAGCAGCTCGGTGGATTTGAGCTAATTTCTCTGCAGAGCATATTCTTGCCAAACATGAATTATAACGTGCCAAGCATACACGTTGTGAAACGAAGGTTGTATGTGATTGCCACTTGTTAGTTTAAGCAACAGAGTATTTTAAAAATCGTTATTACTATTTAATTTTACTTGGAAAGCTGTAAATCAGCTCATTTATACTTTAAAACGGACCGTGTCCTCGACATTTAGCAATAATTATAAATGAAGCTTTAATATGAGTGTTTTCCACAATGTTTATTTATAAGTTCAAATTTTATTTTTTGGAGTGAAGGTTAAAAGTACTTTTTATTTAGGTGATGGTATTAGGTTGCCATGATGATATGTTACCAATGATACGGATAAAGCGTATGGAATCGAGAACAAAATTTGAACAAAGCCTAATGAGCGTGAGAGTTCGATTTCTTACTTTTTATCAAACTGCATGTAGATTTTTGTACATTTTGTCAAAATATGTAATCATAATGGCCTACCACAATACACATGTTATATTCCCCACATTATAAAGAAAAGCACACATGTAAGTGGAACTGAACGGGAGTAAGACTGGAAATGTCAATCACTGTACTAATTGGAAGCTTTTGATTCAGTACAAAGTTAATAATTATCAAACGACTGCCTTAAGTATGTATAATCTCAGTGCGTCCATGTATTGCAGCTATGACAATATAAATCATGCCAAATTAATTGTAGAATAAGATTATTTTCATATATATGTAGTTTGTTATGAATTATAAAAATAAATAAATTACGTTCTGTGAAAAGATTTTGAATCAAAATTTGTTAAAATGCATCTGCAAAAAGAGAAACTCGCATGGAAAGTGTCCTAAATTAGTGGTAGCGGTAGCTATGAATACTCTCAACTTTCTGCTAATAACTTTCTCCTTCATTAATAATTTAGCATTCATCGTACAAAGATGTACTTGTGTGATAGCTGTATTGTAAATATCCATTAGTAAAACAGTTCAAGTGGAACTACATTGCAAACAACTATGCCACATAACATTCAAATTGAGGATATTTTAAATAATAATCGAGATGAAAATAGTAAGAGGAAATTTCCTTACGAAGTTAAAATTGTAGATCCTGACACAAATAAGGAGCTATTGGATGCTTTTACAGGTGAGAAAAATTAGACAATTACTTTTCGATAAGACCAAATTTTTCATTTTATGTTATCCCCTTACAACGGTACCCAAATCTTAAGGGAGTAGTGGTTTTCTTATTGTCGTCAGGCAAATTTCATTGATAATGGAAAACTGAAATTTATATTTAGTTTTGAGGTCGGTTAATCAGTGATTGATTTATTATGAGAGTGACCTCTGGCATTTATATTTCTGCTTTTGAAGTGAAATTTTACAACCGGCACTCTAGTATCATATATTTCTGCGAAGATTCAAGCTAAAAGAGCGTAATTTTTGGCATATGCCAGATCATTAGCTTTCAGATTATAACCAATGCAGGAATGGGAAACACTTTATTGAGATAATTTTTAATGCACACACGTCTTATATTCGCCCACTTAACAAAGATCAAACTCATCAAAAACCTTCCTTACCAAGTAATAATTTAAGTTTTCACTGCCCTAGAATAGGCGAGTGAGAGGCAAAAGCTCCACAAAATTCATGTCACACAGAAGTCAAAATTATTTGATCATTTCCAGGCATCTCCTGAAAAAAATTACCGCATCATCGGCTAATTTCAAATTATCTTACATTTAGGAGAACTCCTGTATTGTGGTAATTGGGTATTTTGGTTTTTAACACTATACCTACTCTTATGGAGAGTCCTTGAATTTCTGGCTGTTCATTCGTACTCAACTCTACAACCTTCTCAATGATAACTATGTTTAGAGCAGGATAATATTTCCTTCAATTCTGAAATGATGCTGTAGTAAGGGTAGACATACACAAACAAGAATTTAAAAATTTTAACCTAAGGGTTTATTTGTCTGATGATTTAGTTGTGTCATTAGTATGCATGAAATATACCTACTCAACACAATTTATATATGGCATATAATAATTTACGAAAGATAGGAATAGAAATGTACTCATTTTTCCTTTCAGGGGAGCATACAGGGTTCGTACAAGTAGGCCCTCAAAAATATTTCTTTCCTAGCGGCTATGAAAAGGTAGCAGAAAAATATTACAATTTTGAAATACGACCCGACGATGTCTGGATTGTTACATTTCCAAGATCAGGTAAGGCACTATGTTTTACTTGTAAGAGGATCATACAAATGTCTGCCTAGGTACAACGTGGACGCAAGAAATGGTGTGGTTAATTGCAAACGAATTTGACTACAATACGGCCGCTACAGTACCATTAAACGAAAGATTTCCTTTTTTAGAGTAATTTATACATCGATCCTTGGTACAATACTGTAATTACGCAATTTTAGATTCAGCATGTGCGTCCATCCGAAAATGAAGGCACAATTCTTACAAGAAAATAGTCACAGTATTGAACGACAAAATATGATCCAAGACGTCTGCACAGAAGCATGGAAGATTTTGGAAAATTGGAAGGGGAGGCGTTTCATCAAAACACACCTGCCATTCAGCCTGTTGCCACCTAATTTGTTAACCTCTGGCTGTAAGGTAATTTACGTTGCAAGAAACCCGAAGGATGTTATGGTCTCGTACTACTATTTGAACAGATTATTTCGAACCCAAGGGTATCGGGGTGACTTTCCGACATTCGCGGAGTACTTCCTAAAGGATATGGGTAAGATAAATTCGCTCAAGTGAACTTAATTATCGAACTTTTAGTACATTGGACGCCGTTTTGGTCTCATTTACAAGAAGGCTGGGATTTGCGAAGCTCCAAGAATCTTCTTTTTCTGTTCTACGACCAAATGAATAAATTGCAGGTGTGCAGCATTCACATCCATGGAAACTTTCATTATGTGTAATTTTTGCAGACAATCCAAAAGGTGTCGAACTTTTTGGGGAAGGAAATTGATGATGATCAATTGACGAAAATACAGAATCATTTACAAATTGAGAACTTTAAGAATAATAAGTCGCTCAACGCTAATGATTTATTAGAATTGGGAATATTATATGGAGGCGAAGAGGGTTTTGTAAGGAAGGGAAAGACGGGATCACATACGGACTTATCCAATGTCGAATTAGACGAGAAGATTGACAAGTGGGTCAAAAAGAATTTACAGATGACGAATATACCGTTTGAACGAATGTAAAAATTATCACTGATTTAATTGTATAATTGTGTAATAAAATTTAGAACAACAGTAAAAAACTTTCTGATGTCTAGTGCTTTTTACACACATGAGGAGTTTCTTGAATCTAGCCATAAGATGGAACTGATGTGATTGTATGATTTATGTAGTTGGTTATTATTAATTGTGTTATGTTTTATATCGTACTTATGTTATATTGTTGACAAGTGTAAATACCTCCTAAGGCGTAATGCATAGGTACAATAAATTCAAATAAGAGTAAATAAAGTCAACCACCATACACTATTCTTAATTACAAAATTGTTGATGATTTTATGACCGCCTTACCATATGGAGATGAAAGGAGGAAAGATTAATAAATTTCCTAAACCGGCACATCAGACTTAAATTTAAACTTTTAAGAACAATCTATTGACGAAATACTCTACTCAAGAATGGCAATAAAAATGTATGTTTAACAACTTAACTTTAATAAATTCTAAGCAGTAAATGACATTGGATAACATTCTAAAGATTTCAGATTGAGTACAGCAACTGTGGAGGTACTTGCAAACTCTGGAACGGAAATGAGTCTGACCACTTGCCCATCCTCACCTAAAAACAGTATGTGATGAAAGTGCTTGTAGTTTAGTGTTTGATGTACCTGTGACAACTTTTGTATCGAATGTGCTCTGATTGCTCACAAACATAACATGTGGGCAACTTTCGATCACAAACGGATCAATTTCGTAAAATGGGTAGCAGCCTAACGTATCGGGGGCAGTAGGCGCTGTGTGACTCCATTTTAAAAAATATTCCAGAACGTCTACAGGCGTGGGTATATTGCAAAAACCCAAAACGTTCGTAACAGGCTGACCCGAATTGCCAAAAATCTGTACACCACCGACTTCACATTCGTACGGATTGGACACTTGATTAAGAGACTTAAATATGATCGATTTGGGAAACATGCAGTGATGCATAGGCTGCTGTGGCATAATGTGATTTGAAGGATCGTGCTCCCCCGGCATCAGATCCACGTCGACAACCTGCACTAATTCTAACAGCAGGCTGTCCAGCAACTTGACAGACTCGATCACTTCGGGCATTTCTGTCCTTCGGGATGTAAGAGCAATCGTCGGTTTAATTTTTTCATGAACCGTACGGGTACTGTTGCCAGCAATAACTAATCGGACGACCTTGGTGGATACATCTCCGACATCCGGAATGAGGCCTGTGATCCAGTTGACAAATAGCCGTAGCATGAGTGAGGTTTTTTCAATATGGACCAGATCTAATCCACTTATAAAAACTACAAATAAATCTTCTTCTAGTATCGGCCTTTCGATTTGCGTTGGAAACCCAGCAAAGCAGTAATCCTCAACGTTAAATTTGCCATTTCCCATATCGGAACCGAGCAAAGCCATTGAGATTCCGGTAACCAATTCGTCTTTTTGTAAACAGCCTACAGTAGATATTTAAGAAAAAAAATCAAACAAAAATAGTGAGCATAATCAGTAGTGAATTACATGAAGTGCACAATTTCGGAATTATTTTAACAAATAATGTCGTATGTAATAGAGAAAAGGTATCTAATAAATTAGTGGATCAGTGCAATGTACCTATATGTGGTATCTATCAGGGACATATGTATTTATAAATAAAAATAGAAACATACCTATATACTAATTCAGCATTAAATAGTTTTGTAAACAGTAAGGAATTTTGTTAAAAGGAATAATAAATTTACTGTACAGAAGCTGATAGCGAGAAAAGAAATCCAACAGGTTGACCGGCTACAGCCCTTAGTGTAATTTCATGGGAAATATACTTGAGTAAAAGATTCAAGTCTCAAAAACATAAATATGGGAGCAAGGAGGATAAGATATTGTAGAAAAGTAGACCTGAAGCCTGTAACACAAGTACAAATCCTACATTTGTTAGAATATATTTTACACTTGTAACTTATTGCATGAAAACATGGAAAAAGGTGCCTGTAACAGATACTAACCATAAATTTGGTACCGTTGCAAATTGTCCTCGAGAAACAAACAGTCGGATTCGTCAGTGAAGTGAGTGTAAATGGGTTGAGGTACTAAACTATTCGCTTCGGCCAATTGCTTCAAAACTGAAGGTTTCAGCTTCTGATCCTTAAACAGCGTGCCAATCACAACACATTTCGGATATTCACTTTCTGACACCTTGTGCAGTTCGCACACAGGGTAAGTTTCGCCCCATTTGTTCAATATTGGTGATTTTAAAAGAACTTGCATTTTTTGAAGGCGAACATTGTAAATATTACAATATTGTTTATTAAAGTCCTTGCTTTGCTTTTGAAATCGATCGGACAGATTGCGATAAGTGGTGCATTTTCTTTCTATCGACATTTCGGGCATTTTCCAAGCTAAAATAAAGAATATTCAAAACTTTGTGGAATTTGAGGTTAGGACTACGACCAGCTGATGTCAACGGCGGGAAACAGCTGTCAACAACTAAAACCTAACCTCCAAATGTCTTTTCGTAATGCAACAATTTGAATAACAAATATGTAACTCCTTCCAAATTTTGCTCTTTGTGGTTTTTTTTTTTCAGTTTACGAACACTTCGACAATGGAAAACATCGACGCTTTTCCTATGTGGGAGGTGTTCAACAAGCAGATCATACCTGCCCTTCTTGACATGGCATTCTCCGATGCAACTCTGCAGAGACTCACCAGCGTGATAAAAACGACCGAATTTTTAAAAATTATCGCTTACACTCGTGATCCTTCAACGAGCTGGGAAGAGTATCAGAAAAAGACGTTACAGTACAAAGCCTTCACTATTTGGTTACTCGAGAGATGCTTCTATCTACTAACTTGCGACAACTTTGCTAAGTACGTCGCGCTTTTAAAAGCATTTTATAATTCTTCTTTTGTAGAATTCACGATCTCGTTTTTAACGTTCACATTCGCATACTCCACTACATTAGCATATCACAGCCCGATTTGTATACCGAATTATGCGGCGAGTATTTCTCGTGCCTAACACAGTTGAACAGGATGCATTGTAATGACTCTAAGAAAATCAGATTGGAAATATTTATGCCGATTGAAATACCAGAACTGAAAGATAAGTTGGATTTTAGCGCTGTTCCAATCGAGGTCTCTTCAAAGACCATGTGCAGTAAAATACAAATGCGTGTGTTGAAGCTTTTGTCGAACATGTTGCTGAATATCAAAAGCAGTAACTTACATGAGGTGATCTATGACAATTTCGACTGCCTCGAATTCGTTCTGTCAGAATGCAGTATGGACCTAAAACTGTCAGCGATCGATGTATATGTCACTGCTTTAAATTGTGCAAATCCTTCTAGATTAACTAGTGGGAATGTACCATTAAGGTACTCTAATTTTGTTTCATTTCTGGAAAATATCGTGTGTAACGTGTATAATAAGACCACTATTATATCACAGGGAGAAATGCAGTGCCTCGAGTCTTTGCTCATTGTAATTTTTTCTTCACCTAAACACTTCAATAACTGCATGGAAAAATTGTATCATTTTGCTTTATACATAAATGCAAAGGCAGTATCCAAAGATCTGCAATTTACGAGTCTGTCTTATGTTCGACGTAATCAATTACCTTCATCAGACAATGTGAAGGAGTACATTAATAGAGTCGTGAACTGTAAAGAATATGAATACTTTAAGTTTGTAAAGGAACAGATTCAGCGTGAAAAAGGAATCGAATTGTGGAAAACAACGTGGTATAAACTTTATTTTAGTATGTTTCCATGTCTACCAAGTGCAAGATATGCAAATGATATGGTAGATAAGACTAATGACTGTAAATTCTTAGATCTGTTGACTACAGCACAAAAATTTGTAAAATTAACAAATGAGCTTAAGGTAGAAGATTACGAACATAAATCCTGGCCCTCTGTACTAGATTTATTTAGGATAACATATAATCATTTCTCAACATGTAACAAAATTGACTCGCTTGAGATATTGATGCGCAAATTTATAACCGATGTATATTGCGTAGGATCATTTGATCTTATTTTTAATGCTTTTTCGTTTCCCTTTACCAACAAGGGAACAGAACTATTGAAGTATGAATGGAAGCCAGGCAGTTTCTGGACGTGCAAGTCGAGCCGAACATTACAAATGGCATTAACTTTTTTGTGCACTTTAGTGTGCAATTGTTCATCACGTCACACACTGCGCTATACTAAAAGTACGGAACAAATCCGACATGATTATTTCAGAATAATTAAGTCACATTGGAGAGATGTAGTGCCTATGCTTCCGAATGAGGTAAGATATTTATTTAAGTAAAAGTTTGATCTAATCGACTTGTAGTTATTACATTTTCAACCCTGTCCCCTGTAACTCCATTAAAAAATGGCGCATGAAAATAACATATATTTGAATCTATACCTACATCTTAATTAATAGTACAAACTCAATTTTAATTGGTTACACGGTATGTTCTACTTAAATTCGCTCTCTGAGGGATTAAATTAGTCCTTTATTGTTGCCCTATGCTTGTTTTCGATATTTTGGAGAGTCTACTTGATTATGGCAGTGTTAAAAAGATCAACGTTAAAAAACATTTCTTTTCGTTTGTTCTTTGATGGTTCTTTTCAATCCAAGCCCACTGATGAAATTGTATAATTTTAGCACAAATTCAGTTTTATTTAAATTATTACAAAACCCTTTATTTTAGACATAGGTACACAGGTGTGAGGGTGTTATCTGTGCTACCCACAGCAAATGTCTTCTTTTATTAATTTTCCATTGTAGGATGTTTAAGTGCTGCAAACTGCGAATGAGGGCCCTTTACAATTATGGGGCTCTCATATACGCTTACACATAACAATATAACATCAAAATATACTATTATCTCCTTGGGCAGTTTGTTATAGATCCTAATCGTCATACACTTCAAACTGGCATCAGTCAGCCTTAATCGATGTTGTGGTAATAGTAACTTCTTGCCGAATCTTGTACATCTCCCGTGAATGGCTAGGTTTGTACGAAATTTGTTGAGGTTCCCTTTGACATAGTTAGCCGCCTCATATATATACAGAGAGGGTAATGTCATTATGCATAGCACTTGAAATAATGGTTTGCAGGATACCCCACTTTTGGCACCCACCAAGCATCTTATAATTTGTTTTTGACTAACAAAGACACCCTTTGCATAGTTTGAGTTACCCCATAGCAGTATACCATATTGCAGCCTGGACTGAACTTCAGCATAGTAAAAACTCTTAAGAGTGCTGATATATACGACGGTACGAAGAAATCTGACCTGGTAGCAGACAGAGCTTAATTTACTTATAATATTATTGCAGTGGCTTTCCCATGTTGTAGAACTGTCTATATGAATTCCTAGAAATTTTGCGTTGGTCACTTGGTGTATGATATTATTGTTTGTCCGTAACAAGGCAGTATTTTCGTTATAGATTCTACCCGCATAGAATAACATAAAATACGTTTTATCAGTATTCAGGTATAACTTATTTGAGCAAAACCATTTAAAGAGCGGCTCCAGTACCTCTGTGGCATAACTGATGACATCTTCCAGTGCAACTTCTCCTAACAAAATCGATGTGTCATCTGCATACATGGTAATTGCTGCATCAGCAATATATCGAACTAAATCGTTCACGAAAGTAATGAATAACAGAGGTCCCAGAATGGAACCTTGCGGGACTCCAATATTGACATCTTGCACATTTGACTTCACGTACCTATGTAGACTGTGATAATATCCAACTCACATGTTATTGCTATTTATGTTGTTTGTTATTGTTACTGACGTGTCCTATACATTTTTATATGTCCACAGGAAATAAAGATTATTATTATTATTATTATTACATAGATCTCTCTGAGATAGTGTCAATAAAAAGCACTTTTTGGGAGCGTCCTCAAGTGGTAGGTTTCAATCTAAAATTAATTCGAGTTAGGGGATGCTGCAGGTAATAATAATATGCTTGTATGTTCAAATTGGTTTTTCTTTCGTATTGGCCAACGCACTTCGTATTAGGGGTTCAATATAACTTCATGGATGAGATTGTTTATGAACTGTTCGCAAAAATGAAAATTATTGGCAATTATAACCTTTTTAAATTTTGGATTCTACAGTAATGATCGATGTTAGATCACTTTTTATTAAATCATAAGATGTACCCAAGTTCTCCTATAAATATGCGAATGTTTTTCAGGTAGTAAGGAATGTGCTGCGTTACCCTACGATGTTCAATGGAAGAGACGAATGGATTACGGACGTACTGGTTCCTGCTTTGGAAACTTTATCGCCCCAGTTACTACCCATCGCAATTGAGGTCGGAGGTGAAATAATCTGCCAGTCAAGTTCTCAATTCGTTCATTTCATCTCAAGTGTTAACGACGAGACTGTGTTCGAAGTATGTTGTTTGTCCTGCAGAAAAGAGTATTATAACGTAAATGAGAAGTACGAACTCGAGACTATATTAGAAAAAAGTGCGAAATCGCAAATGGCGTATGCTGTTAGTAAACCGGTACACGGAAATTGTGAAACAGTATTTAGATTGCTGAAACATATCTTGAAGCACTGTGCCAGTAACGATTCCAATGTAAAAATATCTATAATTAAGACTATGCACAGTTTTACTCACTTATTGCCATTTTATGATGTTAGTGGCATGTCATGTTGGTTCAAATTTGCGGATGATCGAGACGTGATGGTTAGAAGAGAATTTTCTAAAGTGGTGAAAGTCATATTCGTTGCCATTTCGGTAAGTGTTTGTTTTTTGATTTATTTTTATTGCATCAATTATGCTGATGAGATAACCATGCAAGTTACATCCTCCTGAGAGCGATTTAAGCTCAGAAATACTGAATGCAGTAATTAATTTTGTAAACTGCGCAAATCAAAGCCATTTCTTTGTTTTGTAGTAGGTTTACGCAATCGACATCAACTATTTCAAAGCATAGACTGGCATAGATGTCTGTACCACAAATTTTGTTGATCTTTTAGCATTTGCTTCTTTTCTTTTCTATTTCAGGAAAGCAAAGTCATATCAAATGAGGACAAAAATGAAATGTTTAAGACTTGTTTCTTGGAATTGCAAAAGTACTCCGAACAATCTGTACACAAATCGAATTACGAGCTACAAGAAACTCTATTGACCACCATAAGTGAATTGTCCAAGCTGTCATTGCCCATAACCACACGTTACGTGTCGCAGATCTTACTGTACTTTATTATGTATCCGACTTCGAAACATTACTTAATTGCGTTGAATATATTCATGGAAATGGCTCATCTGCAGAACACAACTACCGCTTTAATCTACGCACAGCACCGTCAGCAACTGTGCAGTAACATCATGAAAATTTGCGCTATTAATTTGGCCGTCATAGGTTACAGTCTATCAACGTCACTAGAAAGAATATCGACAGTTCTCGGCTTTTATGGTCCCAAAGATTTTGTTATGAAGGAAAGTCGTTCGCTGTTACCCGTCCTGATCTCAATGATAGTCATCATGCCTCAGGTCGAAAGGCTCGTAGAGGAGTTCGCCAAGTTGGAAGAAATGAGCGTGAAGGACTTATTGATCAGCAAATATGGGAATATTTTCCTACACATATTTCTGAACGAGACTGAAGACATGTTCAAACGGTTGATGAGGTACATTGAGGAGAAGACCGGATGTAGTGGCAGAACATTACGGAAGAAAGATCTCTTGGTAAGTGTAAGCTTGAATGGGATTGATATCAAAAGAAAACGTTTTAAAAATGCCATTTTGTGGCATTCCATCCTACAATATTAGAACCTCATAAAAAGAAAAACCCCGGACCAAATCCTATGAACTTTTAGTATGTTGCCATTGAACCTTTCCGAATCCACATTGGCTACAGTGAAAGTTGTGTGAACCAGAAGAATACATTCTAGTCCCCTTTGAAACAAAAACTGCGTTTGGTTCCAAATTGGCTTACAAAAAAAGAACGATACGTTTGCGCCGCATTACATTTCGAAAAGTATGATGCGCACAAGCAGCCACAAAATTGAAATTTTGGAAATAAAATTGTCACGTGATAGCAAAGGATCAATTAAACATACCTACTAAAATTGGATATGTAGTTGGTCAGGTGGGTTTCAATTTATGAGGCTCATTTGAGACAAGCCCCAATAAAATCCGTCAAATGGTTATTTTGTTATTATCAAACTCAAATCTGCATACTTCCGTCATTGACAGTAGTTGAATTGGGAGCGAGGAGTCGATCTTAGTTGTAGCATTAATGTAAATTGCAGGTTATTTTAAGCGATCTGTTGCTAAACTTCCACGAATATCGAGACCGAGTGCTAGTAGGCCTACGTATTTTGGCGACTGACGATTCCGACGGCCCCCCAATCGGCATCAACCGAATTCCCGAATATTTGCAACCGAAACTTTTAGGCGTCCTCGGTAATTTCGACATGAAATTGGTTTTGCTTCGTTATTTGGATGTCGAGAAGGTTCTGTTGAGCCTCGCCGAGCTCGTGACCTTTATGGGACCGAAGTACATTACGCCTTTGCGTTTTAAAATTTTTGCCATGTTGAAGACGGCTTTGAATTCGAACGAGGTTAGCGGCCAGCTGCATTGCGACGTGTGGGAGGCTTTCCTCAAAAGTTGCGAAATTGAATCGCTCGGCCCGCAGTTGGCGTCAATTTTCGTGTTTCTGATACCTCTACTAGAAAATCAACCGAAAGTTACGGCGATATTTCGATATCTAATCATAGAAAAGGAGGCCTACGTTAAGGACTATATTTGTGACTTGTTTTTCTTGCTGGAAGGCACTGTAGGTGGTGATATTTGCGTTGTTATCGAGAAATACTTAAAGCGTGTGCAAGGCTTACCGTTTCGAGAACATTTGAGCGCATTTTTAAAATATTTAAATCACGAAACTGTCGAAATTCGAGTGCACGGTTTGAAGTACATCAAACGGCTATTGGAAACCAACAGAGAAGAGTTAGATCGGATGATATTGGGTTACAATGGTATCGATCCAATCATTGTTAGTCTTTTGGACGTACTCATGCTCGCTTGCCGCGACAAAGAGGACCTTATCAAGTTGGCTTGCGGCGAGTGTCTTGGGGAGCTGGGCGCAATCGAACCTAGTCACTTACCGAGGCAGTACAAAACTGAAACACAGTCATTTATTTTTTTCATCACAGAGGATAGTTTTATTGTTAGCGCTTTAAATGAATTAACTCGAGCTTTGCAAGCGGAAAAGAACACGCGGGTAAGTCGTAGAGGATTAAAAGCGCCACTTAATCATTCTTTTGCTTAAAGAAAATGGACCGTTTTGCGTTGGCAATACAAGAAGCTTTGAAATATTATGAAATATCTCCTGACCCGAGCAGTCGCAAACACAAACTTTGGATGGATTTCCCTGATAGTCAAAAAGAACTTATGCTGCCAATGTTATCTTCACGTTATACGTTGCTGCAACCAAAACAAAAAATTCCGGTTTCGCCAATATACGGATCCAAGTATGGTTCAACTTACGATCTATGGATTTCTAAGTAAGCTTGTTAAGAATCACTCGGTATTAAAAATGCACGAGAGAAATTGCTGAACAGTTCCTAAGCCGATCGCGAGATGGAACACTTTCAACGCCCTACGAATTGTAATTAAGCAGTAAACTTGCCGATGTCGCTTTTGAAGGTTCTCTGGCATACTTTGTTTGTTTAGAGTAGAGTCACATGTTTAACATGAACTTTTGAGCAAATGCTCTCTAGATACCACTTACATTTCGTTGTCTGTTCCACAAATTAATATTGTTTTTCCCACTCCCACTAGTTGGACAAGTAATTTAACTTTGGAAATGAAGGTGGACGAACGATCCGTGGTGCAGGTATGTTTGCCAAGTTTGCACCAAGACCATAATACCTTAATGGTCTTCCTACCACATATCCTATTGCACGCATTGTTAGATGGTAGTCAGGCGTCTCATGACGATATTTTCGCCGAGTTCACGGCGGTAATCGATACTTACACCAATAGAGAGGCCAGCGTGCCGATAGCGTCTTTACCTAGCGGCACACCTATCTCGAGCAATACTGTTTCGCCGGAAGAAAAGGTTGTATTCGTTCTTTTGGATTTTTTGGATCGTTGGATTAGGGAATGGACATGGAAAGGGCCGAAATCTGCCAACGAAGAAGAATGTCGAATAATTAAGGTACTTACGCGTCTTTGACTTTGAATAAAATTAATTTTTTTAGTCATTTTTAACTCGTTTTTGCAAGCTGAAGTTGGCTCGCTCAAATTGCCGATGTGGGGAGTATGCTAGGGCGCTGATGTACTTCGAGGAGTACATTAGTGAGCACTCTGACCAACTGAAAAATCATCTGCCACTCTTTACCGAGGTATTACTACAGTTTTAATATCAGCAGTTAATTAATGATTCTAGCTTTACGCTCAACTGGACGAACCAGATGGTGTAGAAGGAGTAACCACAATTCATGATAAAGAACCGCCCATTGAACAAAAATTGTTGGCATTAGAAGTGTCTGGAAAATTAACTGATGCAATAGCTCACTACGAACAGATACCCGCACCGCTCAAATTGCATCACCTACAAGTACATTTTTGTAAACTAGAAAGTTAAATGTTATTAATTTCGGATTGCAGTGTTTGGTACAATGCTATTTAGATTTGGAGAACGTACACGCGGCGCTAAATTACGTCCGCGGGTATGTGCATTCGTATCCGACTTACAATAAAAATGTGTTATTAGAAATGCAAGCCGAACCTCTCCTACGTTTAGGACGCTATTCAGACCTAGATGAGTTACTTAAAAAGCCGGAAATGCGATGTAATCACAGTTGGAGCTTAGAAGTGGGGAGATCACTGTTGTATCTTCAAGATGGTAGGCCTAATTATTCTCAGGTCTTGTTGTGCAACATAAATATTTTATCAGACAACATAAAATTTATTGTACTACTCTTATTGATTCTTTAGAACATTCTCGACCAGTTGCATCATATTCTGCTTACTTTAGAATAATCCACATTAATAGACTCATTTTCATTTCTGATTGAACAAACCAAAGAATTAATCAATTGTAAATTTGTGTCTTTCATTGCAGGCAAAATGGATGAGTTTAATAACATTTTAAACTCGTTATCAATTTCGCAAGTAGACGCTTTAGGTGCGGCCAGCTTAAAACAAGGTGCATATCAACATGGCTACATGTACGCGGCACGTTTGCATACAATAACGGAGTTAAAGCAAATAGGAAACATGATAAAAGAACTGCTATTAAGACCAAACGATCACAAAGTGTGTGAATCTGTCCTTAAGAAATTGATGGTGGAATGGGAGTTACGATTAAAGGTATAACGGCATTTAATTATCCACAATAGCGCGATTTATTTCTAGATCGTTCACCAATCTCGAAAAATCCAAGAATCTATCTTAAGTTTGAGACGGGTGGGAATTCTTCAAGCGAAAACCATTTTAAGGGATAGAGTACCAAACTCTTTAAATTTGCTCAATTCAATTTTGGGCGAATCTTGGTTACGCAGCGCTACCATCGCAAGGGCGTCCGGTGTAAGTGTCTAAAGCTTTTCGATGATCGAATGCGGCAGTCTAAAACTTGCAGGTTCACCAGCAAGCGTTTACTTACACATTGAAAGCGGACGACTACTCACCACCACGCTTATTTCTTGAAAAAGCTCAGCTGCACTGGATGAGAGAGGAGCACCAACAAGCTTTGAGTGTCTTACGAAAGGGGGTTGAGAGATTAATTCCGGATGCGATAGGAACCCCATCATTCTCCTGCGGCAACAATGATTTGGACATAAAGTAAATATATTTATTTATTTCAAATTATACAATTATACAATACAGTAATGGTTATTTGCATAAAAGTCAAGATAACTTTGGGGCCAAGTACTTTAATTTCCGAGTCTAGTAGTGGCATTTTACTGACGAGTTTTGTGTGTAATTTTACCCGAAATGAAAATATAATAATATAAGTCTATAAACAATTTAAAATTTTAGTTATAAGTGAGAAAAATCATAAATAAAATATAAACAAGTAAAGGTAAACAACTAAAGAGTATACTACACAGGCAGGTACACAGATTGGGTATTTTATCTGTGGGCAGGTACATTGACAAAAAACACTTTTTTCTAATCATGATGTAACATTCCATTACATCATGTTTTTTTTAATTCGTAAACTGCATTTTGTCTACACTACTTGACATCATCTTTCTGAATCAAAACCACATTGATGAAATTAAAAAAATTGTCAATAGCTTCCCTATTTTTGTCTTTAGAACAATATGACATACTTTCACTTAGTGAGGATATTCTATACATTAGAAAATAGTGCGTTTTTGTCGATATTTTGAGATTACGACTGTCCATTGTTTTTCGGTTTTCACCATTGCAATCGGGATAAAGGTAACCTACTTTTCGTGCATTTTTGACCATACCATTTCTGATTTTACAAACATTTTCCCAAAATTGACTCAAATATGGCGCACCCGAAGCGAGGGATGAAAAAATCTTTAAGGGTATACCGTTGTTAAAACTTACTAATTTGATGTATAATAATTAAAGGTACTGTCTGGATTACAACTGGAAAAGATGCCTTCCATAACTAGATCAAGTTAACTAATAGAACAACCTTAGTTTTCACTTTGCTTCTTGCAGGAAAATTTCGGCAGAAGCAAAATTACTGATTGCCTCCTACAACGATTCAGTGTCAAACGTCGACGCTCACGTGAATAAACAGCACTACAAAGACGCGGTCGACAATTTCAATCAATGGGAAAAGAGTCTAGTGTGCCTTGCGCAGTATTACGACCGCCTTTCTCAATCGTTACCTGACAGCGAGAGGGAGAAGGAAGAAGGTGACATGAAAGTGCTCATGATTAATTACTTCGGAAGATCGCTGCTTTACGGTAGCGAGTACGTCTATCAGTCCATGCCGCGAATGCTTAGCATTTGGTTCGACTATGGCACGGGCGTCTCCAACTTGGCGAGTGGAATTACGGTCAGCAAATCCGGGGGAATTGGAAAGATGGAACGCGAAAATACCCTTACCCAGATGACGAACCTAATCGATACGTTCCTCGAGAGGTTACCCTCTTATATATTCTTAACGGCATTTTCACAGATTGTGTCGAGAATATGCCACCCACAGAAGCAAGTGTCAATTGAGCTAAGAAATATTATTGTCAAATTAGTTTTGCAATATCCTCAACAAACTCTGTGGATGTTAATATCGATGATAAAATCGAGGTGTGCGATCCGATTGAAGAGGTGCACCGAAATTTTGAAAGAAGTACGCTCCAAGTCGTCCAACATGGGCAGACTGATAGGAGACTTTACTAAATTGGCAGAGAAATTAATCGAACTGTGTAACAAGGAGATACCTGACAATATTCGAGTCGCCTCAGTAGGTTCCGTATTGCAGTCACTGCCAAGGTAACTATAGGCATCAGCGTCATTGCTTTGGTAAGTCGAAATTGTTGCAGAATGTTGAGCAATAGTGACTTCAGTGAGATAATGATACCGACACAGAAATTTCGAAAACTTATCTTACCGAATCCGGATTTTCAAAGCAGTCAGCATAATCCCTTTCCAAATCGATACGTTCATATTGTGGGAATTGAGGACAAATTTACAATATTGGAAAGTATGCAGCATCCCAGGAAAATCACCTTTAGGGGATCAGATGGGAATAAGTAAGTATTATGATATTTCAGAGTTTTGCAAAATTGAAACAAAAATGAACGCTTACAATAATTAAAAACCAAAATTTGATATCATTTTTTTTTAAAGTAGAGAGAATGGTGACGTATGCTTTTGTTCAAGCCACTTTTAAGGGGAATATTTTTTATTGATTGATTATTTGCTTAAATATTCCCTATTGGGGAATTTAATCAGGAAAAAATTATAAGTACCATTTTTTTAATGACCACATGTAAGAGAAGATGGAGAAATACCTATATAGGAACATTTTCTTAAAGTTTCTTGATTTTTGCGATAGTACTGTTATAATTGTGGAGAAAATTCTGTTTTGGAATGCATGTTTCGTCCCCTAACGAAGATTGTACCTACGCTTTTGCTTCTTGCCATTCTTGTTGGACAGAAGTCATTTGAAAAGGCTAACTAAAGCTCTAAATTACTATCACATAAATGTGCTTACTAGTTTTTCTGTGTGCTGAGAAATTCATATGCATATAAAAACATTCCACGTCCACCCACAGGTACACCCAACTTTTGAAACCAAAGGATGATCTCCGAAAGGACTTCCGTCTAATGGAATTCAACGACGTCGTAAATCAAATGCTATCAAGAGACCCTGACTGCAGACAAAGGCGATTGCACATTCGGCTGTATTCGGTCGTACCATTAAACGAAGAGTGTGGAATATTGGAGTGGATACATAATTTGGTCGGATTACGTCCCGTTTTGCAAGATTTGTACAAACAGAGAGGTAGGGTTTGTTCATAACCATGCAGTTGTTAACGAAAGGCACTTAGGTTTAGGTATGAGCGGAAGAGACATAAAGAACGTTATCTGCAATCAAAACGATTCGTTGGCAAAGAAAAGGGACGTGTTTACTAAATGTTTACTGCCAAGAAATCCACCGATTTTCAAAGAATGGTTCAGGAAAACGTTTCCCGATGCGCAGAGCTGGTTAACCGCGCGAACGGCTTACATACATACGACTGCGGCAATATCGATGGTCGGCTATGTATTGGGATTGGGAGATCGTCATGGTGAAAATATTTCCTTTGATTCCACCTGTGGTGATACGGTTCATGTCGATTTTAATTGTCTGTTTAATAAAGGTAGTTTTGTACTACCCAAAATCGATTTTAATGTACCTTCCACCATTTAGGGGAAACATTCCAGTGGCCGGAACGTGTACCCTTCAGACTTACACATAATATGGTTGCAGCGATGGGTCCCTTAGGTGTGGAGGGAATGTTTCGCAAATCGTGCGCCTGTACACTGACAGTTCTTCGAGCACACACAAACACGTTAATGTCAATCGTAGCACCGTTCGTCTATGACCCTTTAGTGTCATGGTCGCGAAGGGCAGTGCCTAATATGAATGTTGGGGAGCAACCGAACCTACAGGTATGTACTAAACAGTCAGTTAAGTGAATAAAACAATACGTGTGTGCAGGCCGTTGAACACTTGGCAAACATTGAAGAGCGACTTAAGGGTATAATAAAATCAAAGCGTAAGTCGACCATTTCAATACCGTTGTCAGTTGATGGGCAGACTAATATTTTAATTCAAGAAGCCATGAGCATCGATAATTTATGCCAAATGTATATTGGATGGGGAGCCTACCTGTAATGTTATAAGCGTATAAGAGTTATTTTTTGTTTTAATTTTGTAAGAGTTACTTTTTTTTATTAAAATTACTTTTCATGATCCTGCCTAACTGGTTACACGATTAAGATAAATTGCATTTATCAATGTGCAGGAATAACGTGTGCAACACCACTTGCTCATTATTACAAATGTGTGATTGCCATATCCAACTCATGCAAGTTGGCCTCTCAAAGAAATAGTTTTCAAAAAAGAAACTAAACTATTTAGTATAAGTACTAATTTATTTTCTTTTCTTTTGACTCTAACACAATACGTATTCTAACAAAATGTTGAAATACACTTTGCAAATTCCTTTGTGTACTCTCCGTAATTTGCCTCAGCCTCCCATCACCTAGCCCCGCCACTAACTTGGCAACACGGTCAGATACACATTTAATAATAACCACGGTGTTAATTATACCTAAAATAAAAACCTATTATCTACTACATGTGATCTCAACATACCATCATTGACTTCGTACAATTCTATTTGTGGTTTCATTTGGTAGGGAATTTCCTGAGGTAGAAAATCGAGCAAGGTCGCCTTGACTGTATTTTCTATGATTTTCTCAGGTGACTGATCAGTAAACATTTCCTCCGGATATAGCCATTTACCAGGTTTTGCCGCTCTTATGAGATACTGCTTGAGTTCATTCAAACCGGTACCTGCAAAAATTGATATTTCTTAACCCTTGGGAAAATCTAGTACCTGTTAATGCAGACACCATGAAAATGTCTTTAAAGTTGGGCCATCCCTTTTTTTCTATATCCAGAGGTTCTTCATTTTTGCCGATCGGTTTTCCAGCAAGCGAGTTGTGTGTTAATAGACGAACAATGTCGAGGAGTTTACGTTTTGATTTTAAAACGTCGACCTATAGTGATAGAAATGAGGTTATGTCGATCATAATGTGTGCATACCTTGTTAAGTACTAGAAAGCTTTCCTTGTTTTGGTGCTGTTCAAGTAGCCGCAGAATTTTAATATCGAGTGTATTGCGTGTCCAAGAATTACTGACGTCGTGGATGACACTGATCAAATCACACTGCTGAAGAGATATGTTGCTGTCCTTAATGAAGGAATTTTCCAAATTGTGCCTGCAACCTCGTATTTAAAATCCGGTGAATTCAGTTGGCGCACCTACCTTCTACGCACATTGTTATTTACCAGGCCCGGAGTATCGAGGAAGACAATTTGAGTGTTTCCATGTGTAAATATTGCAGATGCCTTGGTACGAGTTGTGTGCACCTTGGAAGACGTGGGGCAAACTTTACGGTCCATTAAATAGTTGATGAAAGTGCTTTTACCAGCATTTGGCATCCCTATTACCGCAACTTTCACAAGTGATTGCGATTCATGCGAATTTTCGTGCTCTTTGTAAGCACTATTTTGTAATGTGTTGCATTTTCGTATAATTTCTTTGGATATATATAGACGAAAATGGATTTTACTTAATTTAAAACAGTTCATTGTGTATTTGTTACGTATAGGTTATATTTTGTAGTCCATGTAGTGTAGTGTAGGTTTATTGAACTAACAGTTCGAAGCATATGAACTACCAGTATTTGAAGAACCAAATTGCATTTAGTAAAATTTTTCACGGTGCATTGCGTAATGTAATACTATTGTTTTTTAAATAAACAAAGGTAATACGCAGTAACAACAACAGAGATTTAATTCCCGTTTTTCTATTACTTTAAATAGTTTAAACAAGAACTAAATTAACATTTATACAATGTAAACGGAGAAACAGGTTACGTTTATACGCATACTGGAATATAATTGGGGACAAATTTCACCATAAAAACTAAAAAGAAAAACCCTAAAGAAATACGTTATCGTACGTTTTTGCCGGTATATACCTGCATCAATTCACCATTTTGCATTAGGAAATTTGCGAAATTCAATAGTCGAAAATGCCGAAAAATAAGCCGATTAAGAAGCAAAGCGAATCTTCAGATTCCGACTCTGGCCCTGAAGATGTAAGTTTTAACGGTTTCCACATTCTAACCTTGTCAATTCCTATTACAAATTTTAGAGAGGCCCCGCAAAGAAACAGAAGGTCGCATCCTCGGAAGAGAACTCGTGGTCGTTAGGCAAAAATCGTTTCGTTAAATTGACGGAGTTTAAAGGAAAGTGGTATGTTAATATCCGGGAGTTTTACGATGCTGATGGTGAGTTAAAACCCGGCAAGAAGGGCATCATGCTCACTATGGAGCAGTGGCATAAATTTAAGGAGATTGTACCCGAACTTGAGGAAGCTGTTAAGAGGAATGTGTAAATTAATTAATGTAAAGGTTTTGATCAGAATTACGTTTTGTTTTTCTTGTATGTAAGGTCTTATTTCTTAATGTATTTAGAAAATTATAAATAAATGGTCCTTTATTGAATATGGGAGTGTGTTTGATTTCATGGAGGTCTGCGTCTCATTTATGTAGACATTAGAACATACGATTATAGGATTATAGACTTATAGAGTAATAAGTGTTCTGTTACTGGCATTCTTTCCTGGCGAGAGTCGAGACTAATATTTTGTTAAACCTTGGCAATTTATTGTTCAAAAATTCTGGTGGCGATTATCTTTTTGTGCATTTTCACATAAAAATTGTTTTCTAATGAAGAGAACTCGATTAACTACCCACCCCCAGCCCAGAGGTTCGTGTTATTTTAAATGCAGCATATTTTCAAAACAATTGTAACGTTATAACATCTATCGCCAGATGTCGCGCTATTACAAGTTTGGGATTAAATTAAATATTTTAAATTTGGTCAATTTTTGTTATCAAAAACGCTCATATTCATTCGTATTCGTACGCTTGGTGCGGATAAACATAATCTAAGAGATGATGTGGAATTTATGTAATTGCGTATTCCGAAATCTTAATTATAACTTTTGATTGAGAAGTCTGATCGAAAAAGTACGAATTGTTTTGGATTCTACGCACCAAAATTAATAAGAAAAAGTGTTTTCCCAAGAAATTTTGGTGTAGTCGATTTTTGGCAAAAAAGGAAGGTAATACACTGCCTTTTTTTGAGGCCCGCAAAAAAAATTGTCTCAGATCGACCCGGAAAAAAAATTTTCTTATAGACTGTGGCCTGTAGAATCCATAATTTCAAACAGTTCCAAGATTGGGCTACTATTTCAAAAGGTACAGCCCTTTATACTTGAACTTGAAAGATCCACACGAATATACAGATTACTGCTTTCATAGAAGCAGGGCTGCTTTCTTGGCTAACGAAGGTGCCGATTTTTTTTGTCTGTTAAAAGGCATGGTGGATTTAGATCTTCAGCATTTACGGAAGGTGAGCTATCCAAAACAAGATACAGGTAGCACAAATTTTAATTTCTGCGACAGGCCCATGCGATGGAACCCGCATAACTATATATCGTTCCTACGTACGACGTTTCGAATCAGTGTTTGAGTAATACAGTTAGTAATGAACTTTTTTAGTAATAAACGCATAAAAAATTTCTTTATGGTACAAGCTTCGACACCATAACGAACCAAATAGCGAAAAAAGTAGAACAATAGCTCTTAAGATAAAGAACTAGTAGCGTCTCAAGGAAGGAGCGTACGGACGGACGGACAAAGTGGCCACAATAGCGCGTTTTTTTATTTTTGTGGAAATGCGCTAAAAAACGCCAAAATGAAAGTGGCACAAAGGAATTTTACGAATGAGCGCTGTGCATTTTATTGGATTATTGTAAATTGCTGTTGTAAACAAATACCTACTCATACAATGTAATGCGTGCGACTTCTTCCTGTAAAATTATAAATAGGAGAACGGAGAAGGCAAATGCGTCTGACAAATTCAACCATTACACATTATTCCGCCAGCTATGAAAATCAGCAGGTGTAAAATTGATGTTAGAGCGTCTCTGAAAATAAAATAAACAGAAGAGTCGATCAGGATAGCACACTTTCGCCCAAGTGTGTGATCTGACATTTACGATGCTTTCTACGTTGTGTTATTTTGAAAAGTGTATATAGACATCTTACTTTTCCCAGTATCCATTACTGTAACGAGCGTCAAAGTTTTACCTTAAGCCATATTGTCGACTGTACGAGTCCCTTTTGTTTGAGGTTTGAATCAGAGCTGGGCAGTATTCGATTTTGTAAATACTTTTTAGTATTCAAATCCTTTAAAGTATCAAATACTTTGTAATTAAATACTTTTATGGAAGCAGTATTTGTATTTGTAACTCAAATACTTTCACAAATATTTAGTAAGTATTCGAATACTTCGCAAGTTATTTGAATACTTTGAGAAGTATTCGAATACTTCGCATAGGATTTGAATACTTAACCTTCCTTTTTTTTACCAAAAATCGACTAGAAACCAATTTCCTCCAATTTGCCCAAAAAAGAGCAGTGTATTGCCTTCCTTTTTTACCAAAAATCGACTACACCAAAATTTCTCGGGAAAACACTTTTTCTTATTAATTTTGATGCGTAGAATCCAAAACAATACTTTTTCGATCAGACTTCTCAATCAAAAGTTAGAGAAACATAAAACATACACTTTTAATTCTTGAGTTAAGTGTTTGGCCAATATGTTGCACAAAATAATTTTGAATTTAATTGAAAGGGATTCATCTCGATTAATCTCATTTTAGAATGCTAATTTTTTCGATTTGGGTCCCTTTTCTACTGAACTGGAAGCAATAGCAATCGAATAACCATTTTACAGCAAACACTATTACACCCATTTTCTTGCATACGGCTTCGATAATTTTTCTGCTAAAGTTGTCGACGTATCTATCGAAAATTAAAAATTTCACTAATTGAAGTGCCCCTTGTTCTCCAATATCGATCGCTGTCGGTTGGAGGTTAAATTTTAAACTTATCTATAGAGAAACATCAGTTCGATTATATCGGAAGAACTTTATATTAATATAAATTTGCTGCTAGTTTTATTAAAGACTCCATAAACTTAGGACATGCAATTTTTCATAGCTGTTTTATGAGAGTTTTACGTTTGCAATCTTTGGAACTTCAATTTTCTCAAAGAAAAACGATAAAAGAGAATGCACAAGCATGTACTGCAGTACAAGCGAAATAGTTTTGGGAAGCTTGTTATACAACACCGAACTTGGAGGCATTTTGCTTTCTTTGCACCTTTGCTATTAGAAATTGGAAAAAGCATGTAGGTACCTACAGTTATTTGTAGAGAGTGTTTTATCGCAAAAACGAGAACAGTGCAAGGCTTGCAACAATCCACAATTATTGCGCGCTATTTACTGAAAAGAGATTTGTTTCATATTTATTCAGTGATTAAATATGCAGGTATGAATGACATAAAAAATTTCGCAAACTTAAAGTAGACGGAAATTTATTAATTAAGGGTTGTTTAAATGTTGGTTACAGATTATTTAAACATAATCTAACAAATAATCAAAAATATTCGGTGTACTACGTAAAGAACAACCCCCGCAATACAAGAGTGCCTTACATGCAGGTATGAATGAATTAAAAAATTTGGCAAACCTAAGGTACACGGAAATTTATTAATTAAGGGTTGTTTAAATGTTGGTTGCAGATTATTTAAACATAATCTATCAAATAAACAAAAATGTTCGGTGTACTACGTAAAGGAACAACCCCCGCAATACAAGAATGCTTTACATGCAGGTATGAATGAATTAAAAAATTTGGCAAACCTAAAGTAGACGGAAATTTATTAATAAAGGGTTGTTTAAGGGTTGGTTACAGATTATTTCAACATAATCTATCAAAAACACACAAATGTTCGGTGTACTACGTAAAGGAACAACCCCCGCAATACAAAAGTGCTTTACATGCAGGTATGAATGAATTAAAAAATTTGGCAAACCTAAGGTACACGGAAATTTATTAATAAAGGGTTGTTTAAGGGTTGGTTACAGATTATTTAAACATAATCTATCAAAAAAACAAAAATGTTCGGTGTACTACGTAAAGGAACAACCCCCGCAATACAAGAGTGCTTTACATGCAGGGATGAATGACTTAAAAAATTTGGAAAACCTAAAGTAGACGGAAATTTATTAATAAAGGGTTGTTTAAGGGTTGGTTACAGATTATTTAAACATAATCTATAAAAAAAACAAAAATGTTCGGTGTACTACGTAAAGGAACATCCCCCCAATGGAAGAGTGCTTTGCATGCAGGTATGAATGACTTAAAAAGTTTGGCAAACCTAAAGTACACGGAAATTTATTAATAAAGGGTTGTTTAAGGGTTGGTTACAGATTATTTAAACATAATCTATCAAAAAAAAACAAAAATGTTCGGTGTACTACGTAAAGGAACCACCCCCGCAATACATGAGTGCTTTACATGCCGGTATGAATGACTTAAAAAATTTCGCAAACCTAAAGTAGACGGAAATTTATTAATAAAGGGTTGTTTAAGGGTTGGTTACAGATTATTTAAACATAATCTATCAAAAAAATAAAAATTGTCGGTGTACTACGTAAAGGAACAACCCCCCCAATACAAGAGTACTTTACATGCAGGGATGAATGACTTAAAAAATTTGGAAAACCTAAAGTAGACGGAAATTTATTAATTAAGGGTTGTTTAAGGGTTGGTTACAGGTTATTTAAACATAATCTATCAAAAAAACAAAAATGTTCGGTGTACTACGTAAAGGAACAACCCCCGCAATACAAGAGTGCTTTACATGCAGGGATGAATGACTTAAAAAATTTGGAAAACCTAAAGTGGACGGAAATTTATTAATAAAGGGTTGTTTAAGGGTTGGTTACAGATTATTTAAACATAATCTATCAAAAAAATAAAAATTGTCGGTGTACTACGTAAAGGAACAACCCCCCCAATACAAGAGTACTTTACATGCAGGGATGAATGACTTAAAAAATTTGGAAAACCTAAAGTACACGGAAATTTATTAATTAAGGGTTGTTTAAGGGTTGGTTACAGATTATTTAAACATAATCTATCAAAAAAACAAAAATGTTCGGTGTACTACGTAAAGGAACAACCCCCGCAATACAAGAGTGCTTTACATGCAGGGATGAATGACTTAAAAAATTTGGAAAACCTAAAGTAGACGGAAATTTATTAATAAAGGGTTGTTTAAGGGTTGGTTACAGATTATTTAAACATAATCTATAAAAAAAACAAAAATGTTCGGTGTACTACGTAAAGGAACATCCCCCCAATGGAAGAGTGCTTTGCATGCAGGTATGAATGACTTAAAAAGTTTGGCAAACCTAAAGTACACGGAAATTTATTAATTAAGGGTTGTTTAAGGGTTGGTTACAGGTTATTTAAACATAATCTATCAAAAAAACAAAAATGTTCGGTGTACTACGTAAAGGAACAACCCCCGCAATACAAGAGTGCTTTACATGCAGGGATGAATGACTTAAAAAATTTGGCAAAC